CTTATAGGTTCTTTTTTTTTTTTAATTTCTGTCTACATTAAGTCTAACACAATAATCTATTTACTCTGAAAGTCATTTTTAGTTCCCTTCAATCATCATAGCCAATGAAAGACTACAGATTGTTACCAGTATTTTAAGGTATTTTGAGGAATTAATGGAAGACCCTTAAACTCCAACAACAGAGACTGGATCCTGCTTGCTGATTTTCACTGTGTTATTATTTTGCACCTTTATACAGGCTCTTCTTTCCTCTTTCCCCTCACTCTGACCTATAAGGCAATGAAGATAATTAAAGGGTGATGGAGATGGTACTTGCTTAGTACCAGACTGACAGTAAAGGTGGACAATTGAAATTGATGTAAATTTCCAACCCTTTAGTTATTCTGTGCGGGTGTGTGAAGATTACTCTTGCCATCTCCTGTTAACATCTTTCTCTCCGTTTGTTGGATGGAAGGATGTTTTAGATGTCTTTAGAATTCTGTTGTTTTCCCTAGTCATATTTTCTTTCATCCAGTTTCACTAATCTTCATTCCTTCACAATGGTCTTTTAAATTCTTTTCTTTGCAACTTTTAGGATATATATATCTCTGTGTACTGTTGTGACACAGCAGATTTTTAAAAAATTTGCTGTTCTATATTTAAGTGAATTCTTTGAAATCTTAAGAGTTAATATAAACAATTCAGGAAAAACTCAGGGTTATTTCTTCAAATGCTCTTTTCCATTTACTCTGTTTGCTTATCATTCTATTTTCTTTTCGTCATTCTATTCATTCAAATGTGGAAGCTCTTCTAGTCCAAAGTTTGATTTCTTCTAGCTGTTGCTATTTTGTTACATGACTCAACACGTTATCATTATTAAATCTGAACAAGTATATTTTACATTTCTGAGATTGCTCTGCAGAGGCTTCTAGGCTTGTTTCTCTTTATTGTTTTACAGACCTATTTATACTCAGAACACTTCAGAAACTCTTTAAGATAGTTCTTTCACTTCTTGATTGTTGGTTCATTTATGGTTTCGGTCTGAGATTTTTAGGTTTCTGGACTCACATTTGAAACTTATTTCATGCTAGCATTGTTCTACCACTATTTACAGTAATCATTTTTTTTTTTAAAAAAGCAGAGATTTGGACTCAAAATTATTTTCAGATTGGATTTGGGACAACAGAGAACATTTCAAAGTGGGGCTTGAGGTCCTTGCCTTAAAGCCCATTTCTCTGTGGAAAGCTGGATTCTGTTGCCCGAGTGATAACCTCTCTAAGCAGTCAAGCTGAAAGAATACTGGTTTCCACTGTCTACCAGATGCTCCACATATCTCCGTTGTCATTTTTATTCTCTTTCAGGTCAAGAAAAACATGTATTTATTACATTTTTGTGGTAACCATTTTCCTTTGTACTTCTGCTTTGGATTTCTTCAGCTAAATTCCATAGGATGTTTTACAGAGATGCTTCATAAATCCTGATTTAAACTCTTGTTTTTGATGATAAATGTGTGCATCTATGTATAAGCCTAAGTATAAAAAATCTGGCTTTTTTTTTTTTTTTTTTTTTTTTTTTTTTTGCTGTTGTACTCCATTATGTAAACATATCATTTTCCTTACCCATTCTTTGGTCAAAGGGCCTTTAGGTTGTATCCAGGTCCTGGCTATGACAAATAATGCTGCTATGAACATAGCTGAGCACATGTCCTTGTGGTATGATTGCTTTTGGGTATTTGCCCACAAGTGTTCTTAAGGTAGGTTGTTTCCTCTTTTTTTCTGAGAAATTGCCATACTGATTATCCAAAACAGGCTGTACCAGTTTGCACTCCCACCAGCACTAGAGGAGTGTTCCTTTACCCCACATCCTCTACCGCATAAGTTGTCATCAGTGTTTTTGATAGTGGCCATTCTTGCAGGTGTAAGAATCTCAGAGTTGTTTTATTTGCATTTCTCTGATGACTAAGGATGTTGAGCATTTCCTTAAGTGTTTGTCAGCCATTTTATATTCCTCTGTTGAGAGTTCTGTTTAGGTCTGTACCCCCTTTTTTAAATTAGATTATTCTTTCGATGATTTTTCGAGTTCTATTTTTCCTTTCCTTTTCTTCCCTCCAAAAGCCCTACCCCACTCTCAAATAGATGATCTCCCTTGATTACAGTCACACATGCACACACACACACTTAAAACTCCCACTTGACTATGCTATTCTAGTTCTCTAACTTATTTTTTCTTCCCTTGTTTATATGCAACAAATATGTAAACAACATATTTCATTAGAAGGTGACCTTTTAACTAGTTTACCACTGATAGTGTTGTTCTGAAGAATTATACTTGTACTTTCAGGAGCTATTCTTGCCTAAATAGTAAAGAGCCATCTGATATGAAGACTAAATCTTTTTCATTATTCATCAGTTTAAGCATGTAATCTTCAAGCCAAGTCATAAAAACAAAAATTGTTCTAGTAGACCTAACATATTGAAGTAAAGTTTAAAATTAAGTTGAATATTATAGAATAGATAAAATTGGCAGAACTATTCCTCTTTTCAGTATCTATTCAGTAGAATTCTTTAATAAGTCTTTATGGCAAATTAGTACACAGTGTTTTTAAGTTAATTATTTTAATGTTTTCATTTCCTTTTTAAAGTGTGAAATGAATAGGTTTATAAACTTTGTTTATATGTTTAAAGAGCACTTTATATTTTAATAAACATAATGCTTAAGTTAAAGAACAGGAAAAACAATAACATCTAAAATAAATATAGGTATGTCCATCCTTTCGTAACTTTCCTTGATTAAAAAAAACAGGAAAAGTTCAAAGTGATATGATTTTACATAAATTAAATTCCTTTTGGAGAAATAAGGCACACATACAGATAAATTAAATTTCAGCCCAACTGTCTCAGATAATCTCTTGAGGGTAGAGAGAATAATCTGTAGGTAACAAATACCGAATGATAGAGCTCAAGGAAACAGGCTAATTCCAGGTATGAGTTGTCTGATTAAATGAAGAAAAAGAGGTGACTTAAGTATCATTTAAGCAATAGTCCACTACTGAGAACCCAGCTCTTCCTCATCTGCTTTACCCTGTAAAGAGTATCTTCTTCAGATCCTTCTTGGTAAAGGAATGCTTCATTGCAACAGTTCTACATTCCAAGGAATTTGAGTTGGAGAATTCAACTTACTACATGTATAACATTTATTCTGTGAGAAAATACGCTGTATGTAATTGTGGGTCACTCTGGATGGTTTCAAATTTTACTAAGAATTGAAAGTGATTTCTTAGAGGAAAGTAGCACTTTTTGGTCATTTCATGTATGTGACTTAGAAAACACACTGGACTGTAACCTTAGTTACACCTTTTGTCAGCACTGGAGGGAGAGCCCAAGGCTTGCCTCAGCCAAGCACTCTGACACCGAGCTCCACCTTGAGCCTACAGTGCTGCGGATGTGCCATACTGTGGGAAGCTAGCCTCACTCATTCCTCTGGCAGGGAGTTGACAGCTGGCTTCTTCAGTTCCACTTACCTTGTGACGTCTCGTATCCAATGAGTAAAAATGGCTTCCTCTCATGTCACCTAAGAACAATGCCCAAGATGACAAGGACGATACCAACCACAAATACCATTTCCACTCCACTCTGTAGGACAAAGCAAATCACTTGGCCATCCCAGAGTAAAGAGGATGGAATTACAAATCTCTGAAAAAAAGATTTTTAGACCTAATTTTATTTAACTAGGTATAAGTGGGTATACAGGAGTGCAGGTACCTGTGAAAATAAAGAGTGCCAGATACTTAAGACCTGGAGTTATAAATGCCTGAGTCATCTGACATGGATGCTGCAAAGCAAAGCCGGTTTTCTGGAAGAGCAGAAAGTACTCTTAATTGCTAAGCCATCTCCCTAACCTCACAGAAATAGAAATCTTCTTTATAAGAAGTGGTAGCTAAAAGGGTGTAGTTGTAAGAAGGGGAAGAATTATTTATTTCTTTATTAATTAAAGATTTCTGTCTCTTCTCCACCGCCGCCTCCCCTTTCCCTCCCCCTCCCTCGTCAGCCCAAAGAGCAATCAGGGTTCCCTGCCCTGTGGGAAGTCCAAGGACCACCCACCTCCNTGTAGACCAGGCTGGTCTCGAACTCACAGAGATCCGCCTGCCTCTGCCTCCCGAGTGCTGGGATTAAAGGCGTGCACCACCACCGCCCGGCTCTGGCTTGTCATTTTTAGAGCTATTTTGTAACTGCTACCTTGAACTGGATTTGTGATAACTGTTAGGCTATGCCTTTTATTTTGTCCTTGGTGTGTTTTGATACTTGAGTCTACATATTTTTTTTATTCTCTTCCATATTTCCAAGCCTTTATCCACTTAGCTAAGATACTGACTAAACCAATACTTGAACTATAAGGTTCAGATACACAGCATTCATGATGTTAAAGCTAACATTTATGGCACATTTTCCATGGCAGATACCTATTTCAGGAGTTAATTTATTGAATCTTCATAACCCTAAGAGTGCTGCTATTATAAATATGTTGAAGAAACTGAGGCAGAGATAATGACTTAAAATTATTTTAGATTCATGTTTTAAAATTTCAGTAACAGTGGCATCACTGTCATAGTTGGACGAAATGAGGTTCTTGCTTTCAGAGTCCATGTGTCATGACATGTTGGTACTTAGTTGGTGTGGACTGTTTTTAGATTTAAGATAACAACCCCAGGGTTTCAACTGTCATCTCAAGTCGTGCTCACTGATTTTGAAGACATTGAGTACATAGCCCTTCTTTTTATCCACTTGTAAATAAGTAGAACACAAATGGAAATTGGGCATTTCCTGAGAATATTTTTTGAGAAATCCTATTTTTTCATTTATTTTTAGTTTAGGAACCATTCATCTTAGTAATTGAATTTTTATTTCATTTCATGTAATTTTGAACTATACCTTAAAATTTTAAACATTATAGGTAGAAACAACTTAGTTGTTCACTGTCTCTGTTAAAGGACAAAACTTCACACTTCTTTTTGTTTGTTTTAGTACAAGGGACTTCTCTGACTCAGTGGAGAAATGGATATTCCCCTATGTGTAAGCCTCAGATAAGGTCACAGTCATCCGCACAACTACCGCAGGGAAGAAAAAAGAGACACTTGAGTGACACAGCGTTAGGTAGGTTAAAATGAAGATGTGATCATTAGTGTTAAATATTGAAAATAAAAGTTACATTTTTCAAAGAACCCTTGTCTTGTGGAAATTTATAATCCAAAACTGTCACTAACTACCTAAAACACCTTACCTACCAAAAACTACTTAAAACTACCTAAAAAATGAGTATACTCATCAATCAAATGAAGAGTTTGATAGCTGGTATCGGTGCACTTTATGGCAGTTACTCCTTTCTGTGTTCCAGTGACTTGCCTTCTGTCAGCTCTTCTCTGCACAGGATTTAGTCTCCATGGACTCAGAGTAGGTCAGTATAAGGTCACCTGATAGAGACTTGTGAGTAATACTAAATGTCTTAGATTTTGAGTCAGCTGAGGAACTTCAATACCCCTTTTCAATTCTCCAGAGTCTCCCAATTGTATATATCAGATCAACAAAAGGAACAAAAGGTAGTATTTGAAAACAGTTGTTCTGATTGTATCCAGCCTGAGTTGTTGTGGGGACTTAGGAGATGACACTTATTTAGTTGGTGTTGATGATAAAGAAGAAAGCCAGCAAGGTATATATTTTGAAGAGAAAGTAATCTCTGCACATCTGGTGATTGTGTATCCTAACACACATCATATTCATGAGTCAAATCTTTCCCAGATGTTATATTTCAGTAACAAGGACATACTCAATAATTTAGAAACTAACCACATTCAAAATGTACTGATTATTATAATTTTATATAATGGATCTACATTTATCTCTAGGGTCTTTAGAAATTTCACATTAAATAACATGATCTATAATCATTATAATCTGATCAAACACAGTGGCAGAAAATGAACAAGCTCTCAAATGCATCTAGAGATTTTGTTTAAGTGTCTCTTAAGAACAGACAAGCAAAGATCACCTTTTAAGGAACTTTCATATATACATGCCAAAATATTGGGAAAATTGTAATCTCTTAATATAGACTATGAAATACTGATTAATTATCTAAATAGTAATGAGTGATAGATTCAAATTTAATGGATATAAAATGTTAAAAATCAATAAAATGATATATTACATATAAATAAGTAGATAATTGCGAATATTTGATAAGTTAGGCATCTCCCTAGTAAGACACTGCCCTGATAAATGAATTCTTCAGGGATAAAAGAAACCTAGAGAACAATTACGAATTTCAATATGCGAATTTTGACTTGAAGCAACTAACAGTTAATAAAGAATTTTTTTACAACTGTAGAAATGTAAATATAATTGGTCTTACTACATTTTACATTATGAAGAAAATATTTTTAAATAATTCATACTAAATTCAAATATACATTAAATGAGTGAGCAGAAACACAAATATACTTACAAAGAATAAAAATCAGAACTTGATGAAACATGTAATACTAATGAAAGCATATAGCAAATGAATAAATGAATATTGTGAGTAAATGAATTTCATTCATGAAACAGCTATAGGATATTATATCAAATGAATATCAGAAAACAAGAACCTTTAGAATTTATAAAAATTAAATAAAAATAAATGAAATTCAGTAAAAATAAAAACTCAAGACAGTTAACTTGAGGAAATCTCATGGAAGGTAAGGAGGCAAAGATAAGAAAAAAGGGCAAGAAACCTAAGATCAGTCTTGACAACGCAGCCTGAGTGGGACATTTTAAAAACAAGACCAGGGAAAAGACAATGGGGAAGGATACTCAAGGAACAATACAAAATGACCTAGGCAGAGAACACTGAGGCCCTACAAATACTTGGTAGGAAGAATATAAGCAAGACTCTTGTTTTATAATTTTCTTTTGTTTTCTGATTTTGTCTTTAAAAACTAGCAAATACAAACAAAACAACCATCTCTCACTTATTTTGGAAAATAATTCTAGTACATGTGGTCATTTTTAACATGTGACATTCTGAAGGGTTCTTTCCATAGCAGGAGAAAGAACTAGATTTGAAGAATTTACTTTCCAACGTACAGAACCAGGATCCCATTGCGATTTCACTGCAGCCTCTAATACCAATGTTACATCAAGAACCCAGAATTCATCCTCACAAGTAGGTTGTTTTTAAATCTTGTAAATTCTAAACTAGTTTTATGGATTTTTAAGAAGTAAAACAAGCTGATAAAAAACGTTGTCTATGCCAGACCTATTCACTAATCTGTTTTATAAACTATTTTATTAGGAAATAGTAAATTTGGTTAAACAAACCATTTTTACTTGTAGGCAAGCAGCTCATTCTTTGATTATGTTAAAATCTTATGACCATCTCTACTGTTTCTTCCAAAGCCAGACAGTTTTGCCAATGAATATATGGGATTTGTATTGTTCTTTAATCAATTTATTTATGTATTTATGTATTTAATTATTGGTGCCCAGGAGTAGAGAGGTCAAGGGAATGAAAGCTGGGCAGTCTGAAGCCTGGGCCAGAAGCACACACATGAAGATCTGTAGCAGCCATCTTCACTCAGAGACTTCTCAAATTTCATAGCCTTTCAAATAATTATGTGTTTCTTATACTCAAAATATGCTTTACATCTGTTTTGAAGATAAGCACTTTTTAAATTTAATTGGTTTTCTTAGCATTTTATAATCAAATCATTGACATTTACCAAAATTATGTCACAGATAAACTATGTATTATTTTTATATAACTAATGAAGGAATATCACCACAGATAACTGAAACATTACTGTAAGTTAGTACAATAATTCTGTGTTACAGAATACTACTCGACGGAGGTTAAGAAGTGAAAGCTCTTACGATATAGATAACATTGTGATTCCCATGTCATTAGTAGCACCAGCTAAGTTAGAGAAACTCCAGTATAAAGAAATACTTACTCCACGGTATGTATACTTACATCAGTTTTCTTTCTTCTTTCTTTAATAAACTTAAATTCAGAGTCAAGTTTTAACTAAAAGGAAAATGTTCCCCCTTCCCTATTTGCATACAAGGGAAACGGTAAAAGGAAATCTTACATTAAACTGAATGGCTTTAGCATTCAAAATACATTTTTACTTATTTATATTTAAGTATCTATCATATATGTTTATTAGCATGGTATTTCAGCAGTGTAAGTAAACACTACAACACACAGCTCTTGCTTTTATGATAGAGGTAGATTTGGTTGCAGAGAATCCAAAGGAGAAAGCAATGATATTTGCATGTGTACTCACACTGGTAAGACAGTAGTGCTTGTAAACAAAGTGAGCTTCTGAATTATCTCTAATTCAGCAGTAAAAAATCAAATAGAAAATGAAAGGGAATATCTAGGAATTTAATCCCTAACAGTAAACATGATTATTTACATAGACTCAAGTGTGCAAGGCCTAGCCAGACACAGAGGTTTGGAATAGTTGATTATGAAGGCTGAGCTAGAAAAGAATGAGACTAAGCCACCCCTCAAATCCAGGCACAGATCTGCATCCACTGGCAATGAAGACAGCCATGTTTTATAGCAACAATGAAAGCAATCTCTCTTAGATATGAAAATGACATAGGAAATAGAAAAAGTTGGAGATGAACACATGGCTAGGTAACAGTTATATTAATTTCCATCCATCTCCATTTTAATTCTGTAAATTCACTTACTACTTCACAGTTCATCTGAGGAAACTAGTCTGGCACTCTACTAGTAGGCATTACAGGATTGGCATTTTCTACAATAAGTATTGTTGTGGTTAATAGTGTTCCATAGCAACAATGTTTTCAGCTCACAGTGAAGAATTCTGTGAGCCAGCTGTTAAGCTACTAATTCAAAAGGAGGCATGATACAAATTTCCATACCAAAGAAAACCGGAAAACACTGAATCAGGTCAGATTTCTCCTCTAGTTTGCCCAAGCCAGTTTATCAGCTTACCAGTAAGTTAATTCAAAGATAGCACATAATTAGAAACTGCAACCATATACAAGAGATTATTCACTAGAAGGCATAGTATTATAAAAGCTTTTCTTTCTATTTACAATGCCAAACTATGAAAACACAACCATGTGAATTATGGAATCTTGAGGAAATAAAGCCCTAATGTATTTAGCTATGTTTAGGAAATAAAATGTGGCATTTGGATAAAAGCTGTTTGAAATTCTTTTGTATTTTCAACAGCTGGAGGATGGTTGTTCTTCAGCCTCTTGATGAACATAACTTAAGCAAAGAAGAGGTAAGCTGCCAGTGTTTAATGTGATAATGGTACCTTTCATATTCTAAAGCCTAAATCATCTGATATTTAAATATCTAAAAGGAAATATAAAGTTATATGACTTTTTATTTATAAAAATAACTCTAAAAGGATATTATTTTTAGAAAATTATTCCTTTGCAAATTTTGACTGCAAAACTAATAATATGAAGCATAGTGTATCTCCCAAATCAAATCAAACAAAAGGTAGTGTGGAATATATGTAGTATTAATACCAAGACACAGGGACAGTCCTACCAATAAGTAAACAGTAATGCTTTGTAGTAAAATATTCACAACAAAGGGGATAAAACAGTAAAAAGAAGTATTGTCACAGCATTTCAAATCAGGCTGTGAGTTATATAAAAAGCTTTGTCCCTCCCCACCAACTATTGGATACCGAAATTATTGGTAAAAGATTCTACACCTGTGTAGATGAGGACATTAAAGTATACTGGTGGGAATCAAATGTATAAAACTCGAAACTCTCAAACAATTAGTGAAAGAACAATTAGAGGGAAAAATACTATAAAACAGCTAATTCCAAGGTGATAGTCTTTAGATGAAAATTAGAATTATGTAGAGGGCACACACACAGTTTCTGTCAATTTACAGTGCTTCTATATCCATTGGTCTCGTTTCTGTTGTTAATTCACTTTGCTTTTCTGTTGCACTCTTGCTAAAGCCAGAATGATAATTGCCAGGAAAACAAAATTCCCTAGAGGTATCCAGTTAATGAAGTCAGTTAACTAAACTCTGATTTACCTCAATCAGTTTTATACTTTTTGACATTGACATATTTTTAGAACACTGTAGAATGAATAAAGTTTAAGACTATTTTTTGTCATCTCTGCCCTCCAGAGGCTAAGGTAAAAGAGTGTATATTCAAGCTCACCTTAGTACAGCAAGAGCCTGTCCCCCCAAAATAACAAAACCATTCCATAAGCTGTGGCAAATGGAGAGCATTGGGGACCCATTTATAATCTAGGTACATATTAAAATATGGGCCAAGAGTAGGATGTTTTATATGGCTTTGTGCTCATAAAATGACTCTTTGACCACCCCCCCCTTTTTTTTGTTTCAAAAATCTTACCAGATAGAAGATCTTTCTGATGAAGTCTTCTCCCTAAGACACAAAAAATATGAAGAGAGAGAGCAAGCTAGGTGGTCACTCTGGGAGCAAAGCAAGTGGCATAGAAGAAATAACAGGCAAGTATTTCAAGTTTAAACATTAAAGCAGTAGATGAGGGATGAACAGAAACTAGTCAAAAAATCCAAGAAAGACCACTGACAAGGAAATCTCAGGATGCAAAGTGGCACCTATATACAAACTTACATTCAAAATATACCTGGGAAATTATATACGTTAAAATGAGTTTCTAGTACTATATTTTTTCATGTGCTGCTAGTCACGGTATCATACTTACCTAGCAGTTATTAGGAGCATGTCATTTCACACAGGCATGGTGGTGGCACATGCCAATAATGAGGAGGCAGCGGCAGGGGACTCTGCAGTTTAAGAGCAGTACAGACTGCACAGTGACGACCTCTGCTCCAAAATCTAAAAGCAGGTTATTTCAATGTACTTAAACAGTGAACCCAGCATTAGCTACTGGAGTTTAGGTAATCCATTTTAGCAAACCCTCAAGAATAATACTTAACGCAAATTCTTTGAGAAATTTTATTTTAGTATAAAAGGCAAGTAGTTCATGGAACTTTAAAAAATATAAACATTGGATATGGGCACATGCTCAGAGTTTCCTGAGGCAGGATGATCATTAGAACATGTACTATAGAGCCAAATTCATACTCAGAAGTCAGATACAAGCCCATAAGAATACTTCGGGAGAGAATAATTATGATATAGTTAATAATTATCTATTTGAAAATACCTGTAGTATTTTTGCAGTTACATTTTCTTATTTTTTAATATAGCCACAACTAAAAAAGCAAGTTCATGTAAAATCTAGCTGTCTTCTCTCTTAAGAAATATCTGTCAATTAGTTAAATAATATTAAAGTCCTTTCTCTGCTTAGCTGTTCAGATATACTCTAAATCTTTGTTGAAAGAGTTCTCTTAATGGAAATGAAACTTGAGGATTCCAGTTCTTTTCTACATCTTAGATACAACTTTCCAGAAATACAGAGGAAAAATGTGAACTAAAGCTTTCATGTATATTAAAATAATTATAGAAAAACCCAATAATTCAAAGGATATAAAGGTCAACTACATGGCCTTTCTGTCCTGTAAAAATCAAATAACTGTAACTATTATTGATAACTCAATGAGGATGAACTTTATTTAAACTTTGGATAACAACCTTTTGTAAAAACACTGGGAAGAGCATCACATGACCTTGAGCTGAGAAAAAGACAGTACTGACTCAGTGATACCCTGTATTCCTTTATTTCCTTGCTAGAGCTTACAATAAAAACTTGGAAGGGCAGGACTTGGTTCTGAAGGAAAACCCCAGTGAACTTAGCAGTGGTCAGCAGTGTGCTGCCGAGAGCCTCCTTGAGCTCCCAGCAGAGAACCCCAGTCTGTGCGCTCAGGACTCACTTTCTTTAAATGATAGTCAAGAGATCAAGGTAAGCCTAGGTTATATGATTATATTGTGTTTTAATTACCTTTTAACTTCATCTCACCTATGTGTAGGAATTTATTGTACATTGTTTTATTACATATCAAACTCAGTGAGACATTCAGTCTAGCATGTCCATGAAGGTACATAGTGGAGTACCCTAGTTCCATTATATTAGCAATTTTTTGTATTTTTAGTTTTTTGGGCATAGCATATCAGTAACAACTGCCACCTGTCTACATACTTACCTGTTAGAGAATGGGGATTCCCCTGCACTTTCCTTACAGAACAAAGCTGAACACTGGAGACCGGCACATGGTGCACAGTAAGCACAGCTCTGTTTCTTTGCTTCTCGGAAAGGGTTTTACTTGATCCAGCTCCTACTTTACAAGAGTATATCCCAGAACTACACAAAGCTCACACATCTATCCCCATAAAGTTTTGAAAAATAACTAGATCAAGAATGGATGGATTAATATGCAAGTTGCAGAAACAGCTAGTGTGTATCTGTGATAACAATGAGACAGAAATGGAGTACAGCAAAGGGAAGACACCCTTAAAGGGTTCTGTGGCAGTACTTTCTTTTCCTAGTAAAGAAATAATTCCTTAAAGTCAAGAAATTCTCAGTATATTCCACTTTGACATGAAGAAGAAACAAAAACCTGAACTTAGATGCTCAAAGAGTAATTATAAAAACTGACATTATAAATTCCTTAGCAAATAATCAAATTAGGTGAAACTTAACTGAAAATGTTTCCCCTTTCAGTCTTTGTGGTGGGAGCGACGAGCCTTTCCGTTGAAGGATGAGGATACAGCAGCCTTATTATGCCAAGATGAAAGAAAGGATCAGACTGACGGGGCGAGCACAGCCATCTGCAAGGAAGTCTTCTGTAGCACTACACCAGAGAATGGCCACCCTCCAAAAATGCAGTTAGAGGGGATGGAAGAGTATAAAACCTTTGGCATAGGAGTTACTAATGCTAAAAGAAATAGGTGACAGAGAATATAGTAAGAAAACTATGTAACTGAAAGGAAAAGAGGGAAAAAAACCTAAACCCTCTTGTGGATCTTCCACTTCCTCTAGTCACGATTCCAGAAAAGGAGGATGTGTTGCATGAATCCATCTTCCACTGTTCATGAAGCAGGCCAGAGAAGTTTCTTTCTCCTTCCTGAATCACAGAAGTAGATAGCTTTTCACCTACACAGATGCTAGTAACTTGTGTTTGTCAATAATACAGATCACAAGCACTAAGCTATTAATTGCTGCAATTTGATGCCAAATCATACTATGGGGTAACTGTTAAGGTAAGAGCCCCGCCTTAACAACACAGTTGATTTGCATCAAAGGACGACTATTCTTTGCTTCTACTCTCATGGCAATTCACTAAAATTGCCTCAATAATATATGAGAATATACTATTGTGTATACAGAATACACACATATACACACACCTAGTCTTGAAACTGCATGATCAACTACTCTATGCAGTGTAAGTTGCCATGAATATCGAGCACAGGTGTGGACTGAAACAGACATCTGAAAGCTTGGACTATGGAGGGGGAGTTGGTTTTTTCTTTTATTCTAAAAGTTGTTTAACCAATATAAGTTATTTATGGAAATTCTTATATCAGATAATACAATATTCATTTATTTGAAATCATTGTTCTCTCTTGAACTAACCACAGACTTTCTGCTTACTCCTAACAGAATTAAGAGAAGCAACTTAAGAGTTTAATATATTGATACATTTTTAAACTATTATCTTTGAAAATTCACCCTGTTTTATTTGCTTTATGTACCTCTTCAAGACAGCAATTTAAAATGCAAAACAGCATACAAATCATAATATGGTTGTAACTCTAGCTAATGTACAGCTAGAAACTTTAAATTGGTTTCTCTTTGCAATAGTTTAACTCAAATATCTACTCTTAATAGAATCCTAGATCAAGAATTCAAGTTTTTCAAAGACTAAGACTTTAATATAGAATACTGAAGAGTGTACATTAAAGAAAATTCTTTCCAGAGCTATAATACCATTTTTTTTCTAGATGAAAGTTAAGGACAATTTGTATCCACCACTTTTTGTTATGCAAAGAAAAGTGATTCAATTTGTAGTTCCCATAGTACTGAAAATCTGGCCACTGGGCTTAGTGTCTGTGGGATTAGATACTGAAGATTTTGTTGAGGATCAGAAATTAAACTGGTCCCTGCAAAAAGGGGGTAGGGGAACCTTTCAAATTCAATACTTACAAACTTTTGTTATAGTTTTACAGTACATTTATTTTTAAAGAAAAAGATAACAAAAGCCAGAAAAATACAAGTTGTCCCAGCAAAAAAATTCAAATCTTTGTCATGACTGATATTATAATCTTCTACATAGTTTTTTAATTAAAGTTATTTCTATATGCCTTGTACTGTGTGATTTGATTAAATATTATTACTAATGGTACAAACTTTTCCTAAGCCAAAAATAAAAACAAGTATTAATAAACTTTACCTTAGAGGGTAGGAAAAAGCCCCAGCAATCTGTTTCATGCCTATGTTTGTCAGTATTCTTATTTTTTAAAACTTATTTATCAAAACTCATAGTAGCCTTAAGATATTTACTGATACTGGTTGTGTTCTTGTCATATTCAAGAGTAAGTGTGAAGTTGCCAATATGTATTTCCAGTCCCTTGGTAACTGGGAACACTAAGTATTTATTATTAATACTTAGTTCATAGATGAAGTCTGTATCCTGTCTTCTCTTAGCCTACTTCTTTCTTTATATGTACATCCTTCGGGTCACATCTCTAGTTCCAGAGTATCTTGGCTCACTCTGACTCTGCTAGAGGGTACAGTTACACTAAAAACAAAAAAGCAAAGAACCTTTCTTGTTTCTAACTCATCTCTTGGGAGCTATTTGTAGTCAGAGCAGTAGGACATACCAGAAAGCCTTCTTACTGAACCTTTTCTATGTACCAGCCCAAGAAATACCTGCCTCACAATTATAGGACAATCTAAGAGTTAATTAAGCACAATCAAAGTGCTTAATAACTTACAAAACATACACATCCCCTACAGTCTACGAGTAGAACTATAAACTTTACAATATCATGTTATGCTTTTAATTCTCAACACAGTCAACATTTATGAGTTGGTAGTGAAAATAAGTTGGGTGAGCTAGAATGGGGCCAACCTGGATGCAACCCAGTGGAGCTCCCAAGAGAGACTATATTGTTCCTTTCTGCTCAGAGCCATCACCATGTATTACTTCACAGCCCTCATGGGGGTTGAGTGAGAACCAGGAGCAGGGAGGAATTACTGCATAGTGTGCTGTGAAAAAGAAAATACCTTGATAAAGTCTGTGCTTACATATCAGAAACCCTAGGCTTCAAAAATTATTTTTATAGTTTTTAATAAACCAAGTGTAAGATTAAAAAGTAAAAATGTTTCAGGTGCCAGACCATGACATGCCACCCCAGCAAAGCTTCTGATTTTTGTCCCATCCCATTCATAATCTCAGGCATATAAATAAATGTCACAAAACAGAAAATATGGATGTCATTTGCTTTAGGAATAAACTGGGGAGATAACAGAATATTTTTTTTTAAAAATACAGAAAAATGGTTTTCATAGTAGCTACTTTTCCTCTTTAGGCACTAAGACACATTTCTGTCTGTAATCATAAAACCATATTTTCACTCTTTACAAAAATCATTTCCCAATATAAACATGAATATTTCATCATGCTAATCTCTAAATGGCATCACTAAAAAGGTAGTTATTTCTAACCTCTTGAACATCCTGCACAATTGATTTTAATCACTGGAATGCAGCACTGCTTCGATTCGATTCAATGTGATCTGGTAGTTAATATTTCTCTTTTCCAGTAAAAAGATTTCATGAGCAGAAACTGGGTTCCAGTGACTTCATCGATCAAGAGAACGTTTCTGGGCAGCTTCTGAACAGACATTTCTTAGTAAGTTGATTACAGATCTGGGGTCGTCACTCCTCATGATGGCACTGCCAGACACAATCATGTTAGCTCCTGCCTGCAAGAAGCACACAGCTATGTTAGCGTGGAAGAAACCAGTACAGAAGTCCTGGAGTAGCCTGTCCACCCTTGGCTCTGCCAGTGCTTCCCAGAAGCTGACTGCAGCACTCTAATTCACTGAGTTACGAAGGGAAAAGGTTTATATATAAGGCCACACAATTATTTGTAAATGTGTCTACCAAGTCACTGAACTAGTGGGTTAATTAGTCCTGAGATGCATACAGTACTGTTGCCAATACTTAAGAGCTTTGAACTTTTAGATCCTCAATTCCATTTAGGTCTTTCCTAACATACCAATGACCCCAGACACTAAGGCCTGTAGACACTGTAGCTGTTTGTTTCTAGGAAGTCTGAAGGGAGTCAATGGAAAACGAGAAGCTATCCACAAAACACTGGGAACTCGGTGCCTTGTCATTTTGTGTCAGAAAGAATGTAAAAATGTGTCTTTATGCTTTCTTAGACTCCAGCATGGCTTACAATGCTTTAGGAAATTCTCCATGGATGACATTTTTAATGTGGAGGCAAAGAAATGGGGGGTAAGGGGAAAACCCTAAAAAGCTCAAATGAGATAACTCAAAATATAGCTCTGGGCATGGGATCTGAGTGGAGGGAAACCCATTCTGTTGTGTAATTCACTGTTAGAAGCTGGAAAACCATATGCTGAGGAAATTTTTCCAGTGAGACCCAGTCACTGATAGTAGAGCGGCTATTTCCAGTATCATTCTTTAGAATCTATAGGACTATTGATTAAAATGTCTCTTAATTTGAGCAGGACTAGCACCGCAGAACTTAATAGGAACGAATAGCTAATGTGCTCAGTGATCATCTGTCCAGTCATCTTCAAAATACTTATCACTGACTTCTTTTTTTTTTTTTTAAGCTAGGGTCTTGTCACGTAGCCCATGCTGGCTTGGAACTTACAATTCACATTCCTCCTGTCTTTCCCATGTCTGCATTCTCAGTAACTGCCAAGCTCTCGATGGTTTGTATTTGGCAGAATAAAAATGAACCATGAGACTTATTATCACCTGCAGTTCTCCAGGAAGGGCTGCCAACTAGTGACCATGTGACCTGCAGTTCTCAGGGCTGCCACCTTGTGATAACCAGGAACAGAAAGAACTAAGTAGGGTAGCTCCCTAGACAAAACAGGCTTAGTTTGGCAAATGGGAACTAGGCCTTGATTTTCAACAGAAGTAAATCTAGTCATTTCTTCTAAGACACAAGCAGGCAGCTAGGACTTTAAATCCTAAGAGCAGCATGATTGGGTAGTTAAATTTCTCTGTGTGTCTTCAGTCAGGAATGTATCTTTTTAAAGAACTTAATGGTTTTGTGATGGGCTAACAACATTCAACACACTCTTTCTGGAGACCAGAGTTTACTATTTAACAATTTATATATTTAGAAACTCTCTTGTTCTTTACTTTCCTAATCCTACATTTGAACCAAAAATATTTTCCCAAGAAAAACATCCACTTGAGCAATTCTTTGGCGACAAGCCTGTCCCGCAGATTGCTCTCCAGGAGCAATCACAGTTGAGGGGCAGTCTCACCTCCGCACACTTCTGAACAGTGTCAGGACCTACTCCACCATCGACCTCTATATCCAGAGTTGGGAACTGGGTCCTCAACCAGTGAACCTAGACATACACGAAGAAACAGTGACTCCTACAGTGGACAGGCAGGGGAAAGCAACCAACCTCACAAAGCGTCACCGCTGACACAAGCTTAGCACATACATAACATTATTGGGGTCACTTTCAATAGACTGAAGCAGATTATGTTTATAAAAGTAATGTAGCAAATGACATTCAACTTGTAATAGCTTTGCAAAGACTCTAATGAAAACTCTCAAGTGACCCTAGGTCATAAAAGTTTTAAAACTTTGCAATATAGTTAAAATATTAGATTTTATTTTAAAACCTATCATAGTGTATTACAGTATCTGAAGGCATCTATCTGTATTACAGTATCTGAACAGTATCTGTTCCCTCATCTCCAAATCAGGCATGTCTCAATGACACATGATACAATTATGTCTACTGAATACACATTTATAATAGAAGCCTAACCCAGAACAGAATATTTCTTACCTTTGGCATCATATCCTCCATGAACTTCTGGCCTCCGAACCCAGGTTCTACCGTCATTACCAAGGCCATATCTATTTGATTAGCCCAGGGGGCCAAATATTCAACTGTCGTTCCTGGTTTAATGGCAAGGCCAACCTGCAACAGACAAATGCTATACCACATCATTTCCCTACTGGATTATAGTCACCAAGTTTGTTTTTTTTAAATCAAATTACAAAAGAGAGTATGCAAATTATTCAGAGTATGACATCAGTGTTTGATTTGGATTTATTTTCCCTTTTTTGATTTTTAACCCAAAAAATACTTTTCTTACAATATATTTTGATCATGCCCTCAACTCCTCCCAGTTCCTCCCCACCTTTATAGTCTCTCCTGCTTTTGCTAAAAAACAAAACAAAACAAAAAAAACAAAACAAAACAAAAACAAAAAACAACAACAAAAAAAAAACCCAAAAACGTGCCTGGCCACAGTGGTGGCATATGTGTATTTTAAATACACATTTTTTAAATTTAATTTTTTAATCCCAGCACTCAGGAGACAGAAGCAGGTGGATCTCTGAGTTTGAGGCCAGTCTGGTTTAGAGAGCTACACCAAGAAACTCTGTTTCGAAAAACCAAACCAAACATGCAAACATACACAAAAACAAAAATCAAACAAACAAAAAAGAGATACCGCCCCCCCCCCCCAAAAAAAAAAACAAAAACATGGAGTTCTTTTGGCATTGGCCAACTACTCCTGGGATTGTGCCTACCCTAGAGTATGGCTAGTGGACCCAGTAAAACTCCACTGTAAAAAAACGATTTTCTCCTTGCCAGTGGGTATCAATTACAAATAGCTTCTTTTTCAGGGATTGACCCTGTGTATCTACTCCCTCTCTCAGTGACACACTCAAGCCAGACAGGGTCCTAGCATTATTTTTGTTTGCTTTTTAAAGATAACATAGCCATTACATGTGAATGGTTCCAGGGTAGTGACCTTAGAAACGTAAGTGGAATAAGAGCTCACAAACATTTCATACTTTAACACTGGATTCCAGCTGCCCACATCCAGTCGCTTCCCTGTCATTTCCCCCACCTATCTTTCAATCTTTGACAAGCACTGGTATAAAATATGACTCCTACCATCGACTTACCTTCATCCCATTCTCCCGGATGTCTTTAATCAAAGCCCCTGGGTTCTCAGTTGCCTCAAGATGAAAGGTATATTGATTGGCACCTGCCACGGCCATTGGCTTTACCCACTGCTCCGGCCTAGACACCATCATGTGCATATCTGGGAAGAAAAGACATCTCCTGTTCATTACTGAGAGGGACATCCAGCTCATAAGATGAAGTCACACTACAGGGATTTTTGTTTGTTTGTTTGTTTGTTTGTTTGGTTTGGTTTTTGGTCATCACACATACATTTAACTAAGATTATAAAAATCAAAAGCTTGGAAAGGAGTTAAGACAATAACTCCTTTATATACCAGCATTACTGTATACATTTCTAAACTAACTAACAAAAACATGTTAATAGGTAAAAAACTTCACATAAGATCAGCAGTTCTCAGACAGATTCTAGCACTCTCTGCCTGATATTGGCTAGCTGTGCAGTTGTTATATGCATTAGACCTTTCTAAATACTGATTAGCACATGAAATACTAAGAGAAAGTACAGAAGTTCTGCTTTTTGCAGTTTACTTTGTGTAGCTTCATTTTGCAAGTTTTCTGGTGTCAACTGTGATCTAAAAATAATTAACAGAAAAAAAAATAATTAACAGAAAAGTTCCAGAAAAAAAACCACTTGGTAAGTTTTACACTGTGTAGCCCACACCAGCCTTCTCACTGAGTCATCTTTCTGCTGCACACACTACGTTCTACTGCCTGTTCACAACCTGGCAGCTGGCTGAAGTGGTCACATCCAATGTCCAGGTACCACAGCGTTTATGACTGACTTTATTTCTATAAAATCATTATTATTATTGTGTGTGTAAGTACAAGTGTGTGCATGTGGAAGTCAGAGGACACTGTTGGGAGTCTGATTTGCTGTCCACAATGGGAAAAAAGGTTAGAAGTGAGGCTGTCAAGCTACGTAACGAACAGGTTCATCCTCTGGTTATCTTGATGTTTACCTGCTATCAGTAGCACAGCACAAGTGTAGTGATGGTGACAAGTGGACAAGTCATAAGTGCCTCCTCCAAGTATCAGCTCACACTGTTGCAAGTATTACAGTAAGAAAATGTCACAGAGACTAATTATAAGTTATGCTTTTAACACAGATATGTGTAAGACAATCATTAATGATGCTATATCCTGTAGTAGCAAATATCTGGATAATCTTTATTTAAAAACAAGCACATCTTGGTAGTATACAAGTTTGCATTAATCTTTAATAAATGGTGAAATCATATGCATACCAAAAATCTTTTTAAAATAAACTACTGTATACCCTATTACTAGTAATAAATATGATTTATATGCTTATTTTATATATCTGTATACCCAGGGCTGTGTAAAAATTTCTCAGGGAATAAGGAGTCAAGACTGGAGAAGTTTAATAAGCCTGACTCTACATTAGGCACAGTCTTGTACATTGATCCTGTACTACTTTGGAAGTAGAATCAGGAGGATCAAGAGTTCAAGGGCAGCCTGAGTTATATGAGATCCTCCTCCCCCACAAAATTGCACAGTGTATGGGAAGTGTCTTCTAGATACAGGTGATAAAAATCCAAGTACTCTGGGCACATTTGAAACAGCCAAGGCATAACTATGATATGTTAGAGGTTAGTCACAAATGCACTTTTGACTTATGATGTCTCATCCTACAATGGGTTTGTGGGAACAACGCCGTGATATAATGAGGAGCATCTATCTCTAGGTGTGGCTGCAAACACAACATACCACAGTTTCTTCTTACAAGCTCTTTGGTAACAAACACAAGGTATTCTCTTTCAAGTGACAAATTTGTTAGTTAAAAAGAAAGTCTGTATAACAGTCAACTTTCTAAAACAAGCAGTTTAGCTGTCATTTTTGTTTTTTCCCAAGAAAAACCTGGTGTTCGGAAAAAGCAGCCAGTTTAGTTCATGTAATGGTGCAAGTTGTCTGGCCAAAGAAACATCACCAAGTCAAAAGCGTCACCACACCCTGCAGTAGAAGTGCTTTGTTCTTCTTACTCTGTAACGTGACAATCAACAAGACATTATTCAAAGACAAACTTATTAAAATAAATATTCTACACTGCTTCACCAAAGATGCATACTGTATGTATGCACACAGCAGTGAAGTACAGTCACTACAGAAGGAATCTAATGTCACTGCATCACTGACTTGGTTATGACACCAAAAAACTCACTCACCACCGACGTGCAGCACCAGTGTGGAGAGATGGTTACAGTATTAACCTCATAAATGAGCTAAAGAGGGCTTCTAAGGTTCCCTACAATATAGACCACTACCTTAGATAATAAAGACTTGTCTTGTTAGTTTATTTCTTAGCTGGTTTTTGTACTCAAAACTAAGACTGCACAGGTCAGAGCTTTCAAAATATCAGGGTCAGATGGTACAGACCTGTAACATAAGCATCTTCAGTGGCTAAGACAGGAGGATTAAAAGCTCAAGTCCTGCTTGGGATACAGAATAAGTTCTAAGTCAACTAGGGGAACTTAGGGAGAGCCTGACTCAAAAGTAAAAGCAGGGCTAGGGAGATGGCATAGTGGATAGAAGTGCTAGTCACGTAAACCTTATAATCTGAAAAGCTGATCCAGCAATATGGTCCCATGTACAGTCCCCGCTCTCTTATGACGAGATGGGAGGTAGAGAGAGAATATAAGTGGAGTATACAGTAAGACAGCCTCTGAAGGCTGGAAGGTAGACAATGACTTCTGAAAGCTCTTCTTTGACCTCCCCTCCACAAGTGCACTGTGTCACTGTACCATATGCATACCCACACACATGTGCGCACACACACAAACACGTATAAAAATTTTTAAAGATTTTTTAAAACAGTAAAAGGTTGTGGTTCAAGTTGGCATGTGCAAGGTTCAAGTTCTGATCTCAGTTCCACCAACAAAACCCCAGAACTTTAGAGGTTATATAGACAACGGCAGACAACCTATTTAGTTATCTTAGAGGATCTTTCTTTTAATTATGTGTATGTCTCTCTATGTTGATATTAGCACATAAGTACAGGTATGCACAGAAGCCTCAAGACGGAGTTACAGAAGGCTGTGAGACACCTGCTGTAGGTGTTAGGAACCAAGCCCTGATCCTCTGTAGAGCAGAAGTGCTCTTAACTGCTGAACCATCATCTCTCTAGCCCTGGACTACTTCTTAAACTCCAGTCATGCATCAACTGTCACACAACCAAAATCCAACAACAAAATCAAACTGTTGAACTATAGAAGAAAATAAAAGCCTCAGACTCCAAGTATTAACACAATTTATTCATCCTTATTTTGAACAAATTTTCTAAAATATTAAGTAGCAAATTTATATACATGTATACATCATACATGTATGCCTAAATCCAGGATGAAAAAGTAGATTGTATAAGGTGGTGGCAGTGGTATTATAAGAATGAAAGATTGATGATAGAAGATATAGGAAACCGTGAGAAATGAGAACACGAGTCAAGATAAAAGAGAAAGGAAAAACCAGGGGAAAAAATATATGAGAAAGAGAGCATTGGGATGTGTGGCAACCGTATGTGGGAGCAGTGAGATTTAGTTCATCATTTCTCATAATCAAGATAACAAATTTAATTTTAAAAAGTCATGTATGCAATACAAGCAGATTCAAGAAGAAACTTACTTTTAAAAACTCCCTTCCCCCAAAACTTTTTTTAAGTTTTAAATAAATCAAGATTATATTTAAGTACATAAAATTTAAAGAGATGAACATGTTGGTAGACATGAGGCAATAATACACATTCTTTTGATCCTCTGAAAATGGATGAATCCTTTCCCAGGGATGTCCAGGCGCAGCCTGAAGAAGCTGAGGGATGGCTAAGGCCAACACAAAACCATAAGCTTACTTCATATGTTTGGTTCTGTTTAGTTTTTGTAACTCAACTGTGTGGTTGTCAGGTATGAACTTTGTATTGACAGTGACATGTTGCACGTCGAAAGGCTGGACACACTTGCTAGAGGCTGTGCCCGTAGCTGCACTACTGACAACAGTCAACAGACACACATGGCTACTGAGGACTTCGAATATGCCTATGCGAATGAGAAACAAATTTTTATTCTAATATAAATAGTTATATATGGGTTTTAGAACTATCACCTGAACATTTCAGCTAGAGTATTTTATAAAATGTTCTACTTGCAAAAAAACAAAAACAAGTTTTCCTTAATTATAGAAGTTACATAAAATATTATAAGCTTGATTCTATTTCAGTTCAAATCGCTTCTGGGTTGGAGGGATCTATAAACAAAAACAAAAACCAACTCCTGCAAAAGAAACAAAAACGCTTTATATTTATTATTCCATGAAATGAAGCTCATCTTTGAAAAGACCATTATTTGAAAGAAATAAACTGAGTGCTAGAACACTTAGCTGAATGATAAATTCAATTACTAGTCATACAAATGTAACGTCTGCTTCGCCTGAAGAAAGCTGGGGATGGAGAGAAGAGTCGTCAGTTAATGAGCTGCTCTTCCTTCCCAGCACCCACACGGTGGCGCACACCCTTCTTAACTCCAATTCCAGGGAATCCAATGCTCTCTTCTGGCCTCTGAGGGGACCACACACACATATACACGCAGGCAAAACACCCAAATAAATAAGTTATATATTATAAATAATATGTAAATAATAAATATATATTTATAAATAAATCAAAGAAAATCACGAGTTGAGTTCTAGCCCTCCCTTCATGGATATTATAGTCAGCTCTAAGAACAGAATGAAAAGTGTTTAAAGTTAGTTTGGACCAGTTGCTCAGAAAGTCCTCTCTGAGGAGAGGACAAATGATCTGATGACTGTCAATGAGGCCCTCAGCAGAAGAGTTTTTCCAGGTAGAATCAAGTTCACGGCAGAAGGGAAGGGAAAGGTGTGGACTGCTAAGAGCAAGCTGATGAAGGCCCAGCACAGGACATAACAGGAGAAGGGTACCAGATGAACTTGATCAACCAACCTCTGTTTCCTTTATTTAAGCAATGTAATCAGTTTCAAATGTTTAGCAACCCACTTACCAAAGAAAGGGTCCTGTCCTAGCTGCTTTCGAAGACTTTCAACCACAGGGTGACCAAAAGTGATGTTGGGAACAAAATGCCTACAAAACAAACAAATAAATCTTACTCTGAGAACATTTTCAATTTCATTTCTTCATTTATCAATATGCTTTCTGAGAAAGAAATAAAGGAATGTTTGGGATGGCAATTTTTTCCCATATAATTCTTAACATTTTTAATATTAGACAAAATTAGGCAAAAGTAACCAGGTAAGATCGGGCTTACAATTAATGTGTGCTGTCTCATATATCTTCATAATGACAAGACTATAACTCATAAGTCATGGCAAGCAGAAATGGAAAGAAGACAAAAAATTTATGACTTGCTCATGTGACACACTAATTATTAAGAGATTCTAATACAGACCTCAACCTGCCTCTAATTCACTTCAGTCACACAACACTGAATGACAATTTATTTAAACACTTTAAACAATAACCTTTAAAAAATAGCTTGGTATTACAAATAAAACTGCTATGACATATTAGCTCAGTCAGCCCAAAGTACACTTGCTCGACTATGTTTACAGTAGCTTTGTCATAGCAAGAGCCTGGAAACAGTAAGATGTCCCTCAACTGAAGAATGGATAAAGAAAACATGGGACATTTATACAATGGAGCACTACTCAGCTGTTAACAACAATGACATCAAAAAAATCGAAGGCAAATGGATTAAACTAGAAAAAAAAAAAAAAAAAACAGCATCCTGAGTCCAGACCCAGAAGAACAAACATTGTGTGTACTCACTCACAAGTGGATAGAAGATATAAAGCAAAGCAAAGGATAAGGAGACTACAATCCACAGCCCCAGAGAGGCTAGGTAATGAGGGCTCAAGGAGTGACACACGATCTCCTGGGGCAGGGAAATAGAAGAGATCTTGTGGGTGGACTTGGGGTAAGGAGCTAATGGAATCTGGACTGACAGCTAGGACGCCTGCATGTGACTGACCTAGGCCCTGTGCATAGGTGTGACAGTTGTGCAGCCTGGACTACTGTGGGACTCACAGCAGTAGAGCAGGGGCTGTCCCCAATGCGTTGGTTGACTTTTAGGAACCTACTCCTCATACTGGTCTGTCTTTCCCAGCTTGAAAACAATAAGAGCTTAGTCCTACAGAAACTTGATAAGACACACTTTGTTGACTGATACCCATGGGAGGCCTGAACAGAAAGAGAAGAGGAGTAGACTGTGGTGGAGGGAGAAAGGTGTTGAAGGGAGGAGAGGGAGGGGAAAGTAATTGGGATGTAAAATAAATGACTAAATTTAATTAATAGAAAATTCTTGCAAGGCAAAGACTTAAAAAAGCAATTTTATAAAGCTGTGCTGGGAAAAAATAACTTGATGTGTATCAGAGCTAATAGTACATTGAGAGCATAGTTCACCCCAGATATTGGATTGTTCTCCATACCTCCGACTAATAAAATAAATACTGTTTACATTCTGTTTCAGGAACATTATAACTGACATCCTGAAAGAAGTCAGTTAGTAATCTGTGGAACAGAATTAAGTCGGCCTGCCACCAACCAAAAGCACTTAGAACCTTCAACCTTCTTAATTCACCTTCTATTGTATCACCTGCTCATTTAAATCTTTAGGAAACCACTCTCCCTCATGTAGTTCATCCTATACTGGGTACAGCAAGTCCTGTGTTTTATAAAGAACAGGCAAAGCCTTTATAGTCTCATACACTCCCTTCACTCAGCTAATCCAATCTCATCAGCAATAGAGGAATAGAGGACTAGAGGACTAGAGGAATGAGTGTTAACAACTCAGTAGACCCTCAGCTGCAGGACAGTTATCAGTAGGAAGCCCCAGCTGCCTGTACACCCAAGACAGCCCCTGTGATAATTCTCATCAATGGTCTGTGAGTTTAAGTGACATATGCCATTGTAGAGTCTAGAACATAAAAAGCTCAGGCTAAGCAGTCCTAATCTGAAATCCTATAAAACTGGGGACTTTTTGAGAACCAATATGATGCCACAACAGACAAGATGGTAAATTGGTGTGATGGTGCTCATGGTAATCCCAACACCTGAGAGGTGGAAGAGGATCAGGAGTTCAAGCTACCCCGATAAAGAGAACTGTACATAAAAGTTTCACAAGACATATATGAATTTCATGAACCTGTGTCCCATCCCCAAAGTAACTTACAAAGCACACATAAATATTCCAAATCCAAATAAAACCCCAAATCTGAGAGAATTCTGGTCACAAGCATTTTAGATGAGAGAAGCTCAACTTGTACCTTCCTGCTCTCACTTTACCTGCCAGCCCAGCCTAGAAAGCTCTTTCTAAACAGAGCCATGGGGTGGAAGAAGGTGAATTCTCAGAAAAAGCACATGGAAGGGCACTCATATTCAACTGCTACATTATTAGCAAGAAATAGACTACAGTGCTACTTCCTGAAACCTGGGCTTTGAGAAAATCTAAACAATAATGTGCACAGCAATGTGAAGAAGGAAAATGGCAAAAGATTAAAATAAAAGCAAGTATCCCAGGAGCATTCTACATTAGAAGATCAAAGGACTACGGAATGTTGAGATGTATAGCATCAGAAATGGCTGAAACACAAGTGAAGGCAGAAATAAGCAAGTTTAGGTCAAAGGGAGAAAGGCTGTCGATCAAAGCAGGCATAGGTTCTATCAGATTAAGGGTGTCCAACGCTGAATGCAGGTGTTTGGAGTTTATTGCACTATAAATTATCAAGTGGGATAATAGGGCAAGAAGCAAGTAATAAAATACATACAATGAAGCATGAAGACGGACTTAGCAATAAGTTGCAAGAAGGAAGGAAGAGGTATTGTCTTAGTTAGGTTTATCATTGTGAAGAGACACCATAACCACAGCAACTCCTATAAAGGAGAACACATAATTGGGGCTGCCCTGCAGGTGCAGAGGTTGAGCCCATTATTAGCATGGAGGCATGCAGGCAGACGTGCTGGAGAAGGAGCTCAGAGTTCTACCTCTGGATTGGCATGCAGCAGGAAGAAAGAGTGCCACTGAGCCTGGCTTGACCTTCTGAAACCTCAAACCCTACCCCGTAATACACTTCCCCCAACAAGGCAACACTTTCAAAAATGCCACTCTCTATGATAGTCTATGGAGACTGTTTTCAGTCAAACCAGCAGAGGTATTAATACTAAGAATTGGTTTAAAAAAAAAAAAAGACAGGCAAAACTAAGAGTTTCTGTCAACAATGATTAGATACAAGGGGGGGGGGGTAAAAGAGAGTAAGCTGTGGTTAAAGCTGCAAGTTTAGATGACAGGCAGGGTAAGTGCTCATAAAAAACTTACAGTCTAGGTATAAGTTCCAAATACTTCCCATTCACTAAACTTTAAATCTGGCAACCCTGTGAGGCAGGTAGCACCTGTATTTTACAGGTGAGGGAATGCAGCCCCGTTCACACAATCAGTGAGTGCAGGTGGCAGGAGTTACCACACACTACAAAGTCCAGTCTTAGTCTCGGCATTCACCTGCCAGGACGATAACAGCTAGAACAGCAGTCCTGGGAGAGGACAGGAACTCACATGCACGACAGTCCCAAGCAGGACAAGTGGACCAGTGTGGATGAGTTCTCTAACCGACGGATCCTTGGCGGTTCCATTTCTAGTATCTAGAACACTATTCTACTGCCTGCCTAAGGACAGTCGCTATCAGAGCTCGATGACACACTTAAGTTACTTACAGTAGAAATAAGGGTCAGGAAAGCTGGCAGCAATCCCAATGGAGTATTCTACAACTTCACACAAAGTCTTTAATTGCATATACTGTTCTTTTAATTTACTGTGTGGCCTTGAAATTAAGTCTGCTCAGTTTATGTCTTATTTATTAAGAAAACAAATATAGTGACAAAAGGCAGGCTGAGAAACAAATAAGTACAAACTTACTTGAGAAACACAAATGTAACATATAAAAACCCTCTCAACTTATGTGAGCAATTTGTGTTTGTGTTCCTGGTGATAATTCAATGAACTGGGTTCACTAACTTTACCAGGAGCACAAAATGCATCAATATTCTCACAAAAAAAACTAAAGGCTTGTCGCTAAGCCATAACCAACAAGGACAGAAACCCAGGCATGAAACCAAGCATCTTGAAATTGCCCGACACCACCAACTATCAAGGGATTTACAGCTTCTTCATGAGGGCTCCTGAGGTTCCAAAGACCCAAGATCATGACTTTTTATCAAATGCCTCAAAGATCTCTTACCAGACTAGAAAATTCTAAATGAATTCACTCTAAAGAAAAGGAATTCACCAGAAAAGTCAACTTTATAACGATTCTACTCTGACATTTCCCTCCTTGAATGCAATCCTTAACCAGGGGCTTGCTGGGATTCCAGTAGAGCAGCTGTAACACAGGAACACAAGCTTCCTCTCTCATCACATGCTACAGCCCTCTGACCAGTGCTATACTTACTTCACTTAGTGATAACTGGAATGCAGTCTACTGCAGACAAATCAACAAACAAGCCGGTAAGAGAATTAAGGTCGGTACAAAATGTACCAAGACTGGAACCAGAAAACAATCTACCTGTGAATCAGGTATCATAGAGTCACTAGCCAGTTGCAGTTGACAAAGTTAAAAAGCAAAACTGAGCAGATGAGATGGGCTGGAAGGGGGTAGGCACACGGCACAAGGAAATGTAGGACTGGTTAAAGGTGTTTGCCTCGCACAACTCCAGCCCATCATGGCCATATCAGAAAACACAATATGGATGCCAAAGTTCTGACACCAAGTCAGAAATCCAGTATTCATGTGAAAGCTCCCCAATTTAAAATCCTGAAGACTAGTTTAGATGTAGATATTTGCTCTGCTTCCATGGTTGGGATCAGCCCGTTCCAGCCACCATCCTGCCATGATGTGTTTTGTGTTTTCCTCAAAATGTTTTTGCAGAAAATAAATCTGCCCTTTATTTTAGATATTGAACCATACTTGTGTCTGGCCACCTAGTGTTTCCCAGCCCAGTTTTTTACTTTCTAGATAAATTCAGTTTTAAGCAGGTAGAAAACTGGGGTGTGGGGGTGAAGTGGGAAAGAGAAGGACTTATTCTGAGGCCGACCACCTTTGTAAAGGGAGCCCACAGCTCACTTTTGTACTGTTGCCCTGGAAACACCACACCACGTGGCAAATGAGGTGGCCGACACCAGGTCCTTCAGGTTTTGTCTGCTCAGGCAGGACGCTGGGAGAGAAGCTCTACTTCTCTAAATTGGTTTCCTCTTTTGCAAATGAGAAGTAGAAACAGCTTTTACTCAAGGAAAAAAAAAAGTTGGTAAAGATTAAAAGGCATAAAAATTGTACATGAAGAATTTAGGTTTCCCAAGCCAGTGCTTCCCAGCAAGAGCAGAACAATTTTTTTTTTTTAAAAAAAGTCTGCCTTCTTGTGTTATTTACTAAACTCATGTCTGCTGGGAGGGGCAAAGGTAATTAATTATTCCTAGCAATGCTTCCTGCTATTACTAAGCAATGATAACATGGATGCACACAGATACCAAGGTGAGCAAGAGACAGACATCAGGAGAGAGAGAAAATAATACAAATATAAATTACTACTTGAAGATTACTAACTAAAACTTGTAATTACTAAGTACAGAAAATTCCTTCAGGGTTCTGTAGAAGTTCAGGCCACACAGAAAGTACTTCTGAGACACAGTTACATTGCCTTGATTTTGGTTCCACCTTCTTTTTTTGGCTATGAAACATGGCACTGTACCTCATCAGCCCCCAGGTTCCCAGCCCTATACAAAGACCTAGATAACTAAGGAATGCTGAGAACAGGAGACACAGTCTTACACAATAACAAATGGCCAGCTCTAAAATGTACACACAAGTAACATACAGATGAGCAGGTCACGGTTACGTATTTAGGGTGTGTGTGTGTGTGTGTGTGTGTGTGTGTGTAATAACAATTAATTTAAAAAGAGGCCAAGGATTTGAAAGAGAGCAAGGAGGTAGTATATGAGAGGGTTTAGTGGGAGGAAAAGGGAGAAACAATGTAATTATATTACAACTTTAAAAAATAAAGGAAGTTTTAAAAGAAGGTTTAAAAGAAAGTACTAGACCAGAAAGTCATGTGCTCCTAAGTACTACTATTCAATATTCCTATTAGCAAACTGAAAAGGAGTGTTCTCCATTCATTCATTCTGTATAAGCAGGCTCGGAGCTGCACCTGCAGCCGGACCCATGCCCAGACCCCTGAGTTTTCTCATAGCCACAATCTTTATGTTACACACTTGGTTCAGGGGACCGCTTTCAGTGCGTGTTAAGAGAAAATAAGAGATTTAACCAGAGAGCAAAAGCAGAAAAACCTGCTACAGAGTAGCCAGTGACATTAAAAAGGTCCATCTCAGTGTGATGGCCCAAGCCTGCAATCCTAGCATTTGGGAAGCTGAGGCAAGATTCAGAGATTAAGGCCAGTCGATGTAACATATACCTTTTCTGAAAAACAAACAAACAAACAAACAAAAAAACCCAAAAACGAACAGCAACCCCCAGTTTCACCCCAATAAGAAAAAAAAAAAGCCTAACTAACCTCTTGGAAATAACACATATTTGCCAATGTGACTGAGGGCAAACAGAGTTTGATTATCTGAAATAAATTTATTTCTCTATCTCAACCCAAGGCTTTTATCATTCAATGCGGAACTTCCGGTGGGAAATGCTAGTGAAAGCCAAGAAGACTCAAGTTCCAAGTCTGTCACAATCTTCTGTAATCTTGAGCAAGTCTTACGGCCTCCTTTGGGTCTAGGTTTATTTCTCACTTTATAACCGACTTAGGAAACGTGGACCCTGATTCTGAGCACGATAACGCTAAAACTACAATGCTTCAAAATTACTTACAAAAATCTGACCTCCCTGAAGAGCAGTGCCTGAAGAGAAAATAGACAGAAAAATCAGACTTGGAAAGGTTATTCGATACGACTAACAACTGTAGAGAGTCTGTTACACGTCAGGCCCTGGACTTGCTCATTTCATTTTTCCAAAGACGCGGAAGCGTTCTATTATCAATAATACTTCCATTTTCCAAACACTACAACCGAACCTCAGTGAGGGCTGAAGCGGCTTGTCTAAAACAAGTCAGCAAGTGGTCGAACTTAGGGATCACATAATACAGGTGTCAAGCTCGCCAGCGTGGACGAGTCTGTCTCGCAGCTCTGTGTCGCGGGCTAGGTATCTGAGTTTGGACAAGTCGTGCCGGTCGCACCGAGCCTCAGTTTCCCTGCCGGCTTCTGAGAGAAATGCCCTGACTACTGAAGGTGGCTTCCGGGTCCTAGTGTCACTGGTTACTGGGGTGGGGAAAGGACTGGGGCCCGGGCTCCGAAGGCAGCCCGGGCCGGCTCGGTGCCCTCAGCAGAGCGACCCGGGAGGCCGCCCGTCGCAAAGGGGCGCCGTGCACCCAACAGGCGCTCGCTGAGGTGCAGCGACGCGACCCGCGCGGCCGGCCCGCCCCGAGCCCCGCGGAGTTACCCGTCCATTACATCCAGGTGCAGGTAGTCGGCCCCCGAGTCCAGCATGCGCAGGCACTCGGCCCCCAGGTTGGCCAGGTCGCTGTTGAGGATGGACGGGCCGATCTTGCAGCCCGACGCCATGGTGCCGGTTCCCTAGAGCGAGTGAGCCCACGAGAGCCCGGGCCAGCGAAGACTTCGTCCCGATTGGGCGCGCCGCACTGGCTCCGCCCCCTGCCACCCCGCACTCTCTTCCGGACTCTGCCGGAAGCAGCGGTCCTGCGGCGAGGAAGTCCCGCCTCCTCCTGGGGGCGGGGCTGTCAGATGGGTGGCGAGGGGCGGGCCTTTTGCCTCCGGTCTTGGAACTTTCGTCTCAGTAGAATAGCTTCTCCGTTTTGTAAGGAAAAACAGTTTATTGAGTATAGTACAAGAAGGCGACGGTCCCATCAGCTAGACTACCGCCTACAATGTAGGAATTTGTTTTCAAAATGTATTTTTTTTTACTATTGCTTACATGTATACCTTATATTGTGATCATAACCCCCGTTACCTGCTCTTACACCCTTTCAACTCGTGCTGAGCCTTTTCTTCCTAATTAATCCTTCTCCTATTAAATATGTATGTGCGTCTGCAGGTTTTGTGCAGGTAGCCACAGTTGCTTGTGCACTCGGAATTGAAGCAGTCCTGTCACACCCCGCAGCCAGCATTTTACAGCACTCCCCACCCTCCATACAGCCCTTTGCTTCCCTCTTTTGTGACGTTCCCTGGTCAGGCGGTGAGAACAGGTGGCTGCTGAGTGTAGGAGTTTCTTAGGCTTCCGTGGCCCTACTTACTCTGGAGTAGACAGATTTGATACAGTTGGTTATTATTCGGCCGTAATTCTTGAAACGGGTAGGTGTCCTACTGCCAAATGTGTCCAGAGTCTGGGTCAGGAAGAAATATGAGGCCATATGAAGATAATCATGGATTCGACAAGAGGAATTTCTAAAAGACAAGGATAGGGTACCTTATAATTTTATTCAAAACATAGCTGATGCTAATTTAGATGCCATGGTTTCTATTGCCACAGACAGAGGTCAATCAAATCTTTAATGTTCTGACACGGACTACCAGAATTCCAGCAGGTCATAATCTGGACAGTGAAGTTAAATTGGTTACCTGTCTTCCATTCCTACATTGCGCTCTATTTTGAAAGGTGGGGGATGGGAAGTGCCTGTAGGTGGATATCAATTGTATCAATAGAAGTGGAAGGGACTGATTGGTGATATTAGGCCAGGCATAGAGTGCAGGTATGAAGAACAAGAGATGAATAAAGAAGGCACACTCCAAGTCTTCAAAAATGATCCTGAATGAGCTAACCCATTCCCAAAGGAGAGAAATGAAATTGGAGAACATTGAATGCTTTTAGATTTATTTTATTATATGTGCATATTCAAACACAGAAGTCAATAGCTTTCATAAATATCTTTCATAAACATCTCAGTATTTATTCATATGCATTTTTCCATGCTCTTTGGTCATTCAGTATTCCTAACAGACTTTATAGCTATCTGAGGGAAGTTGGCTGTGTAGTCAATCCTTTGTTTTTACCTACAAAAATGGCTAATAAAGGACTTTAATCCCATGGTCACAGTGACTATTAAAATATTATGGAGGTACATAGATTTATGATCCTAAATGATCCTTAAATAATATAAGTAAATTTATCATAAACTTTTCCAAGTACATTCTGCCCTCAACTTGTTTTTATTCTCCTGAGTGTCAAATCAGAGTTTGCTTCTGAAATGCTGCAGTTGAGACCCACAAAAGTAAATGAGGGAGTGGGACATTTTACTCACTGCCGAGACACAAGGCCATGAATTGGAAGTGTGAGGTCACAGAGGAACAGTGGGACTCTGGTAAAGTATCCTGTGTAACCCAAGGAAGGTATTTAATTCGTGTTTTAGACTATAATTCTACAACCCTTTCTTCCCTATAGATCTCTGTACATACACTCTTATTTCCTCAGGAACTCTAGGAGGTGGGCAGCAAAATGGAGAAATTTTTTCAACTGACTAAAAAAAAAACCCAGATGTTAAAAGAGAGATGCCATCTTGTTTAAGTTACTCATGGAGGCTCAATGTGAAGCAGCCTTTGCCTCCAGCACTGTCATGTGCCCAGTTGTGCCCTTTGACACTGCAGCTCTCAGTGACTTATCCCAAGGCACTCAGTAACTCACTTTCATTGTCAGAAGAATCAAGTAATTTAATAGAGTTATAGAAAGCAGTGAATGCTGAAAATGAAAATAAAGTGTTTGTTCTAGAAGAATCTGTATCCAGGGTTTAAATTGCTTTAATCTGAATAGTATACATCTCTACCCACGATCATGGATGACATATTTTTATTCCAACATCTCTCTATAAAGTCACTTTCCAAAGGACCAATCTTCATTGAATGTCATTTTTTAATACCTGGTGAAAGGGAGTGCCTGTTTTATCCTTCCTCTGAATGAAATAAATATGATTAAGCAGCATATATTAAGAAATAAATCTATTTTACTAATATTATATTGATCATAAGTGATAATTAGTGCTTAGTCACATTTTGAATATTGTAAAGATTGTCAATTAACTCAAACTTGTTTCTTCTCTTCCCTAACTGTTTTTTTTTTAAGTTGTTCCTTCAAACTCCAGGTAATAGTATTCCTGAGAATACATCTTGTGACAGTCTTATGCACATACATATAGATACTTTAGTCACTACACATAAACAGTCAACACGTTACATTCAACACGTTTAAGGACACCATAAATGGTATGGATGCACACATCTGCAAAATTTCAGAAGCCCAACACGAGAGAGAGCATTTCCACTCTGTAAGTCCCTATTTCTCAGAGTGGACAAGTCTTTTTGTTTTTTCAAGATAAAACACTACTTAGCTTATTAAAAAATTTCTAACAGACTTCCATACATGACAGAGAAGGAGTCAGGTTAAAAGATAGACAGACCAGTAAAATCATTCCTCAAACAGCCCAGCACATTTGAAATATATAAAGGTATTTAGGGTTATTACTGAGTATTTAACAATTCATTGACCCCTACACTTCTTAAATATCTGACATGATTATAGAGATTTTGACTCAAGAATCCCAAAACCGGAACAAAGCACATAGACGCACATAACTCAGATACGTGTATGTAGCAGACATAAGGCCTCTAATGCTAATTGAGCAGCATAGTTTTTAACAGGCAAAATACATCAGTTTAGAACCAGAAAACCACTTGCATGTTGGCTTCTGCACTTAGGGATGAACTCAGCATTAAGCATAAACGATGTGAAGATGATAGAGCACAGAAAAGAGGTCCATTTATCTCCTTGATTTCCCATACTTATTTCTGGAGGTGATACCACCTTGATTTTCTCAACTGGGGGATTTTAAATTTTATTCTAATTCATTTATAGATACCTTTATCATCTTTGTGAATGGGGCCATAGTCCCAAAATATATTTGATTTTATAAATCACAATATAAACTATGCTTATTTAATAAACAATTCTAACATAAAAATCATTTTCCTTTATGACTTGTTGGATTGATAGGTCTCCTCTTTTTATACATGTACATTTCATAGCCAACATAGTCAACATTTGAGCATATAGAATATATTTTGAACTCATCTCCACACAAACTCTGTTAACCCTCTATTTGAAGACTAACACACACACACACACACACACACACACACACCCATACCAGTGTAGGTATGTATTTCTTTCAATGCTTAGTAGTTATGTAACATTTCTCTAATGTAAACGGCTAAACTTCTGAAGACCATTTATGAACTGCACGACGCCCAGCCCTTTAATAATCTACTAAGTACTGGCCTCACAAGCCTTCCAATTTTTATTTTATTTTTTGAAGTAACTGCACTTCAAGTTAAAGCCCTATTTGTGATATATACAAGCTGTCTGAGTCTATGAAGAAATTGGTTACTCTGTATTTTTCCTCATTAACTGAGATCTCTTAAGGATCATAGAATATTTGACTACTGAGAAAAATTATTTTCCGATCTAATTCTAACAACTTAACTTTGATGTATGAAAATATGCCCTCAGGGGGCAGGCACAAGAACTGTAAGGAAATATAATCCCCTTTCCCAATAGAGCCAATTTAGACACTGCTGTATGTAGTTGTGGCTAGAAGCAGGAATGCCATCTCTTTCAAGCAATGCTATTTACATTTAGCTTTTTATAATTGTATAGCTGTCTATGTCATTAATTCAGAATCATATCTGAGAATTCCTAATGTGATATGAAATGGGCTGTGGCATTAGAATTTTAATTTATAGCATTTAGTGAAAATGACAGTTAAAAATAAATTTTGAAAATTCCACAGCTCTAAAAAAATAGTGTTTTGTTCCTTTAATTTCTAGATATATTGTTGACCAAAACAAAAATAACTGCTAGGTTTTTAATTTAGTGTCTCCAATCTAATTATTTTTCTTGTTGGTTGTTTTTATGTGAGTTGCAATGCTTATAGCCACATAATGTAAAATTTTTGAAACTACAAAAATAAACATTTTCAGGAAATGTATAATGTGAGTATCTTAAAAGATTGCATTCCTCTTTAGAACATATAGTCAGCGGTCTTATGAGGGAAGCAACAGTATATACTCTCAACTGTCTGTAATAGTATATATATTCTTAACTGTCTGTAATAGTATATATTCTCAACTGTCTGTAATAGTATATATTCTCAACTGTCTGTAATAGTATATATTCTCAACTGTCTGTAATAGTATATATTCTCAACTGTCTGTAATAGTATATATTCTCAACTGTCTGTAATAGTATATATTCTCAACAATCTGTAATAGTATATATATTCTTAACTGTTTGTAATGGTATATACTCTCAACTGTTTGTAATAGTATATACTTTCAACTGTCTGTAATGGTATATATTCTCAACTGTCTGTAATAGTATATATTCTTAACTGCTCAAAGCAAGGTGTTCAGAATGTGCATTGGAATGGCCCTTTCCCCCTATTCCTGTTTTTATGATCTTCACACGACTGAAGACTTTTAGCTATTGATTTTTAAGGTGGTGATAACACATAAAGAGCGTTGACAGCAAAATATGCTCAGACGTAATGCCACGCACTGGCTATAAAGTGCTGTTTTGGAATTAAGCCTTCCCATCAAAAGCATTCTGCTGCCAGCAGTCTCCTGTGCACTGCCCCTGCAACAGAGACCTAAACATGGGGCTTGTCTGGTGCTGTATCTTTCTCCCCCAGGTCAGGAGGAGTGAAAGTGAACTGGCTGGACAGCAGGGGGTTCTCCATGCCATTTTCCTCGCTGATGTGAAGGACAGTATCTCCATGCTGCAGGAGGCTGGATGTCTCAAGGCCAGTGAAGTCATCAGGGTCTGAGAGTTGAGTAGAGAGGGGACTGTGTACTGCAGCACCTTGTACTTCTGTATTCTCCTTTTGTTCTTCTTCTTCAGCAAGAAGGGGCTCACTCTGTGATCAAAGGATCATAACATCATGGACCAGAGAAGAACATAAAAACGGCTATGTAGCTCTAACTGGACAAGAACTCAAAGGTGAGTCCAAGCCCTAACTCCTGTCTCAGGGATGATCTATAAGGGCCCTTCCCGCTTTCAAAGCATTGGTTTTCTATCCGTTGACATATAATTTTTTTGGGGGGAAGGGCCCATGCATATCTTATAATCTGTAAAATTGAAATGATACAAAGTATTGCTACATACAGTTCCTTTTAAATATTGATGCAAATATGTATGCTAATATTATCCTTTGTTTTCTTTAACTATCACATCAGAATATGGTACCTGTAGAAATTTCTTTCATTCTGGGAGTGGTGGCACACACCATTAATCCCAGCATTCAGGAGGCAGAGACAGGACGATCTCTCTGAGTTTGAGGCTAGCCTGGTCTACAAAATGAGTTCTAGGACAGGCTCCAAAGCTACACAGAGAAACCCTGTCTCCAAAAAAAAAAAAAAAAAAAAAAAAGAAGGGAAAAGAAAAGAAAAAATTTATTCATAAAAGCAAAATAAAATAATACTAATAATACTATGAGAAGGCTTCATCTACGCTAGTAACTTTCACATGCTTTACTTGAAAAATATTCCAACTGTGTATCAAATTTTTGTTGTCAGTGATTATTCCAGCTGAAAATTATTTCTTAAATTAGTGGAAAAAAATTTCTTAATTTAGTAGAAAGCATAAAGTTTTCCACTAAAGACATCTCTTGGTCCTTCTTACTTATAGATACATTATTGACCAAACACTTTATATAGATTTGCTTTTTCACAATGGCAAAAATAGTATCTGTTTGGGCAATAACATATTACAGACCCAGACTTAATTATTCAGAAGAAATAGTTCAGAAATTATTCATTTCTGAATATCACATCTAAGTAATTCCTGCAAATAAGGATGCAAGGTGCAGGCCTTGCTGCCTCTGTAGTGCTTTCACCTGCTTGGGAGACACGCTGTGAAGGTCTGCAACAACAATGGCAGGCGAGGATGTGAGCACTGGTTTGTCACTTCCTTCAGGCTTCCTGGATGGCCCTGGGCTGCAGCCCTGTGGTTGGCCTGTGGCAGGAAGTATGTCTGTTGTGGTGGCTGTTGGCTCTGACTGAGCCTCAATGAAGGTCACAGATCGCTTCTGGTCAACTGTAGGTTAAAGGTGAACTGATAAGTAGGAGAGAAATTGGCTATTGGTGCTTAATAATTGATATTAACCAGTGATTATCATAAAGATGTTGCTGGTTTGTATTAAATGAGATCTTATATGGCCATTCTATATATCTGTATTTCTCCTTCTTATATAGAATAGAGAAAAACAAAATTGAGAGAAATTAATTTCTACATAAACGGCCTGAAGCAAGATGCAAAGTCTAACTTATCATGATGACCCTACTGATGAGTTCTAGAACCAAAACCACAAAGAGCTATCCACCATGCCACCTTTACTAAGAAGCAGAATGGTCTGGTTTCTGGATTCAGTAAAGAAAACACAACCTTTTACATTCAGGTTTCAGAATATTAACAATTTACCTTGGGTCGTTCCAATTATCTAGGTTCACAGAGAGTGGGGAAAGGTTGGGGAAGATGAGAAGAGAAAAAAAGAAGTAGTAACGTTGTCTGGGAAACATCCTGAGACCTCCCCCAAAGTAAGGTTATTGGCATCTCCTCATTTTCTGCAGGCCTTCTAGACCAAGCTGCCTACCATGAAAACAGTGGTGTGATCAGAAGGGGCACATGATAGCTCCCTCACCAGATGGCTTTGTTTTAGGTTGAATGCTCCTGCGAGTGGTGGACAGTCGAGCCCCGTGGCGGTTTCTGGGTTCAGTTTGAGTCTTCTGCCTTGACAGAAGAGGGCGTCTTAGCTGAAGAAAATAGATAAATAAAACTGGCAAGAAAAGCCAACCGTCTGGGAACCCTGAATCCACAATCTCACTTGTTCCTTCCCGTACCCTTGAAACATCAATGGACTTGAAATGCTAAATTTGAGAATTTCAGTGGATAGAAATCCCCAAAATAATGTTATTACCTGACTCTTGCTCATCTAAAACTATAGTTGAACCTCTCTTAACTCTCAGAGAGATGTATTAAGAAACCAGCTTGAGCAAAACATTGGCACTTCACTCTGACTTTTGCTTAGAAAGCAATGTATAATTCAGAAGTGGTGGTGCATACCTGGAATCCCAATACTCAGGAGCCCGAGGCAGGAGGATTGCGTGTGATACCAGCTTGGACTATGTATTGAAACCATGTCTGGAAATTGAGAAATAAGAGGAGATAGGTGTGCGGGAGAGACGGAAAGAGGGAGATGAGGGGAAGAGAAAGGGAGGGATCTCACCTAAGGAAATCACTCCCAAGCTGGCTTCCAACTCTATGTAACCCAGGCTGGCATCATAACCCTCCTCTCTCAGCCTCCTATGTTCTGGAAATACAGATATTCATCACAACACCCGGCTGAAAATATGATCTTCTGTCTCAATATTAAATTAAATCTCTAATGCCAAGGTGAGAAAGAACCTATCTCCAACCCTATAAAAGCAGGTACTTGGTTAACTGTATAACAGCCAGTGAGTTTGACTGGGAAAGAAGCTTGCCAGTAGAGAACAAGAAGATTTGTAGGCTGACACCCCTTTTCAAACAATCAGCTTTGTACAACAAAAGCTTCATATTTGCAATAGAAAGCTCACAGGCTCAGTTTGCCCAAGCATTTGCCAAGCATACTTTACGGTTGCTGTGCACGGCTTATTTCAGGCAAAAAGGCCAAGTGTAATCTTAATAAGCAAAGATATTAGCAAGCAAGTGGATCTTCCATCTTACGGGATGACTCTCGTAGCATCTCAGGGTCTACTTACCTGCCTCAGGCCCCTTTTCCTCCCCAGTGGCTGCTGCAGGAGGAGGTTCTGCTGGCCAGGTTCACTCTGTACACTCGCCACCCTGCCAAGCATCAACAGCATTAGTCTACCCTCGAGACAGCTTCAAAGACCATTCTCTGGTGGGTGTTAGCCAAAACCACTTATATGAAACAGTCACTTCAAAGATATTGTTATCTTTGAAGGATCATTGGGGAAGACTCCCTGGGGTAGGGGGTTCTCAAAGGCTTGGAAAGGAGGACAAGGCCTTGTAGCCCCAAGCTGTCAAAATTGAGATTCTGTTTTCAGTCACTGATGCTGGATCTACCATTCAGCAGGACAATGGTTTGATCAAACCCCTGGTTTGGAAGCCATCAAAAGGCTTAACATGTCATATTCTAATCTCAATTTTTTTTCAAGGGGAATGGAAACGCTGGCGACAAATACACACAAACAACTTTGTCACATGGATGGGAACACCTGTTTTAAAACTTCCGATTTAAATGAAAATAAGATGGACAGATATTGAACACATCAGACACAGAATCCATTTGGGTGAAGGGACACATTCAACACATGTTTGCAGCCTGAAGTCTCTGTGACAGCTGAGCAAATAGTCACACGGGTAGAACATTTAAATATTTTTGAAAACTATTTTAGATTTAAAAGGCTGACAAGGAAACTGGCAGTGCAGCTCAATTAGCTGCACTCAAGGGAACGGTGCAGTGGATAACAGGAACAGTCTGCTCCCCCCAAATTACTGTGTATGTGTGTCTCGTTAGCAAAAAGGACTACTGACAGGGTCTGCTACTTTAGTGTTGGTGAAGCTGAACAAACTGGAATGGGCCATGATTCTTTTTCATTCTTCATGCATGTATCATAGTTTTCTACAATGGGAGAGAGAATGAAAAGAGAAATACACTGTGCCCATATGGCATTTGAATTCTGTGGTTGATGTCAATGGGATTAATTGATTTATGGTTAAATGATGTCTTTGCCTTTGCAAAAGGAGAGTCATCTACAGATATTGTAATGGTAAAACATCCCACAGAGGAACCCAGTCAGCAACTGTCCACAAAAAGAAATAGAGAATGATCATACCCACATATTTCTGGTTTTTTTTTAATGTGCTACATAAACTACTTGCTGCACTTTTAGTAAAAGAAATTAGTTACAAGATGGGTATTCAGATGCTTCTCATGTGTGGCAGGCTAACAATTGCAGTTCAGATGGGTATTCAGATGCTTCTCAGGTATGGCAGGCTAATAATTGCAGTTGGTGCAGTCAAAGCTATCATTTAAAGTACAACTCGTATTTTTACTAGAAGAAAAAGCAATGACTCATTAAGATCTGTCAAATTTTCTATGAAATAGGGATATGATTACATCATCTGAGTTATGCAACACAAAATTCTACAAAGAACACTAAAAAAGAGGCATTTAAAACTTCTTTTCTTGCCCCAAAATGAAGTTCAACCGATTGATGTGCATTACATGACTGCCGCGTGTATGAAGGAACTCTGTGCTAAAGGAACAGTGCAGCGCATCTTGATCATCAGTCCAGACTATGATGCTGGCATGTCTGAAATGACATCTCCTTCTTAGTCATCCATTTTAACATGTGTCTGTTAAGTTGGAAAGCATATATATGCACACAAGTAGAAACACATTTCTCCCAATACCAAGCAAAGCTACCATTGGAATGGATTCTTCATTGACATCTAGATGTTACCTCAGTTCCCTTGGCCATAAAAGGAGGTCAATACTTACCAACTACCTCCCATTAAGGTAGAGAAAAGAAGTTAGTTGATGTAAAATGGCTTGTATATGACAAGTGACATGTATAGCATGCTTTCTTGTTTTACATTTGTTTTTTGTGATGAGTTTATTGCTTCTCGGAAACTAAAAGGAAGTATTTATTGGAAAATAATGGGGCAGAGAAAATGAATATGAGGCAGTCCTCTGACATCATTTTTATTTACTAATCTGAGGTTGTGAGAAAAAATGGTGCAAGAAAAGAAAAAGTATACATTACTTGGAGAGTTAAATGTCACAACATAACAGTAATTTTATGATGGTTCCTCCAGGGGAAGATCATGAGCATCAACATTTCTCTATGGACAGAGAGGCTTGTAGCTGAGAAATCTATTGTCTTTAGTAATTGATTATTCTAGGTAAATAATGTAGGAATGTGCACATCAAAAATGAAATCATAGAACATGCTCCTGGAACACGTTCCAGGCAATACATTATACTTGCCCTAGAAATACGATGATGAAATTTCTCCTTGCTGCGTCAATGAATTAAATCACATGAAGAATAAACACATAAAAAACTAACAATGTAATGAAGGCAAAATTTTCATATCTTGGAGTTTACTTCAAACTGGAACTTACTATAAAAATTAGCTTCAATGTAGTGTCCATTTCTTCACATAATGTAATACCTCAATCACTTGTAGGAACTGGGAGAAACCAAGATCTTCATACTAAGAACCTATCTGCATTATGTCCTACTTCCTATATTACATTTTTGAAGCAGTCTCATCTAAAGTCTTCATCTACCATAAATGCAATAATCAAAATTATTTTCCTTATCAAGAAGTTACAATATTTTATTAGGAGATCTCAAATTTCAAAAGTGTACTTCAGTGGGCAACTAAATACTTTTAAATAACTTTAAATATATACTTTTTATTCAACATTTATGAAAAACAATAGAGAAGTTGAAATGGTGTTACGATTTGCCAAACTAGTTGATCAAATAGTAAAAGCTTTATCTTGCTTAGAACACTGGTTTGCTGGAAGTATTAATTTTAAGAATGACAGCTGTCTTAACCAAACAGGGTGAAACAGTAAGTATAAAATCTAATAAAGCTTTCCAGATTTAAACTAACATCTTGCAAAACATTCCTAAGTCAATAGCCTTAGCTGTAGAGGTCTTGGTTTGTTACCCTGCTGGCCTGGAATGTATTGTGCGCCTGCTACAGCCTCCCAAGGGCTAGGGCTACACGACAAGCCTGTGTTGGCATGTCTTTCCGAGTTCCTGAAAATATCTCCTTGGAAAAATGATAGTAAGATCCAAATTTTAGAGGAGAAAATTCAGCCAGGGCACAGCAGAGTTGGTGGGATTCAAACTGTGATTCAAAACTAGTTCCTATTTATAATACAAGGAAGCAATTAATAAGCTAGGGGAATTTGTGCAATGTTAGAAAAATGGTTTTGATAAGATCACCTCCTTTACCTTGCTGCAGCATAATGGCCTGGACTGAAGTGTATACATAAGTGTATATTTCCTAATCATACGACGATAGCATTTCTTTAAATAAGCACTGTGTAAACAAGGAGCCATTCAGTAATGCAGGCTTAAATTTGTGTCACCCAAATTATAAAAAATAAACCATGTACTTCAATACATCATATACATAAAAAGTTAAGCAGACACTCTGGATGACAACACCCTCTGATAGTGAATTGGTGTGTTTATTGTTTCTTTCTGTATTTTTGGCTTGAGCTTTCGTTTGGTTATAGAACCCTGGAAGTGGGCATGATACGTGTGGCACAGCAATTTGTCCCGAGTGACTGACTGCATTGCGGTGGGAACTCACAACATCAGCACTAAAGGAGCCACAGGCAGACAGCAGGCGAGCAAGCAGAAGACCAAAGCTCACTCTTGCCTCTCACAAACATTGTTTCAGTGTGCTACTCAGCCTCCACAGCACCTGTGAGGCTGTCAGTGCTACAGAATTTCCAGACTAGAGTTTCAGATCAGCAAAGGCAAAGCGGGCATTGTGGGTCCCAGTGCACACCATCTTGGCCCTGTCTTTTCAGCTGTACTAAAGGTTGCTGGGACCTTTCTTGCATTTTAAGAACACCAGGCAAGTTTTCATGCTTAGGGGTTATGTATGAGCATGAGACGGGCATTACACATGGGTTATTGTTATTTCATCTAGACTACAGTCTTGCTCAAACTTGGACTGAATCCTCTGTGTAACTATGACTAAGCTTTTCCAAGATTAAAATGCTGAGATAATTTCTTTTTAAATTGAGAGTTCACTGTTGACTCCTGCTTTTAAAAGTATCTAACATGTCTAAACAAATTCTGGGTCTCAACTATAAACATCTGGCCTTAAGGACTTAAATCACTTTTCTAGATCTCTATTATTCTGGAGGGAAAATATGCCCATGATATACACATGTGTTTGAGAAACGTCTACACTGAGTTTTTATGCCTCTTAGAGCAGCGCTCTCCATAGAAGAAAAGTCTTCCATGAAATTTTGATTTATCCTATTAATTTCCAATAGAAGTTTTAAGAAACAGAACCAGACAGAAAACAATGTTTCTGATGGGAGTTTGGGGGCTGAGTCTTTAAAAGAAATGTATTAGTGTAATTTTGTAAAAATCTTAGAAGTTTCTAATTAGGGTATAAATCTTTTTCAGTTCCCATCACCTTATCTGGCTGTCTTTTCCACTCAGCCTGCATAGTCCAGCTTGGCTCCTTTGTCTAAAACAAGTGGCCTCTCAAAAGCAAAGTCCTAGAAAAGCTAAACAAGGATCGGGGTGGGTGTGTGGCAGGGTTTACTGGATTCCTTTCTGTGTGCTTCTTATTAAGCTTGGGTCAGATTTTCTTCAGGATAACTGTGAGAGTGCTTCAGATCCTACTGCTAAAATGCATTTTACCTGTAATTCACATGGTTATCAACCTTTCTATTTCTGTATTTTAAGAATGTGCATAAAGAGTTCTTGTGCCAAAAAATAAGAAAGCCTCCAAACAAAATATTTAAAAAACATGCCATTTAATAAGCCCTCCTTTTAGTGCGTGCTCACACTTCCTCTCCTCCCAAGAGAACTTGCTGACACAACGGCACTCAGGATACAGCTTGCAGCATATGGCAAAGGTGGACGTGCTAGTGCTTGGTGGGAAGCCTCCACATTAATAAAATTATTCCAGAATCAAAAGGAAATTGTTTCTATCTCCATGTCTTAATGACCATCGCTGGGCCTGGTGACTAACACCAAGGTCCAAAGAAAAACAGTGCCAGCAGCAACAAATCAACAACAGCTGACTTAAGATGGTCATCAAAATGCTAACATGATTAATTCACCTGGAGACGAGGGCTCTAATTCTGGCTCTGAATTAGTCTTAGCACCTAGCACAAACATTGAGTTTTCTCCTTTTGCACCAGACCTAGCACAGGAGTTAGTTCCAATAACTCTAGTCATTTGAACCCTGAGCTCGCCAATAAAAATCAACTCTACCCTGTCTCCTCTCAAGCACACTGGGCTGTGACTTCAGCTAGCAGAAGTAGAATCTGGACTAAACTCTCAGCACAAAGCCATCCAAAGAGAAGCCTGACTAATACTCCCTATCCTTAATCATCCACTGATCATACTTTCTGAAAATAAGGTTGTCCTAGTCCATATGCAATGTTAAGCATTAAGCAATTACAGCTTTGAAAGCACCGATGCCCTGCTAGATTTTGTTGCAAGTTCTTCAGACATACAAACTATTAAGGGAAATCTCCAGGACTGTGGTTTTCAACCTCCCTCGCCCTACGGCTCCTGCTAATTTATGTTGCTCTCTGCAGCACTTCCACTTTTACCAATAGGAGACTAATCTGTCCAAGCAAGGGCTCGCAAACACAAATGAATGTCATGAATTATGGATCCAGTAAAAAAAAAAAAAGACCTGATGATGGACTAAATTTCCCATTTTCAGTTGAAGAAGAAAATGTGAAATCTGAACAAGATGCAAAGAAAACAAAAGACAACCTTTCACAGGAACGGCCTCTCAACATTTCCTCATCTTTGGAATAAAGCAATAGACGGGGTAGGGCATTCACTATAGAATGCAGCCCTGGGAGCGTTTTCTCTTGGGATGGGACAAAGACTCTAAAGATGAACAAGAAGCATAGCCCCTAATGAGGATTAGTTGAGAGGTGTAAATCAACAGCACAAGATTAGGAATGTTTGACGTGGTTTATCTGAGTGTTAAAGGTGCAGTACCCATTTCTGAACGATTAAGCAAATTGTCTAGGTATTCTACTGTTTTCATTGCATGACTTCTGTTACTACTTACCAAGAAAAATTTGCAATAGACTTTTCACAGCGAGTTTTCGAGTCATGTTTGTGCTAGAGCCAATATTCTTGACATGTGTCTGAACACACTACAACGATGGCACGCTGGGCAGCGTGCATCAGAGAGAAGCAGTCGCCCACATTGGCAGTGGCAGCGCTGTTCCCACAGCGCCACTGTTTTCTGACCATCTATGACGTTAGCTATAAGGTCTGATTCGACTGAGTACAGGGGCTTCCTGAGAGGGAACTGTACTAAAAAGACCCCCATAAAGCAATTCCCAGTGAATATAAGTGTGGAAATGAATGATTAGATGGGGGGAGGTACTGGGTATGGGACCCAGGGTCTAGCACATGCTAAGCACCTGTTACTACCACTGAACTACACCCCTAGTCCTTGGTATATAAAGTATTTTGGTCATTCATTAGTCATGCCCCATAGAAAATTCTGCAGTTTTTTTTTTTTTAAATTAAGGTTTTTAGACTATTTGTGATTGATCTCTGAAGCTGTCTGTAGAGAAAGAGGGTCTGCTACACCTTTGACTCCAGGCTCGTGTGTTCATGAACAACACAGGGCGAAGGATGGAAAGAGGTACCAAGACGGGCAAGAGGAAACGGAGGAGACATTGTGACGGAGGTGACAGGGAACAGCTAGTTTCCCAGAACAGACACCAATAGACAGGTAGCTTTGACACTGTACCTAGAGAGGCTGCCCTCGGCGGCCAGGCCCTGGGAGTCATCGAGGACATTAGGTTCACTGCAGGAGGGGTAGGGAGATGAAGCATTTAGGGGAAGAAAATGCAGAAGGAAAAAAAAAGAGAAAGAAAAAGAAAAGGGAAAGGGGGAAGAAAAAAAAGCATGCAATTTTCTGTTTCCAAGAACTGAAAATAAATAAATTTAACAGAACAAGGAAGGAAAAGGAGACAGTCAACCATTTCACCTTGTGCTGGGTTTGTCAAGACATAGGACTCAAGGCAATGGGGGAAGGAAAGACCGGATGGGTACGACTCTCAGAGGAGCGCTCTGTTTATTGGTCAAGAGTTAAAATGAGCTCCAAATGGAGACGTGAGCTCGGAAATGCTTCGCAGAGTAGACCCGCAGAAGATGAGTCTACGAGCTCTTTAGTAGCCTTTTGGCTAGGTGGTTAGTATTTTAGCATATCTTATGGACACAGAATTTTAATGATCAGACCTCACATTTTCTTGTAGAGCCTAACATTACTACACAGAAACCACTTACCATGAATGGCCACAGCCAAAGTCTGGAAACTGATGCGTTAAGAAAAGCAAAGACAGAGCCCAACTCCCCTGCTAATTTTGCAATGACAATATCAATAAACAGAAGGAAGGGATCTTCAAAACATTACAAAGAACTCACATTTACCTCCCTATTATTCACTCTCTACTGACTGAATTGTAAATACAACGGAAGTCTGTCATTTGGTTAGTTAGTAGCAGTTTATCAACTTATTTGGATGCAGCTGAACTGATGTTTGTTAGCACATCTGTGCTATATTTTATCCACATTCCCATCAGAACTAGCACTGAGCTAGGCAACCATAAGGCATTCAATAAATATGTATTAAATTGTGTATAATCAAGTATCTACAAAACTGAAAGGACGATTATCAAAGATCTGAGTGTCTCTGTCTCCAGAAAGAGAATCTTTCTTTTTTGGTAATGGACAAAGACAGTGTTCCCTTCTCCAATTTTCCAAAATATAATCCAAGAACAAAGTGATTCATTGTAATATATTCTTTTTAACTTCTGGGATATGTTTATACTAGATAAAAATTTCCTTTGCAAGTAAGTTGATCCATCATTATATGCACGGAAAAAAATTAGTAGTTTGACTTATTTTGAACAGCTCAAAAGCTCTCTAGTTACAATTTATATTATTTTAAATACAAACATGTGGATAGTAAAAACTAAGAATAAATTAATAGTTGCCAACAGTAACTGCTTATATTACTTTCTTTGGACATGTTGTTTGGCTCTTGGTTCCATATTTAATTTATAAAATCTTTTTTGCTCAAAGAGAAATTATCAAGTTTTAGGTTACATGAACTATTTATTGGGTGTTTGGGGTATAGTGTACTCCTGTATATAAACCAGATCAATTTGAACGCAATCATATATCCCTTTTGATATTATGTTCTCTGTGTGAATTGTGCTACTAAGGGTATTAAAATGACAGTAGCGAGGGATTTAGCTCAGTGACGTAGCATACATATGGCTGGACTGCAAAATACAAACTAACACACTAAAAGTCAGGCAACAATTCTTGAAATGAACATATTAGTTGTTTTAAAAACAGATTAACTCTTAGCTCATTTTTTAATTATAACTTTATTTAAAATATGTAGAATTAAAACATGAGTGTTTATTTAAGTATAATTTTAAATTTAAATTTCATAAATTATATAATTTTGTTTTCCCCAAGTATTAAAAGTTTAAAAACTATAGCCCCAAACTTGTTTTTAAAATTACACTCATATGGCAGAGAACACCGAGGGAAACGCTATAAATGCTTTAGGCCTTGAATCTGAGAGTTGTTGCTCTAGAAGGTCCCCTTCTGATCATTTCACCCCACTTTAGCACATAGCGAGAGAGCTGTGAACTGCATGGAAGTGGCCTTCCCATGGTCCACACAGTGTCAGAGGTATGTTTTCTGCTTGGTGAAGCATTCTTACATGTGTTTGAACATTAACTGCAGAAGGCTAAACTCCCAGAGTATCACATAAACTGGTCTACTCTTGCCAAATAACCATTTTCTTGCTTGATGATAAATCTGGCGTATAAGGATGACATCAACCAGAAGAAAAAAATTTATATTCCTATTTATGGATAGCTCAATAAGAAATAATACTTGGACCTAACAGTGTGGTCTCATTTCGACCTGGCTTAGAAAGCTACAACTATTACACATAGGAACCTTCTTGAAAGTACTTTCTTGAACAGTTTCTCTAGAAACATAACCCATACTTGCTTCTCATTCAGTTTTTATAGGCTGATGTTGGTGTTTGTTTGGAATTTTTTCTTTTGCCCCCAAATACAGAATATAAGACAGTCATAGGCCTTTACCTTTGGCTGGGTAACATGCCCACCTCAGCCTGAGGTGCAGACATGCTGGAGACGTGGCTGGAGAACCGCCTCCTTCCAAGGGCACTCAGGAGACTAGCTTCCTGTTCACTTACCACACTGGGCATGCTCACAGAGTCATCTGAAAGTGCGAAGGGATCGATGTTACAAAATCATGATACCTATCAGTGGTACTTGAGTTCCATCCCTGGCTTGGGTACCACCTCATGGCTGTCTTTAAAGCTAAACAATCACAACCATCTTTGTACAAACAATAACACAGCAAGCGAATCAATGATACTTCTTCATGTCTACACATCTCCTACCTCCCCACGCAGTAGAGCAGCCTTCACAAAACACATGCAAACTTCTTATTTACTTTTATAAGTATAAACCAATGTGTACCCACAAATTAAAGATTTCAGAAAAGCTAGGTTGTACATATACGTGTAAAGACTATTGCAGCAATAGTTCAGTTGGAGTTTGCTTTGGAAGAAGTCAATTCCATTTCCTTGACATCAAAAAACTACTCAGTACATTTAATGATTTCTAGATTGCTGTGGGAAGCAATATTGCAGATATTGTAGGAAAAAATACTGGAAAACTGTAATATCCTGAAGTGTTTATTTTAATCTAAATTTTCAATTTTTAACGAGGCCCCCTTTCTCTGCAGAAGCAGAAATTAATTTACCTAAATCCATAAGAAAGTTAGCTTTAGTACAATATTTTCACAAGTTGACTTCATGCTAAGTGATTTAATACTGTTTGTTACTAAACCACATAAACTTCAATAAACAAATTGTGTTTTGCAGATGTGTGCTACTATGGAAAGTCATCTGTACATTTAGAATATTCTAAGTGATATTTCCATTATACATTTTCAAATAAAATCATAAATATGAAAACTGCTATAGATTTTAATTTGTTATACAACAATTTGGACTGAATTTTGACATATTACCTTTGTGTATGTTTACAAAGAAGCTAAAAGTAGTGGTGCATGCCTTTACTCCAAACATTTGTGAGGCAGAGGCAGGTGGATCTCTGTGAGTTCAAGGCCAGCCTGGTCTGCAGAGGGAGCTCTAGGAGAGGCTCCAAAGCTACAGAGAACTCTTGTCTCAAAAAAACCAAAAAAAAAAAAAAAAAAAAGTTAAAAAATTGGAAAACTTTCTAGAACACATTGAACTACAGAAGCCTTTCCTGGCTTCTCACTGATTATCATTAACTATGTATCTAAACATCTCTTTAGCATTTATTTGCTCATTATTGATCATTAGTCTTATGTTTTCTTCTATCAAGCCTTTTAAGTGCTGTCTGTAAATGTCTACTTCTCTACAAAATTACATTTAATATTATAGAGGACGGAGAATATATCTTTCTCAGTTTTTTGTTCTATACTTAATAGGTTTTAGTACGTACTTCTACGATTAGAAGAACAGTTTCAATTAAAACAGTTCATAAACTTGTTTTTATACCCTTTTCCATATAAACTAATGTTCATCCACATCACAGCCATAATTGGCAGCTTGATTTCTTGAGCTAACTGTGATATCTGAAAAAGATATCAGCAAAAGACTACGTACCTTCTGACGCCCTTCACCCTACTATATGAGTGGTGGATCCTGCCAATGATGTCTCTGTTTAAGTCATCTCTACTTTTCTTCCTTAATTCCTTCCTAGGCCAACTACTTACTCACAAAGTTACCTGACTTAGTCCTAGGAATTACTGAGGGCATCATTTCCATCATTAAAAAAATGTTGGTAGATAGCATTTCATATATTAAAGGAAAGTATAGATATTATTTCATACATTAAAGAAAAGTAGAATTTACTTTATGGTTTGACCTGACATCAGGGCTTACTGTTTATGTTAAGCTGCTCATTTTTGGTTTTAGAATATAGTTGGTAATAGAGCACTTGACAGTGCCTTGTAGGTATGAAACCCTGATTGAGTTCAGTCGCCAGCACGGCCAATCCTTAGCACTGCCAAATAAATCAAGAAGCTCCCTTTTAAGTTAAAATGTTAGGGACCAGTGTTCTGCTGCATGATCGTGCCTGCAATTCCAGCCTCCAGTGGTGGAGGCAGGAGGACCAGAAGCTTTGGGGTCATCCGTGGAAATGTAGGGGATGCAAGGCCAGCCTGGGATCATGAAACTCTGTTCCAAATAAAAATAATCAAGAAAAATTTTTAAAGTAAACCTCTTCTTACCTCTCACACTGTGCTCTTTCAGTCAGTATTTGTGAGAGATCAGCCTGCGACTATGGAGGTGAGCCTGTGAGCGGTGCCCAGGTGTCTGGATAGAAGTGGTTTAGAGTGTGATCACCGCCTTACATGACTAACCCTCAAACTAAATCTGGAAACATTGGTGATGAGCACTTTGACAAATCACATATTTTCTATCTTATAAACTTAATTGTGGGGAGCTAGTGAAATGCTTCTGCATTTTACTCATCTTACTTGATTAAACTTCTAAGCTCCTTTCTTGTTCCTCTGTTTAGTTCAGAGAGGGAACTTTTGTGGGTTTTGTTTGGTATAGAGGGGTTCTTATATTTTATTCTCATCTTTAAAGGTACACCTTTCAATAAGCTTTATGTAAGAGCATCTTAAAAACACTAGTGGAAAATAATCAATGCAATTGAAGAAGCCCCTGTATGACAGAGACATTTAGTGGGAATTCAGCAGATGTTTGCTTTCAAGTCCACACTGCTCAAACACACAGTGCGGTATTTATTCATTTGCTATCTCCCACTTCACAACAGTACCAGAAATTCCTGGGATAACTGCATTATGGGAGAATCTCTAAGCTCTTTCCCCTCAATCATTCTGCCAATTTTCTCCTGGCTTCCACAGACATCATGTGCACACTCTGCCCATTTTGCTCTGACAAATGGGACCTTGTGAGTGCTGGCCATTTCTCTAGCCAGAATGCCCAGGAGAAAGAGGAATACGTTGTTTACTTACAATTGAAATGAAATTTCCAAGAAAAGGTCAGATAATACTTTTTTTTCTCCAAATATCCAAGGGTATTCAAATTTCATTTGAAACCTCTTTTAAAAATGACTAAGGGAGCAGACCTGGAAATGGCTGCCCATCCTCTCTAGACAGACATCCTTTGTAAAACCTTGCTCACATGGCCAGGCAGGCTTATTGCTTGCCTAGACTCTTACTTACTTTCCTCGTCCTCCTCGTCAGTCCGACTCAAGGTGTCTTGAGAAGCCTGTTGGGATGGTTCACTGTCCTGCTCCCAGACAGTGCCTGTGCCTGTGTTGGAGCGGGACATGGTAGCCAGACTCAGGCGGTAGGCAGAGGTGGACGTGCCCACAGTACTGATGGATGTCTTTCCTTGGTAGGCTGGGGGTTGAGAGATTAAGGGAAATGATGGTGAGCTCATGAAAACAGAAATGTTTGCTTAAAAGTTCTTCAACTTGTGTTTCAGACTAAGGAGTTTTAAGATCAAGGAGCATAAGAATCTGGGGGTGGGCAGTACTGGCCACTGGTATATTCTAAGTGAACAGCTTTCTTATGGAGGCCTGAGGTCCCTACCAAGAGAAAAGCTTTTTCCAGTTTTTTTTTCTTAGTGTGTTTATTTTCATTTGCTTAGGCAAATAGCATATCAACTAATTTTGACTTAAACTGTCGCTTCTAAATCTTTGGTTTTATTACTACAGCATGTGAATTGCCCACATAAGTATATTGGAATAATAAAAAATTAATATCGTTTATCTGAACCTAAAATCAAAATCAGAATACAACACCAAAGAATTCTCATTCTCCTTTCCTGGAGAGAGCAGCATTAGAAACTTCTCGGCTCTGGGACAGGTGTTTCTATCAGATTCATCAGAATATCTGAATGGCAATGTGTAAATATCACCAACGCTGCACTTTTAATATCTGTGTTTTGAATATTTTGCAAACAACAGTAAACACTTCAGAAAGCAAATAAAACCACAGTCTTTTCCATATGGGTGATGACTGCCCTCTAATGGTAGACAGTGATTTAATTTCGTTATTCAGGGGTCTGCTTTTACAGAACTACAGAATAAGCAATGAAGATTCAAGGAACAATCTTTCAGTTTGAAGAAGCTCCCTCTTGTCCACTTTACTTGGCTCCTCCCCATTCTAATTTGTGAAACACTAAGAAGGCTGAGAATCCACAACACAAACTTAGTGTAAAATCACCTCACCGGCTTCACTTTCTCGCTATATAAACCATTTAACCCTCCAAGTATCAATTTCCTCCTTTTAAAATCGGGCTTGGAAAGATACATTTTACAGATACGTGTGTGGATGAGAGGAAATAACGCCTGTAAAGTAGTCATGGATCCTCAACAAAGTGAATTCTCTATCAAAAAGGGAACGAAAGAATGTAAACACCCTTTCCCCTTATTAAATATCTAAGTGCTTAAATGCTAAAAATAAAAATATTCAGGAGAAGAATGTAACTAAATTCCCATGAAAGCCCTTTGACTTTTGTTTTGTTACTAGATGTGATCTCTTGGTCAAATCTACTGGTATATCAAGAGAGCTAGTTCAGACAGTCGCCAAGGAGCAGTGAGCTGGGCAGAGATGGTTAATTCCATCCAGCAGACTCAAGAGACACACTTTACGCTTACCTGATCCACTGTGGACCGCCTCTTTCAGAATTTTCAGCTCGCTGTTGAACTCTGCAATGAGCGAGCTCTTGCACAAAGGGCGGGGGATGAAGCGCCGCTCTAACTGGTCAGAGATATGTTGCCGGGCAGAAAGTTCTTCATGGTTCTCTGCCGGTTGGGCCAGTAGCTAAAAGGCAGGCATTTCATCCTCAGGACCCCAAATTTCCCATCTGTAAACCTGGCTCACTGTGATACCGACCCACTTCATAGATTCAGGAAGAAAAGAAGGCGATGCAGGAGACACTGGCGCCAGCACAATGCCACTGTGTAGTGTCTCCGCCCCAAGAAGAACAAAAGAGTGGATTAACACTGGGACTCATGGAGGGAAAAAGAAGCCTTGACTGTCCCGTTTTTTTTTTTTTTTTTTTTTTTTTTTTTTTTTTTTTTTAAATAGTAGATTTCAGATGCTACTGATACGGGAGAACATTCTCCAGAACATTCCACGGGGCCAGTTTTTCTCCTTTCTTTAAAGAGAGAGATGACGGATGGGATGAGAATAAGTTTGGCATACTTTAATAGGTGAAGAGGTGCTTTAAATGTGAAATTCTCTCTCGATGCTTGCGTGGGGCTCCATCCTCAAACATGGTGCTAACAGTCACTCTAATAGGCTAACTGGACCCAGCATGTGTGCGTCCTGTAACCACCCCGCTGCACCCCCGTCCCTCTCCCCAGCTCCCAACACTCCTGCCTTAGTAGAAAACTGCAAGTTCACTGGCTTTTTGTGACAGGGTCACTCCACACCTTGCATTGGATGAAAGGGCGCAAGAGTACGAAGATGGGTATCCGGGTGCGCACGATGAAGTCGAGGAAATCCCACAGGGCCAGGCCGCCCACCTTCCGCAGAGCCATCTCCTTCACCTGCAGGCTCAGCCAGTACCACTGGCTTCCCAGCTGCCGCTCAAAGCAGACGAGAATAACCTTTAGGGCTTCAGAGTAGGAAAAGAGAAGGATCCTGAGGGCGTGTGCTTCAGAGGAATCCTGCCCACAGTCACTGCCTTTGCACATGGGAAAATTTTTAATTCGTTAAATGCCACAGTTCCAGAAACTTAACCTGTACCCCTGAGCCAGTATTCCAGACATACAGGTAAAGGTATTTTGATGTGGGTTAGAACACAATTTTATTAAGTGCTTTGAAAATCTCCATTTTGAAAGCAAAACAAAACAAAAACCACCACCACCAGCACAAAAAACAATGGGGTAAGGTAGGTAGTCCGTTGAACTAAAGAGGCAATTATAAGTATGTGTATTACTAATGCTTTACGGCCCATAGGCTTTGTCACAGGGGCTTTATGGACTCACCAACAAGTTACTCACATCCCCAGATAACATCATTATCATTATCATCATCATTATCATCATCATAATAATAATATTAATAAAAGATACAATATCTCGATTCAAGAAGAAATATAAGTAATATCTTCATTAAAAAGGCAAAAAGTGGAATGGAATAATTTTTTTTAATTTTTGGTCTTACATAAAAAGCTCTTTTTCCCCACTATCTTCTGTGTTCCTTGACTTCACGTATGGTCCTTTGCCTCCATGGATGTTTTCTGAACCTGGCTTCTTAGGCCTTGGGCAACTGAGCACCCATTATGGTGGGTCCTATGTACACACATTCTGTTTCTTTCTCTCTTTTTTTTTTCCCCATACTCCAAACTCCAAGAACCTGTCTGATTCAGGAGTCTGTGCTGTGTCCCACTCTCCCAACAACATCCATTTTGGTGAACTGAAAAAATGTCAGGAGAGATGCCCTTTTAAGGGGTTCCATTGTCATGTTCCTTATTCTTGGAGTCAGTCCAAGAGTGGTCTTCCCTCCAACCCTGGTCTATTTCTTCCTTTTATGAGGTTCCCCACTTTTATGCTCCTTATTCTTGGCGTCAGTGGTCTTTACTCCCGGTCTACTTCTTTCAGGGACACTGAGTGACCCTCTGTTACCCCATGGGAGGCCAACACTTAAAGTCAGGGGTGAGGTAATAGGGAAATAGGAGTATAAGTGGGGAGAGGAATTGGAAGCTTGTAGGAAGGGTGGACTGTCCTCACATGATTAAAGATCAAGATGGAATTGTCTTATAATGACAATAAAGACATTGTCAAGGAAGAATAAGAAAGCTTGCTAAGGTAGTAAGGTCCTGCAAGGTCACCATGTCCTACGCTCAGGATGTTGACTGCCAACTCCAAGGGCTTTATTTACATAGAGGACTGACCTATGGGAAGCAAAGTGTGCACTATCTCACAGGAACTGCCAAATCTGAGCCATCTTGCTCAGAAAGAGGTAATCCTTCCTCATATACTCTTATGCAAACAACCAAGTAATTCCGAGAGTGCATATATGAAAATACTCTTTGTCTTTTGACATATGTTTACTAGAGTAAGCTAGTCATGCAAGGGTTTTTCTTGCTCAAGTGGCTTCTTTAAATACCTTCAGAGCCAAGATAGATCATAGTACATATATCCACGGGAAGCAAAAAAGAGGAGGCGGGAAAAAGAGACCCACCTAAGTATGCTGCCTGGCTGGTGGACTCAGCCAGCCCTTCCTTGCGCAAGTCTTTGCCTGCATCCCCAGGAGTAGAGCAATGGGCTGGGGAGCTCTCCAGCATGAAGTTCTTGCTCCTCGATGTGCTGATGATCCGGGGGGGCAGGAGCACGTTGATGACAGTCTGCAGCAATAGCTGTACCTCGGGCTGCTCCAGCCATGGGCTATCTGGAGTGCATGTTGGAAAAGGAAGGGGAAAACATAACAATTACAAGGCAGACTTCCATGTTATACACTGAGCAATGTAACTTCTTCCAGTTCCAAATCAGAACACATAGAAATGTAGGTATTTCCCACCAAGTATTGCTTCTTCCACAGACAGAACAGCATTTTTGGCACCTGAGGATCACCATAGCTGGCATCCAAGGGCTTATGTTATGTTCCAGGCCCAATCTCCTGTTTATTAGTTCATTCTCTTTTCTTTTGTTAAATACTTAAATGTACTGACCTTACATCTGAGATATGCTTTTCCTAAAAGAAAGTCCCCCTTAAGATTATGTTGGATTAAAAAAAGAAGATAAAACATTACCTATAAACAAAAAGAAGAAGAAGGAGGGGGAAGAGAAGGAGGAGGAGGAGGAAGAGTCATGAGAATGTATTGATGGTTGGCATCTGCAGGATTTCTGCTAATCATATAATAGTTCAGTCACCAGTCAATTCTCAGTGTAGTGTACTTGAACTAATTAACATTTTCTTAACTTAACGCAAACAATGTACTCTGACTTCTGCTGTATTGAAATAATTTTAAATAAGGTATTTCTTCTAAGAAGTAGAGAAGAGAAATTCTTGTCCCTGGTCAGATAAACCAAATAAAACTCATGTTTCCAAAACCCCATTTAATCCATTTAGATTCATTTCAGTTGATGAGTTTCATGTGGAATGGAAGAATAGAAACCACACACTGGTAGTTAGAAAACACAACAACAATGGTACGTTTCCTTTAGTTAAATTAATCAGACCTTTGCTTCCAGATCCTACTGTGAGCACAAATGGGATGAGCAGATTTAAAAGCATCCCTTCCCTTCGCTCTTGATTGGTGAATGGGGAGATCACATGGCTTAAAGGGAAATCTTCTTTTAAAGCCTGTGCAGCAATAATAGAAAAAAAAGATTAATTGACCACCATGCCCATCGCGTGCATTTGTTTCTACAGAGTGTGTCGGCGAAGGTGCCTCCCCGCTGGCTGCACCTGGAAACTATGAGTTCAAGTGTCGTCTTTGTGGCAAATGAAATTTAACCCACAATGATATTTTGCCATTGACTTCACATAACAGAGCTACATTCCTTAAATGACATTAATAGCTTAAGTGTCAAGTGAAAAGGTTTAATATAAGACCCACCTCATTTCTCCCACTAATTTCCTCCATGTGTCTACCCTGGAAAATGAAGAAAATGACAGTGTGGCACTTTCTCCATTTGAGGTCATTTAAAAGTTCTTTAGTCCCTGCCTAGGCCTTCTTCAAGCCAGGAAGCAATAAAGGAAGAAATTAGTGACCTTTGGAAAGTGGTTATTAAGGTGACTACGGGGTGTCATCTCTTCCCTTCACACAGTAGCCACCATTCTTCAAATGCTTTGTACATCCACCCATCTCTAGATGGTAAGAAGTCTGATGGCCACACAATGGGTAGGTCAGTTATACCTTTATATCCGGTGAATTCCTTCTGTTGATCACAGAGTAGAAACTGTGTGACACAGAGAAACAGGGTGATCGGGATTCTGCATTTTTCTTAATAAAGTAGGCTACTTGTATGTGTGTTTAAAATAACATTCAACTCACAATCACTAAGGAAAATAAAGATATTCAAAGTCTGGTAGTAAAGTAACATGTGAAAGAATTTTATATTGTAATTCTTTCTGAAAATAATTTAAAACCAGATTTTGAATACTATTGCCTCTTTTGATTAACAATTGTGAGCTGATTACACATAAGCCATTAGTTTGCACGTAGCGGAAGTGACCACAGTGGCTGCTGTGGTTGCGACAGGACTAAATGACTCTGCTATTTTTGAGATCTCGAGAAGAATTACAGAAGCACAACTTAGGGCCATGCTCAGGGTTGAAGCTCCAAACCCATCAAGGTTTGGAGGTGCTCACACTTCTGTTTCACAGATTTTGCCCAGCCTTTGCAGAAAGAGAAAGAGAGAGCACCACCATGTGGTGCCTCCACCAGCAGCTTAATGAGCGTGACAAACAGGTAAGGCAGTCACACCTGTATCTGCAATGCTACAAGCCGGACAACAGCTGTGCTGAAGGGCAGAGGTGGTGAGAGATAAGGGCTGAGATGAAGAAGGGGTAATCCATCAGCCACACTGGAAGGTCCTACCACTCCCATCACCTGAAATACAAACAGAGCACATGACCAGCCTTGACCATTGCGGTTTCATGCAACTGTAGTAAAGGAGTCTCATTCACTAACAAAAATATTAACAAACTGAAGGTTGGGCATGGTATTTTCAGTCTTTTCTTTCTCGATGCCCTCTAAGGCATGTAATGTCTGGAGTCAGATCGTTCATTATACTGAATTCAGACAAGGTTTTGTAGAATGCCGTTTATAGCTAACTATGTAGGAAATGAGAGATGAACTAAAAAAACAAACAAACAAACTATTCTAATTGGGAGACTGGACAGTTATTTGTGGGTTCAAAAAAGTGCAGTCAGCATTCTTGGATGGAGCAAATACTGACAAGAATGATGATGATCGCAGCTCATGTGTACTAGGCATTCCAGCTACACACTTGTTGCCCAACTAGTCAAGCAGCCGATCCTACTGGATGGTACGCTCGAACATGGTTCTCGTACATTGTACAAAACCTCGTCAGGACCAGACTCTAGATATTACATAAACGGTGAAAATCATTTTTCTTTGCATAAATCCTAGACTGGCCAACTCATGGTGCTATTTGGCTCTAAAAAAAGAAAAGAAAAGAAAAGAAAAGAAAGACTTCTTTTTGTTTTAAGGATCCCCTCCCCAGACGATATCAACTTCTAGCCAATTGTGCAGACTCCACCACCCCACTCTCCAACTGGCAGCCCTCAACTCTCAACGCAACTTTGAGGTGATTGTCAAAGTAGTGCATGGGAAGCAGCCTTCCAACGTCCTGCCTGGGCAGGATGGGCCTGGATCTCCCATGGACCACCTTGAAATGGACCTCACTGTTTTCAGGGTCACCTGAGCCATCTGTTTTCATCGGCAAGTGAGGGGCACAAAGTGGTTGACCTGTAAGTCTTCAGTTGAGAGAAATCAATAGCAGAGTAAAACTGTGCAAAGTTTCAGAAGATTGCCACTTGGCTACTCACCAGATTGACACAGACATTGATCAGTGACCTAAGGTGAGGGAGGAAGGATATGATTGGCTGCCTCTGAAGTGTCAAACAAACCCCTTCAATCAAAGTGCTGGCAGGCTCCCACTCAACCTGTCGCCTGGAACACAATATAGGAGCCATTAGCGCCCTGACTCCCTTCCGGAGAGTCTGCAGCAAGTGAACGAGACTGTGACGCTGGCATCAACTAAGACAGGACGTGTGCTGAGACAACAGAGTGCTTCCCACCGAATGGCCATTACCCACGCTGTTCCAAAAGCACAGAGCACACTGGGAGGGGAGGAAGGAGGTACTGAAAACGCAGCAGAGCCACACTCCTGCCCAACCGACTAATGAGACAAAATCTATTGAAGAAAAAAACAGAGAGGATGAATGGGTCATACTTTAAGGTCCCCCTAATGTCATCTTTGGGAGGGGCCCTATCCTATCATTTCAGGAGACATGAGAAATCTTCCAGCAGAGCAAATCTGCCCCAACCTGCCCTTCTCAAATGTACTTATCAGACTACACTTGATACAGTCAGCGTTCACACAAGGCTATTAGTGGGATTCATATGGCTTAAGTCCTGTCAAAAAGAGGGAGTTTGAGGAAAATGATCTAAAAAGTTCTCTTTGCCTCTGAGGAAATGATATCTTGGATTATTTTCTGTGGTAGTGCAGATGGTGGAGTACACATGCCAATCAGATTAATGCAGGGGTTTTCTGTCTCAAAACAGAATGAATCTATTCTGCGGGGTGCTTCTGATTTGGAATTATTCCTAAGCCTACGTCTTCTATGAAACTGCATCCGGAACAGTGAAAGAATGGAGATGTGTCACAGATGAGGAAACCCTGACACTCCAGATGCCAGAAGTGCCCTAGTAATCCACAGCTCAGCTTCAGACAAAACTTTGTGCGTTGAGCTAAGGTTGCATGAAAGGGTTAAAGACAAATCAACTGGATATTATGCCATGCATCCCAGGAAAATTTCCCATAGCTGACCAAACCTGTGAACGAACCCACAACTTTCCTTTCGGGAGGTATTATCATATAATAGGTTTAACTGTATGACAAATGAGTCATTTTATGGAGATGTTTAACATCTTTAAATGTCAAAGTACTTAAGAAAGAGAATTTATTTTGGCACACACTCATGAGACACTTATGCATCTTTGATCAGTCATTTACCAGCAGATGCAAGCGTTCTACTGGAACCACCAAAGAAATAGTGCTTAAGAACAGGCATCTCCATGCCACTGAAAAAAAAATGACCTTGATATAATGTCTTGACATTCATCTCCATGGTACAAAAGCTTAGAACCAAGTGCATAGCCTGATAGGATCCGATATTACTCTTCTGTGACTCAGTGTGATGACATAAATGTGCAGAGCACTGCCTAATGTCTGCGAAACTTCTGGCAAACTGAACCTTAAGTACCAAAGTCTGAGGCAAAGTTGCTTTGCTTTTGAGTTTAGTTTTAAGGGATAGAAAAAGCTCTCTCAGTCATCCAAATTTGAAGTTTCCATTTAGTGGGTTTGTGAATTATACCATCTGCTCACTGTGACTACAGTTTCCAAACTTGGTTCACATTTCCAGAAAGACTAATGCAGAGGCATCTGGTCATTGGAAGAGGATGAATGGGTATTTCTCAGGCCACCAAGAAGTCACCAGGCTGTAACTGTGTTCATTTAAAACTCCAATGAATAAGGTGAATGTCAGATTTTGATATCAGCCCTGTGCCCTTTGTAGCTTCAGTTTACTGTTAATCATAAAACTTGGAATTTTCCTATCTTGCTATGTACCCAAATAAGATAACGTATGCTGTTAATAGAGTACTTTTAGCATCAAATTAATGTTTCTCCTCTCTGCTGTTGGCTATTTGTAAGGCATACTCTCTCTTCCTTCAAAAAGGATTAGGGCTTGTTGAGTTCTAATTGGGTTTCTCTATGCATCAGATGAAGAACTAGCTGAGAAATGGACAGACACCTCCTCAACATAAGTACATATATTTCTAAATAAATGTTATTTCCTCAAAACAATTCTGGCTACTGGGGAATTTATATTCTCAATTACCTATGCATGAATACCACCAGAAAACTTCTAACTCATTTATTTAACTAACGATTGACCTACTATCCTGAAAATGCCATTTCTAACTGTGTGCTCTGAAATACCTGGCCAGGAGGCATCCTCACCTCAAGGTAGGCATCTTGTGGATTTTGTTAAACATTCTATCCAGTCTCTTTAGAATGAGGATAAGGGCTGGTCTCACTGGCTCCGCTGACCAGTCGGTAATAGGTAGCATCTCCATGATATAGCGCCGAAGGCCTCGGCTCTCCATTGTCTGGGTGTCATACGGTGCCAGCTTCAGAAGGGAGTGTGCAATTTCTGCCAGCCTAAAATCATTTCAGAAATAAGGAGCAGGAAATACCACAGTGAGAATATTTCCACAACTTTCTACCTAAGAACATTCTCTCCAGCACCCTCTAACCCTCTGCCTTGCTCACATACATCAATACAATGATATATGCACATGCATAGTCAAGGAGAATCATCGAATGCTTCAGAGAGTAAACATGAGGAGCAACTAACAAACACTAAGGATAGGTCAAATGTGTCTAGAAAGTGCTACTTCTTGTGTGTGTGACAGGTCTCATGTTACCTTGATTGGCTCTGAACTTGCTCTGTAGCAGAAAATGATCCTGAACTTAACATCCCTTTGTTTCGTCTTCCCAAGTTCTGGGATTACAGACATTTGTTACCATGTCTGGTTGTATGTGGTGTTAACATATACCCACATAACACACATGTGCGTGCACACACAAATACACACACAGAGGGGGGACTATTAATTAATTAGAAGTAGTACAATGGGAATGTTGTGCTCCTCCCTTTCTCATGTATTTACTATAGCATTTTAATAAAGAGAAAAGTTGATAGCAGCAGGAGAGGCAAACTAAGTGCTTGAGGGGTCTGCAAGAAGACCTCTAAGATCTGCAGGAAGACCTTTAGGATCTGCAGGACGATCTCGAGGATCTACAGGACCTCTAGGATCTGCAGGAAGACCTCTAGGATCTACAGGAAGACCTCTAGGATCTGCAGGAAGACCTCTAGGATCTAAGGATGACCTCTAGGATCTGCAGGAAGACCTTTAAGATCTGCAGGAAGACCCCTAGGATCTACAGGAAGACCTCTAGGATCTAAGGACGACCTCTAGGATCTGCAGGACCTCTAGGAACTGCAGGAAGACCTCTAGGATCTATAGGAAGACCTCTGGGATCTGCAGGAAGACCTCTAGGATCTAAGGATGACCTCTAGGATCTGCAGGACCTCTAGGAACTGCAGGAAGACCTCTAGGATCTACAGGAAGACCTCTAGGATCTGCAGGAAGACCTCTAGGATCTAAGGATGACCTCTAGGATCTGCAGGATGACCTCTAGGATCTGCAGGATGACCTCTAGAATCTGCAGGAAGACCTCTAGGATCTGCAGGAAGACCTCTAGGATCTGTAGGAAGACCTGTAGACACTGTTTAGGAATAGCATCTAAGCCCCTGCCTACCTCTCCAGTGCTTGGATTTCAAACATGTGCCTCATCTGATTAGCTCCCACAGATGGGAGAACTCATTACTGTCAAGAAAATTAATTCCACTTCTGCAGACTGCACTGATAGAAGCCGCTGTCATGTGAGGTCTGTAAGTTGTCTCCAATAGGCTAGGCTTAATTATGAATACACAAGTTCCATTCATCATCGCCATCGCAAGTCTTCATGACAAGAAAGAGTTTCCATCTCTTCATACTCACCATCTTCATTCCTAACTGGACACTGTTGTAAAAAATGCATGTGAGTGCAGGTGCACAAAAAAGTGATTTAAATAGCCTACACACTCATATTGTTTACCCTTTCTTCTAAGTACATCATAGAAAAAAGGATTCTTTCTTAGATTGTTTATATCTAGGTAAGGGTAATTTTATTTGCAGAGAATCTTCTAGAAACCTTCACCTTATCCCTGCACATTCTTAGAAATTCTACTGTAACACATAACCAGTCTAAACCAACATGGGGAACCTGGGCTCCTATAAACCATATTTTGTTGAAGAAAGTGAATCAATATGACTAAATGCAATTCCACATTTGGTTGAATAAGCACTGGAGTTTAGCTCTCAAGAAAGCATGTACTTTAAACATAGCTTTGAGGGATGTTTGAAAAATGATCTATCTTTAAACTTGAGAGAAATACACCAAGAAATTGCTCTTTTATTTTATTGACATATGGTTTTATAACTGAGAGTATTGAGTTAATTGCTTAAGATTCTATAAATTTAACACCAAACTTATGGTTCATGAATACAAATAGTATGATTTCTTACATTTTGTGCTAATAATATTAGAAACATATAAAAATTTACATGCCAATTCCACTTTTTCCAACTCTTTAGGTAGTGCATTCTAGCTTTTTGTATCATATAGTTTTTAATTTATCTGAATAAACAGCTAATTATACAAGTGATTTTAGTACTTTTAACTGTGTTATTTTCTCTTTTTTTGTCTTTTGAAATGCACCGTGAGAACCTTGAAAATTGGTCTTTATTTTGTTTTCCTAATGTCTAATATAATATAGATCATTTTCATTAATGTTAATGTCTTTTGTACCTTAAATCCACACTAAGTACCAAGAAATTGCTTAGGGCTTGTTAAAGTGTTAAAATGTTAACCTCTAGAGGGTGCTCAAGGACTCTTTGATGCTATTTATTATTCTTCCCTGAAATGTCCGCAGAAGAGTTATAGAACATCCTGAATACCTACACACAAATAGACATGCACACAGATACATTCACCCATAGAGAGACAGGCAGACACACAGAAACAATCACAAAGAGATAGATAGGCACAGACACAGATAGACAGAAAGACAGACAGACACATAGAAACATAAGATACACACAGATGCATATACAGATATATACAGTCACACACAGAGAGATAGGTAAGACACATACATACCTACAAAACAGACACATACACAGACACATACACTGATACATGAACACACAACACACATGTATGCTGATACACATAGAGACACACAAGACAGACACACATCGACATGCATACTACAATGTGCACAGACACACATATGCATACTGATGCAGTCACACATACTGACACATGTACACACACATACTCACATACATAGACACACACACCCTCACAAAATGCCTGTCAGTAGAAGTCACTTTCTGGCTGTGGAAATGTAGTTTGTCTATTCACAGAATTACTCTGGTCAATTAGAGATAATAGGTGGGAAAAAGAGGGGGAGGGTCTAAATAGAGCCTTCAGCTGTCATGACAACAAGATCTTGAACCATTTTAGCCTTCTGTCTTGGAACTGCATTGCTCAGTGGGAAATATTTTCCTCCTCATTGCACAGTGGGAAGGCCTGAGGCTCTCCAGCATGGCCTGGTGGGTACACACACCTCAGGGGAGGTGAGAGGCAGCCACCTCATGCCTCTGCACTCGGTCCTTTCACCCAGCACTTACTACATTTCTTTCAAAAGATCATTTTAAAAGATAAAAACAGAAGTTACTAATCAGGACATTGGTCTGTTTTGTCCAATTATAATGCTGTTTCTGGATGACTAGGAGAGAACTGTATGTTTAATTTTATAGATGTACTAAACATTTCAAGTAAGTCTTTCTTAACAATGAAAGTTTTCTTTAAAGGAATTCTTATGATTCTTTAAAAACTGTTAGAAATACAGTTTTGAGGTCCTCTGGGATCATATTTAAAAATTTGTGAAAACAGTGCATTATGGATTGAATTCCTGTTTTAATCATTTTTTTTTTTTTTTGATTTTCGAGACAGGGTTTCTCCGTAGCTTTTGGTTCCTGTCCTGGAACTAGCTCTTGTAGACCAGGCTGGCCTCGAACTCACAGAGATCCACCTGCCTCTGCCTCCCAAGTGCTGGGATTAAAGGTGTGCGCCACCACCATTAAAGGCATGCACCACCACCTCATTTTCCCTTTCTAACCAAGATCTCTTTAATAGGTAAAATGTTCACTTTATCAGAAGGATCTAAATGGAATGAACCTAAGTCACGGGAAATAAATTATTTAAATATCTCATTTATTTTCCTGGAGGAAGCCCCACAGTTCAACTTGACACACAGACAGAGACGGGTGACTTAAGATCACAAGCACACGCCAGGGCAGAGGTCGGTACCTCATGTGGGACTTCACATCCAGCAGCTCCAGGGCAGTTACCCGGGGCTCCCCAGCCAGATTCTGCAGAATCTTCAGCCTTGGCCCACAGTGCTTGTAGAATTCTGTGCAAATATTCAGCAGAGATTCCCGGGGCCTTCTGAATTCTTCTCGAGCAATTCGTTCATCTAGCTCTTCTCTGGGAAGGCCTTGTCCTTCCTCCAGCAAGTGAAGGTTTTCCCTGGGGAATTGTGAAAGATTAATGAGGGCTCTGAAAACATGGATACATGGTTACTGAGTGCAGGGTGTCACACTGCAGAGAAACGTGACTTCTGCTGAGTTAAGGATTTGGAAGGCAGCGCCCCGCCGAAGATCCTTCGGAGGATGAAGATTTATGTTCCCAAGAGACGTGGCAGCACCTCACTGCAGAGACTTTCCCTGAGCCCTTGCTAGACATTCACACAGGAGCAGTTTTATCATGCATCCACTGGATGCGTTAAATGGAATCAGAATGAGTTTCCCTGTACCTGATAAAGTGCAGCTTGGCTCCTTGCTCCTGGTACTTGCCAACCAGAAGGACAATCCGCATGAGCCTCAGAACAAGAAGGGAACTCCTTGGTGGAGGCTTTCTAGAGGCTTTTAATGGGCAAACTTTTGGAGGCACACACTTTGATAAAGGCAAATACACATATTAACTTAGATAGGTACTATCTCCTTTCGTTTGACTACCACGTACACTTCAATTACAGCTCCTATAAAACTTGTTTCATTGTCATAAGAAGTATATAAAGGGGGCTGGAGAGATGGCTCAGTGGTTAAGAGCATTGCCTGCTCTTCCAAGGGTCCTGAGTTCAATTCCCAGCAACCACATGGTGGCTCACAACCATCTATAATGAGATCTGGTGCCCTCTTCTGGCCTGCAGGCATACATGCAGACAGAATACTGAGAATACTGTATACATAATAAATAAGTAAATCTTTAAAAAAAAAGTATATAAAGATAAATTTAAGGATCCATATAAGTGCATGGAATATAGCCAAAGGAGATAATTTTTTTTAAAAAAATTGAAATCTGAGCCTTGTTATTAAATACTATTTCTGTTTCAGATGATAAGGGAAAGGTGTGTAGCTTATTTCTGTTATTTTGGAAACACTTACTTTATGACTAATTGAGTATGGGAAAATCGAGAAAGACAGCGGAACTATGGAGTATGGGAAGGAGAGGGCCTCTACACTCTAAGGCCCAGTAAATCCACTGGCCAGCTGGAGTCCAGCAGACCAACACGCTGCAGCCTCATGAAGGCTGCTTGAGTTTCTCTTTGATAATTTTCAAAGCAGCTCTGGTATTTTCTTGTACCTTTAAACTCTCCTTCACTTTTCTTATCTTGAAAGGCTTTCCTCATAGATTTTTACACTTAATATCGTGGGTTTTCTGTTTGTTTGTTTTGTTCTCAGGATTCCTTTCATTCCCAGGCACTGAAATGCAATGTAGAGGCCAGAGAAGCACAGAGCACAGTGAGTTACCTGGTGTTCACTCCAGATGACATGGTGTGATTGGCTGTGGTTGTCCCCTTGTGACCTTGATCACTCCTGCTCATCTGTGGGGCTGTCATGGGCCTGCAACAACAACAGTGGTTTCCAGAACAAGGCAGCAGAAGTAGAAACATTTAAAAAAAAAAAACTCTCAAGTTGTTGAAGCGTTCTTAAGTAAGTTTTCAAATCTTTAAAGGATAAGAGGTCCAGCTTTGTCCTGAGAGGCCCTTTAAAGATAAGGTTGATTCCCAAGTACTAATAAAGGTTTAAGTTCTTTGTCTTGCTTCTCAGAAGTAAACCATGACTTTAAATAAGACATGTGCTCAAACTGTAAGTGTCAATTGACAGTAAAAAGATTATTTAACCGTTTTTGGGTGGCAGGAGGCCAGCATTCTAGATTACAGAGTCAAGAGTGTACATAAATCTTCCTAAGAATTACTCTGTGCTATGGAATAATGCTTTTGTACACTGCAAAGATTTGTCACTAGTATTGGTCTAATAAAACACTGCTTGGCCAGTAGCCAGGCAGGAAGTATGGGTGGTGCAACCAAACGAAGAGAATTCTGGGAAAAGGAAAGACAGAGTTAGTCACCAGCTAGATGCAGAGGAAGCAAGATGAGAATGCCTCACTGATAAAAGGTACCAAGGCACATTACTAAACATAGACAAGAATTATGGGTTAATTTAAGTTGTAAGAACTAGTCAATAATAAGCCTGAGCAAATGGGCCAAACAGTTTATAATTAATATAAGCCTCTGTATGTTTCTTTGGGACTGAATGGCTGCGGGACCAGGCAGGACTGAAACTTCTGTCTACAAATGGTGCCCAAACGTTTGGCAAGGATTTCCACATAAAGCTTTCTAAAAAAGGGAGGGAGCTTCTAGACCCACAAAAAATGAGAGTCAACTGAAGCTTCTTGGTAGCAGCATGTTTTTCAGATAGACTCTCTTTGCTGGCTGCAAGTAGAGGCACAGCTTCTTTAAAAGAAGCCTTCTTGACTCAGCGTTAGCAGCAAAAACTGCATGGCTTCTTTACAAGACAACTACCTGGTTTGTTCTGGTTTTGAGAATGGCTTTCGCTCCTTTGGGAGGTCCTGCTATGGAGCACTTATGGGGTTTGTGAATACCATGTGGCAAGCTGTTTAATGGTGGCAACATAGACCCGCTGTGTTCCTGGAGCTGGGGCGGATAAACATGGCTTGCAGAGCTGGTGATAAATGTGCCTCCACCATATTGAAAGGCTGGGATGGGGTGGAGCTAGCATCCAGGGACACAACAACCACACCGCTTATCATGAAAAACAAAACAAAACAAAAAACCTACTTGTGGTGTGGGAGGTCCATCTGTTTGTGTGTTGCTTTTCTTGGTTAATGAATAAAGAAACTGCCTTGCCTGTTGATAGGGAATTACTTAGGTAGGTGGGGAGATGGAACTGAATGCTGGGAGAAAGAAGAGAGGAATCAGAACGAAGCCATGGATCCTCCGCCTGAGACAGATGCCGGCTAGAATCTATGCCTGTGGTGATACACAGATTAATAGAAATGGGCTAAATTAATATAAGAGTTAGCCAATAAGAAGCTAGAGCTAATGGGACAAGCAGTGTTTTAATTAATACAGTTTTCTGTGTGGTTATTTTGGGGCTAAGCTAGCCGAGTGGCTGGTACTCACAAGCCCTCCTTCTACATACTTGTCAGAAAGGATTTCAGATACACAATAGAACAGATTCAGACATAAAAGATCTCTAAATGAGACACAGTGTGTTTTAAAAAAAAAGTTCATTGGCGTAGGAGAGAGAGGAAAAAGAGTATAAACAGTTATAAAAAGAAATAAAGTAGCCGGGTGGTGGTGGCGCACGCCTTTAATCCCAGCACTCAGGAGGCAGAGGCAGAGGCAGGCGGATGTCTGTGATTTCGAGACTAGCCTGGTCTACAAGAGCTAGTTCCAGGACAGGCTCCAAAACCACAGAGAAACCCTGTCTCGAAAAACCAAAAAAAAAGTGTTTAAAAATGAAAAAGACTTTAAAGAGACAGTGAAAATAATATAAAACAAATAAGCCATGTAAAAATGGAAAATACACTGAGTATGGATTGTGCATATTATGGAGCTGCTAAGCTAAACCATCATATGTATTTTAAAGGTATCGTGACTTCAAAGTTTGAGTCTAAGAATATGTTACTTTGGAAAAGAGTTTCTGTTTTTGTTTCCATAGAGACGAGAACCTGTAGATTCCTTCCAGGCTAATGTGGTTTGATGGAGCAAGAATCCCTGAAAGGTTTCCATGAGCCCTAAAAATACTTCATCCAACAAATAGCAGGAAACAGTTGGATAAAATTATGCCCAAATTTGCAAAATGATTATTTATAAATGTTTGTTTTCATTTAAAGGGGGTTGATTATAAGTGGCTAATGGTCACAGTTGATCTCTTTCTAAAGAAGATAAAAGGGGGATAAAATATAGAAATGAATACTTTATATTGGTATGAACTTTGGTTTATTGATACAAATTTAAGGTCAATATATATATTTATATATTTCTACTGTTGTGTAAGATATTATGTTTATACAGCTCACTTAAAAATGTAATGTATAATTAAAAATTACAGATTAATAGCTACTTATAATGTCAAACTTGTAGTCATGTTAGTTAGTTTTCTAGATATGCAGAAATATGTTTCAGTTAGATAGATAATCTTCAATACTTCAAAGACCTACAGAATATATGAGTTTAAAAGGTTTTAAGAACCTAGACTTTTCACAACAGTGAGCTATGTCTGCTTCTGGCATTACCAATTACTTCAGAGAGGTTGATGGTCATTGAAGAAACTTGTTATAGAATTTGCCTTCAATTTGACGAGGCTAACCATCTGGGCAAAAAACTGTTCTTGCCTGGACTGCTTGATAGTATGCTATGTAACTGGAAATACAGGACCCACAGAAAAATGACTGCTGAACTTGCCTAAAGAAGGTGAGACATTTCTTCAGGGTTCCTGTTTCATAAAGACTCTGCCAGACACTCTGAAGGTCACAGAAGAAAGTGAGTGACAAACTGTCAATACAGGTGAAACTGTCTTTCAAATTTCCTGCTTCACTGAAAACTCTGCCAGATGTTATGGGCCTATAGGCTGAAGATGGATGACCCAATGTTATAAAAGAACTTTGGGTGACTGTCTAGGCAGCGAGATGTCTCTGTCATTCCTAGAACTTTGGAAGTTGCATACAATGCACTTTCTGTTTACTTAGGTAATCTATCCTTCTAGAGTCTTTGATGGAGTTGAAGAATAGATAGATATAGTTTTCCTTAGTTATGATAAAAGATAAATTAGATATGAAAATTTAGACTCACAAAGAAAAAACAGATGACAGAATATTTTCTTTAATTTTGTCAGATACAAATAGACTAAATATTGTAAGTGTAATTCATGCTTGATTCCTGTTTTGTTATTTGTAATTTTACTGTGTTAAAGTTATAACCTTCCTTTGACCGACAAGGGGAGATGATATGTGATTCCCCTCTGTATGCTATGAAAATGTTTTATTACCATTGGTTAATAAAGAAGATGCTTTGGCCTATGGCAGTGCAGAATATAGCAGTGCAGGAAGTCCAAGCAGAGACAGAGGAGGAAAGAAGGCAGAGTCAGGAAGATGTCATGTAGCTGCCAATGGAGAAACATGCCAGAACTTTACTGGTAAGCCACAGCCTTGTGGTGATATACAGATTAATAGAAACAGGTTAGTTTGTAAGAGCTAGCTTGAAATATGCCTGAGCCATCGGTCAAACAGTGTTTTAATCACGATAGATCCTGTGTGATTATTCAGGTCTGGGGGGCCCAGAAATGAAGTGCGGTTTATGTTTACAACTCCGGTTCTGAGAAATCATCTCATAATGTGAAAACCACACCTAGGCTTAGTTTCATTAGGATGTATTTTAAAGCAGATGTTTAATAAGATTCAAATGATTTCACTAAATGTCTGTTGGGTCTCCTTTAGTATTTGATAAAATTTTATGTATTAGCATCTGAGGCACAGAAAGGATGATGTAGATTGTTGGAGCATTTACCTTGATGAAGTCTTTATGGCCAACTATTGTTCTGAATGCTGATATGGTAACTTTCGGGAGTGACTAAGGTCATCTCTTTCCATGACTTGGTGTGGTAGGCAGAACTTAAAGTTGTCCCCTACCCCTGACCTTTATGTCTACTTTTACTCCAATGATATGTTTAAAAATCATCTCTCTCTCTCTCTCTCTCTCTCTCTCTCTCTCTCTCTCTCTCTCTCTCTCTCTCGTCTTTCTGGGAACAGAGATTTGAAGCATGAGGATTCAATGCCTTATTGACAGCTTGGGGGATTCAGGGGACCATGAGAAAAAAAAATAAGATGCCTTCTAAATGCAGAGTGGCTCCTGGATGGTCCCCATCTTTAGCTAATTTAGAGGGAATGGACACCCACATGACTGCACTTGTTCATCTACAGCCCCATCATCCCTTCTTGCTATATGACATCTCATCTCCTTTCACCTCTGTGCCCAAGAATCTTATGACAGGACAGCTTCTTGAATTTTGTTTAGGGCTAAACTCTGGTGCCAATGTGACTTTCTTTCCAAGATCCCTCTTTTTTCTTTCTACTGGAATCATCTTATCCTATTCCACGAGAAATCTGTTACTTCTGGGATAGAGTAACATCCTGAAGTTTATATTTACTTTGTAGCTTCTAAATTTAGAGTTAAAAATCCAATTCTTTATGGATAGTAAAACAATAAAAGAATGTTTTGCTACAATTGCAGACACACATCTCAAAAATCATTGGGTATGGAAAGCAAGATGGCTGAGTAAGTAAAGGTGCTTGGCCCTAAGCCTGACACAGTGAGTTCATTCTCTGGGACCCACGTAATTGATAGAAAGAGAGAACCAGTCTTCACAACTTGTCCTCTAAACAGTATGCACACAAGTGTATTCGTTCTCATTCTCTCTCTTTTCTCTCATCCTTCTCTCTCTTTCTGTAAATGTAAAAACTAAAAATCAACCAGCTAATTAAAATGTGGATCACATCTTCATATTCACTAACTTGCCCTTCTATTAAAGATTTGTTTACCACTGGCCTAAAACTTCCATAGAAACATTCATAGAAACTCATCAAATCATATGTAATTGTGTATTTAGCAACCACGTAGGAAAGTCATCATTATTGCTACTGCCACTATTCAGAGTACTTGACACTCTGATAATGTAGGCAGTATTTACAATAATAAACCATAAGGGGTTGCGTAGCTATCTCCAAAAAGACAGGTATCTATAATTTGTAAACAAAGACCAGGTTTTAGAGATATTTAGCCAACCAGTTTTCTCATCTTTTCAATGGACACATTTGGTGTTAGGCTGTGAATATCTGCCTCAGAGATTACCTGGTGAGGACCTCCACACTGTACAAAAGGGCTTGTAGGGATGTGGCCAGAGCAGCTGTGGCAGCAATCTCCTCTCGGGCAGCAGGCACGGTCTCGACCTGTGAAGTCTGCCTCTTCATCTTCTGTAGGTAACATGGAACCAATGCCTCCAAGACCATGAGCATCTGAAGGCTGTAAGCAACAGAAAGAAAACCAAGGCACATCTGATTGATTGGATTGTGTGATATCCAGGAGCATGGAAAAGCCACTAGAAATGCTGAATTCTATTCTACTTCCTGTGCAACACTAATCCAAAGCAGTGGAGGCTGCTGGACGTGTTGACTATCGTTTATTAATTAAGCACTTGGTAGCAGGTGAGGAAGCCTGTCTTAAAGAAGCATGCGAGATAAGAAGAACAAGCCATTTGTGCAAACTGCAAAAGAAGAGCAGAATATTGCAGGACAGCACAGACCATACAGAATAAAAGCCTTCATTCCCTAGTAAAGCCTCTATATAGGACTGTGCTGGGGGTGACTTTTCAGCTGAAGTTAGATTCTCTCCTAAGAAGCTGCCTTCAGAAGCTTACACCATTTTATAGCAAGAGTTGGTTGATGCTGTTATTGTCCTGGCAGCATGTCCTTACTAGAGTGAGTAGACACTACTCACTGGGTGTATACACTTGGTGTGGTAAAAGTGGTCAGAAACCTCAACTTAAAGAGGAGTTAGGAATTCGGTAGTTACCATGAAAAATTGTTGGTGTACAACTCCAACATAAATATTTTGTTGTAAGATTCATCCAACTGAGTTTAAGTTCTTAAACTGTGCATCCTAGGAGACATTGCTCTATGGTTGTTATTCTGGAAAGCCTGGAACCACTTCGTAACCCATTCCCTTCCTCAAAATACCGAGACATTCTGTCATGTCTTTTTCAGCTCTGAGTACTGCTTTCTGATGGGACAACTGCATAGAATCAGTGTTCTGCAGTAAAGGTATGACAATCTTCAGAACTTGGTGGGTATGGAGTTACAGTTATGATATATTTTTAGGTCCTAATACTTCTGTGATAGCCTTAGAAAAAGAGGTAAGTGTATTTCCTGAAAAAAATAAAAGATTTTGTTGTAGGCTAACTGTTCTAGAAAGGTTGAGTGAGTTTTAGAAATTATGACAGGAATCTGGTAGAAGCTAAGACTTCTGGGTATTTTCTGTAAAGACCACACTTCTGTAGAAGAAGAAATCTGTTTAAGTCAAGCTGACATACAGCATCAACCATTGCCCTTTGCCTTCCACATGTAAGTACATACATGTATACAGGTATATGAATCTGCTGGCACATGAACATGCCTACACACACTCACTCATACACACAAGCATACACACATACACACACAGACACACACAAACTAACCAACTTTGTAAAGAACTAATACCATTTCTGTGTCAAAGAGAACAGGATACATGTGAACACGATGATAGGCGTTTACTAGTTGATAAGTAGCAGACATTGCTGGTGGAAATGAGAACTGACACAGCTAGTTCAGGAACCCTGCTGGTGATATCCACTAAAGCAAAACATGCACGTACTTTATGATCTAGCAAAAATATTTTCACACACAGAAAAGGATTTGTGCATGAAACCACAGACATTCATTGGGACATAATTTGCCAGAGCTTTAACCTGAGTACAGTGCAGCACAGATGCCCACAAGAGAAGAAACTGATGCCTTCAGGGCACAGTCACAGAATGGAATGCTGGAGATGAATGAAGAAAACTACAGTCACATGCTGCGGTGTGGATGGATCTCATGAAAGAGTACTGAGGGGCAGAAGTCAGGCAGCTTCTCGGACTCATTAGACCATCTCACCAAAGTGCCACTGGGAATGAAGCTGTGGGGTGATGGTAGCGGTGCTCCAAATGATTCTTTTATTCGGTGGTAATTATAACTATACAGAGCCTCTAACTTTATGAACGTGCACTCAATTATAGAAATACAATTTTTAAAAACTGTTTACATGAGTGTTATCCTTAAATTAAATACACTTTTAAAGGAAATAATTTAAGTACCACAAGGACTTGATGTTACAAATATGGACGTTCAGTCAGGACATCCCAGGAAACAGCTACTTAAGAAACTTCCACTCTCCTCAGGTATCAAGAAGCCCTCTTGTTAGGGGAATTTTATTTTCAGGTGTGTGACTTTTGTTTACACTGTATTTGTTTAACTCTGTGAAGCTGTGTTACCGTGCCTGTCTGGAAAACCTGATGATCTAATAAAGAGATGAATGGACAATAGCGAAGGAGGAGCAAGGATGGGCAGGGCTGGCAGGCAGAGAATATGAACAGAAGAACAAGAAAGAAGAGGAACAGAACAAGGAGAGGAGGACATCAGGGCCCAGCCACCCAGCCAGCCACGGAGAAAGAAGTAAAAAAAAGGTAAGAAAGATAAATGTCCAGAGGCAAAAGGTAGATGGGAAAACATTTAAAAAGCTGGCAAGAAACAAAACAAGCTAAGGCCGGGCATGTATAAGTAAGAGTAAGACTCCTTATGTGATTTATTTGGGAAGTGGGTGGTGGGCCCCTCGGAAGCTAAAAGAGCAAAACATCACACAACACCCTCTGGTTTAACATGAGCAGAATGAAAATAAGGAGGATTTTCAACAAAACTAAATATAATTGCAAAATAGTGGACTTTGGTCTTGAACTTCCAGTGAAAGGGGGTCTTGATTTCTTGATTACAAGCTCACGCTCCTCCTGGTTGCAATGTGTCTGAACTATAATTTGAAAGAGAATTTCATGTACTCGCTGAAACTGTTTAAGGGGAAGGATTTTGTTATTTTTATTTTTATTTTTTTGGCCAAGTTTGGTGGTTCTCTGTGTTGCTGGCAGTTCACCACTGGGGCAACATAGGTCTTAGGGTCAATGAGAGTCTGAGGCATCTGACTAACAGTGTGTACACTTAGAGCACAACAGCGGACAGAAAGCATTTCTGCATTCAGACAGAATGAACTCAGTGTGAGGTTTGCACCCACCCTGGAGTGATCCTGGAGCCAGGGTATTGCAGGAGGAACAGGACAGTGGGAGTCTATCACCCCAGAGACTGCACATTTTCCTCTCTTAAAAGCCTGCCTGACTTTCAGCTTACTGTCTAATCCTCACCAGAGATGACAAAAACCTGAAACTGCTGGTTACACTTTTATCCATTCCTGATGTTTCTTTCGAGAAGAGTTCAATTAAGAGAAATCCCGGCCACCTCTTGGTCCTTTATTCTGTTCTGGGGAGAGCAGAAACCCATCTGAGGAGCAAATGTACAAAGACACAGTGAGCAAAGTGAGGTTGGTCCCTCTTCCTGGAGGGTGTGCCCATGTGGTAGGGTTGTGAGGGGGAGATGGAACATATGTATCTGATAAGAGCCAGCTTCCTGGCACTGGGGTGACTCACTTTTCATTTGAGTTCTTTGGCTTCCATGTTCCTGGCAAAATAAAACACGAGATGTATATCGCTGCCCTTCGTGTTCTTGTTAGGAATAATCTTGGGACAAGCCTCTCTGCCACCGCAAATAATTCCAATCAGGCCAAATTAGACCTAATTAATGCCCATCTTTACTGCAGCCCTCCCAGATGGTGGGAAAGCGTGATGGGGGTGAGGGGAGGCCCACATAAAACCTGAAACCACGGGTTCTTTTTCTCAGCGGCAGCCTAAATAGCCTGTGGGAGTGGTCCTGACCCTCCCTGGGGAGGGGTAAGGCTTGGCAGGCTTCTCTGGAGGTGGAGTCCCAACCAAGGCAACCCCCAGGGGGCTGGGGTGACGCTTCCAACCCAAACACCCCAAAGTCTTTGGATATAGGGTATCAGGGGGCTGGGGTCTCACTTTTGACCAAACAGTTCTCATTAGTCTTCGGAGGCAGTTTTCACAGATGGTTTAAATGTCTGTTATAAAATTTTGTTTTCTAACAGCTTGTATTACATAAGTGGAAAATATATATATATATATTTTTAATCAGGAGTAAACATCTTAGCCTCTGCACAGAATTCCAAATCAGGGAATTTCAAATTCAGGATGATTTACAATAATTTTCAGGACGTCTGCTATGAAAAATCTTCTAAATTTGGTTTTTAGATGCTTACTCACCAAGATGTTACAGAAAGATATGCAAAACATAACCTTTCTTATTCACTTTTATTTCTTTGCTATACTTTTTTATCACAAGAGACAGAAAAGAGGGCTGCGATTACCTTCTGAATGACTCAGGAGCGTAAGCTACCACCGTGACACAGAGTTTGATGGCTTCACTGATGGAGAAAGTCAGGTCTTCATTTCCATAGCAAAAATCTGCAAAGATGCACAATCAGAATGGGTGGCTCTGTGAGAAACAGAGTGCATCGCTACCAAAGTTCTTTTATCACTTAGATTTTATTCCTGAATTCTGCAAACTATTAATTTTTTCATCCGAAAGAACAAAATTCTGCTTCTTGCATTTAAACCACTGGATAATGGGGGGAGGGGGGATAGATGGGAGGTAGAGGGAGGGGACAGGAAGATAGAAGGGAGAGGATTGGTATGTAAAATAAATGAAAAAAATTAATAAAAAAGAAAAAGAAATAAGGGAGGTTTTAACAGACTTACTGAATGGAAGGTACTAACGTATTTTAATTGTTGGAGGTTGGTGTGGGATTCCACTCTGTGTGCTGTAATTACCATTAATGAATAAAGAAACTGATTTGAACCTATAGGGGGCATAACTTAGCTAGGTAGGTAAAACTAAACTGAATGCTGGGAGAATGAAGGCAGAGTCAGGGAGAAGCCATGGAGCTACAGCTAGAGACAGATGTGCTGAAACTTTGCTGGATACACAGATTAATGGAGAAATTAAGATATAAGAGTTAGCCAAAGCCGGGCAGTGGTGGCGCACGCCTTTAATCCCAGCACTCGGGAGGCAGAGGCAGGCGGATCTCTGGGAGTTCGAGGCCAGCCTGGTCTACAGAGCTAGTTCCGGGACGGGCACCAAAGCTACAGAGAAACCCTGTCTTGAAAAACAAAAAAAACAAACAAACAAACAAACAAAAAAGAGTTAGCCAATAAGAAGATAGAGTGAATGGGCCAAGCAGTGATTTAAATAATATAGTTTCTATGTGATTATTTTGAGGCTGAATAGCCGGGAATAAACTAGCAGCCTATTACAACATGAGGTAGAAGAGAAAGCTTTACCTTTGAATTATATCTAATTCTGTTCATTACATAACAAAAGACCATTCCAGAAGACTATTTTCCTGGAATTGCTGGGATTAAACTGTTAGAGTGTGGGTCTACTGAGACACACTTGAGCATGCTGTTCACATAAGAGGATTCCTCATTCCGCAGACTTACGAGAATTTTATGACAAGAAAATAAAAAAAAAACCATTCACTTAACATTTAACATTGTTCCATTTATTATTTTTTGAATTAGTTGCATATATTAGATAACTGTTTTAGTTTGTGTGTATATATATATATATTTGAACAATTGCTATGCAAAAAAGGATGCTGGAGACAGTTTTGTATTTACCTAGTGACTTGAGGGGCTTCTCAGCCTTAACCAGCTCTAGAATGTCCAAAATATCCGTGGTTTCTCCCTCCAGGGACTGCAGCAAGTCAAACAGACACTGAGCTGACACTCCTTTGCTGGACCCGGTGTTGGTGGCAGCATCCTACATAAAGCAAAACAAAGCAAACAACAAGAAAAAACACTTTTGGGTTATTGATTGCTACCTTAGCACTATTATGGCTGACTTCAAAATTTGTAAATTCAAATATACATCACAATATCTAAGTGAAATTCAACTTCCATAATTCTGTGTCTGACATCCTGGTGAAGAATTTCAGGGATCTACCAAATGCCAGAAGTCAGCTAAGCTCATCTTAAGCTTCTTTCCCATCCACTCTGGAGCCTTGCGATGTCTCGGCCTGCCTCTGCATTCTGCCCAAACACAAGTGATGCCCACCTTCCTCCCTTGCTGTTGCTGTAAACATTTCAGTTGATCGGTCTTCTCTCCATCTTACTCACCGGAAACTCCAGGAGAGGGGCCACGCTGGCAAACAGCTGGAGCACAAAGGGCTTCCGGTGGAGAATGTAGAACTGGCGGCAGGCAAACTCGATGGCTCGACGCAGCTGAGGGTTGCTCTCATAGTCAGAATATACCTGCAGAGAAGTATCGCTTACTGAGGAAGTGTTCCCATAGGAAACAGAAAAGGGCTAATTTTATAAGCTTGTAGGGTGGGTTGTAATATAGCACCAGCTTTCTTGAGGTGTTTTGCTGATAGACATAAGATTCCTATAAACCAAACATATATTTTCCCCCCAGGAAACTTAAGACTAGACATTTATTTCAGTGAGAGAAATAGACGTGATATTTACTGCAGGTCGTTTGTAATAGTGGAAAACTTGAAATAAGTTAAATGAATGATAAAGTGATAGCTTGTTAAGTGAATTGTTGTACATGCATTGTGTAAATACACCACATGTTCATTATCAGTTATTCATCAGTTGATGGAAACCGAGGCTGTTTCTGTGCCTTGGCTATTGCAAATAGAGCATCAGAGAGAGTGGACGAGCCGGTGTCTCTACAGTAGGATATAGCATCCTTTCGGCATCAGCCCAAGATGCAGCTGGGTTGTGTGGTGGATCTATGTTTAGTTCTTTTAGGAATCTGATTTCCACAGAGTGGCCACCAGTGAGTAAATGCCTTTCCTCACATCCACGCCAGCAAGGCCATCGTTCCTTTTAGATCTTCAGCCATTCTGAGCCGGGTAAGAGGAAATCCCAAAACAATGGAAGTGTAGTTATTTCAAATGACACTTTAAAGCTCAATAACTATATGAAATTCACACAATGGTCTTTATTACTTGAAAAATGGATAAAAATTTGAATGTGGTATTATGTAGTTTTATTTTAATGCCAGCGTATAAATTTTCAGGGAAAATAAGATGGCTCAGTAGCTAAGAGAACTGGCTGCTCTTCCAGAGGTCCTGAGTTCAATTCCCAGCAACCACATGGTGGCTCAGAGCCATCTGTAATGAGATCTGGTGCCCTCTTCAGGAAGAGACCTGGTCAGTCGTCCTCAACTTAGACCATGAAATCCAATATGAACAAGTTTAACGGAACTGCCTATATGGGCTGCCATGCATGCTTCAGCATCACCAAAACATAAACATCCCTTTATTGTCTCAATTTAAAATGAGTGTAATTACTTTTGGTAATTGATAAAAGAAAAAAATTGCTATTACTTAAAAATGAGTCAGAGAGTCTTGGGGTAAAAGCAAATTTTTTTGCTATCATTGGATGAAACAGATTGTGCTTTGTACAAACATGCTATTTTCATAATGTTCATTAAAATCTTCCTCCAAACAGGCAGCTAAGAATTAACCCCAGGTCTTGTCCGAATTATCTTTGGTACTCTACTCCTAAGTGCAGCCAGATGCACACTGGGCATGTGAAACAGAAAATCCTGCTAAAGTCAACTCCTCCAAACCCTTGGACACAACTATATGGCACTAAAAATTCCTCTTCAAACTGAGGACATGGCAGAAAAAGTCTGCTGTCCAGCTGGCACAAGGGCAGCCCAGAGGTCCTCTCTCTGTCTACAGGAGCTGCCCTGCCTCATGGCTTGATAAAGACACACACTGCTGGGCCCCCACCACTGAGTTTCTTATTCAGCGAGTCTGAGATGGAGTGCAGGAGGGTGAATTTCTTGGGCGCTGTTAGGAAATACTGAGGCTGCTATTCCAGATGCCACAGTTTGGGTGTCACTGTGCTAAAGAACACGGAAGAGTATCCCAGCTCCCAACTCTGGGGCAGAATCTCAGGATAGCAGAGAACAGTGTCAACTGTTGAAATTTCATGTGGGGATTTCAGTGGGTGCCTTCTGCTGTAACAAAGGAGTTAACTTGTTGGACAGCTAGGTCTGAGCGGGGCTGGGTTCCCGGAATGCCAGGCACCTGCAGCATGGTGGGGAGAACCCACTGGTAGCCGCTGAGAGAGAAGAGGTGATTGAAGTGCACAGCTGTGTTGATGACGGTGGCCGCATACTGCCTGAGCAGAGCACTGTCTTCGGGGTGGAGAATCAGAGCCCCGTTGAACACGTTGAGAAAAAGCATGATTTCGTCTCCCCAGGGAAACTCGCTAGGCATGCCCAGGAACATTTCCTCCAGGAGCTGGATCCACAGGCTTTTCTGAAGGGTGTCGAGGCCAAACAGTTCCTTCCCGGCTGTGGAAACATGAAGCAGCAGCGGAGACAGAATTAGTCCGGCACCAGCCCTCTTGGCATGAGCAGGCGATCAAATGCTACCGCACAACTATTTCCCATTTGCTTGTTCCAGCTCCAGAAAACCTACCACTGAATGGTTTCCCAGCACGATGCTGCCTGCATGGGCAGGACACTTTTTCCATCTAAGGATCTGCACCAACAACCTCTTTTATTTAAGCCTGGGCAAGCCAGGACAGGCATTTGCAGTATCATGTTGTTAAATGAACTGCTGAAAGACATTCTCTGGCTGGGCAACAGTTAGGGTTGGGGTCAGCATCTGGCTTTCTTATCACCATTTAGACCAGAACCCTTTCTGTCAGGAACCCTGAAGCCCAGGGATGGGAATTTAAGTGGCTTGTCCTAATCAACCATGGTAACAAAGTAAGGTTCTTAGCTGGGTCTCTTGCTATGTCTCTGACTCTGCCTCACTTCAGGCATAAGTTACACGGAAATGAACAGAGTTTAAACGTTGCATTCAGCGAGTTTTGCAACAATACAGAGTAATAAAACCCCAAGGCCTCGGGGGCTCATCTGTGTCCTTCCTTCAGCTCCCTCACGCTTTGCCAGCAGTTCATGCATCTCTCCCCACCCGGAGGAACACTGTTCTGATCTGTGTCACTCAGGACCAGCGTGGCCTCCCTTTGATCTTCTTACTGCTTACTCAAGGGACTCCCGTGCAGTAACACTGAAGGGACACTAGTCCACTGGAATGTGTGGTTCTTACAGGCCTTCCCCTTCTTCCCCAGTTCTCTCTACATAGCTAAAACCATTAGATTACATTCCTAAAGCCAGTCACCAAGGTTTATTCCCTTATTTGGTTACTACTTCTTCCTGAGGCTGACTACCAAGGTCCAATGAGCAGAGTATTGAAGTCCAGAAGTCAGAAGCCCCCTTTGGCACAACTAATCAACATGTCCAATTAACATTAAACACCTCATCCTATCACGGGGTTCCTAATTTTCCTTTTATAAACAGCCGTTGTCCTATGGGCCACCTCAGCCTCCTCTCTATTCAGAGGCATTCCTTTGTTTCCTTGGGACAAATATCCCTTGCCCCTTTCCCTTGTTCCTGTCCCTTCTCCCGTGCCCTCTACCCCCCACCACTGCAGGCATCCTAGCCCATTCTAATGCAGATCTCATCCCTTTCTCCTTTTCCACTCTTCAACAGAACACCTGCTTGGGCAGTCTGTGGGGCTCCTGGCAGTGGGCTCAGTATTTATCCCTAGTGCTTGAACTGGCTTTTTGGAGCTAATTCTCTATGGAGGGAGACCTTCCAGGGCCTGTTGTTCCTTTGGAAACTACAGCTCCCAGACTCCTCCTGGATTACGGACACCTGCGCACGCAGGCGTGCACAGGTGCAGGTCATTTCTCCCAGATAACCTTGCGCTTCCCGTTAAAAAGCGAGCTTCCACGAAGTCTGGCTCTCTCTTGCCCTTTACCCTTGTGTGTCCCCCTCCCCCCCATTAAAGTGCACCCACGTGGGAGCCGCGTGTCTTGTCTCCTCCTTTTGCGCGTGTCTCGTCTATCCTGTGTTCGTCTACACACCTCACCCGCCGTTTTTAAAAGAATAATAGGGCCTCCTTCCTGCCTCAAGGTGATGTGTCAGACTTTGTTGACTTCCCATGGGAGGCCTCACCCTCTCTGAGGATTAGATGGGGGGGGATGGGGTTGGGGGAAGTTGGGTGGTGGTGGGGAACAGAAAGAGGGCAGGAGGAACTGGGATTGGTGTGTAAAATAAAAAACAGATTGTTGTTGTTTTTAAAAGTTATACTCAATGTCATTCCCACTAATTAGCACTTTGTATTAAGTGTGTTTTGAAACCTTAATTTCTAATTTAGATAATCTCTGAAATATTTGTAGCTAATAAATAGAAAATTTAAAAAAAAATCACACCTGCAAGGACATGAGCGGCTGCTTTTTTGCGGGCGTCAGAGAGCAGCCACTTTAGCTTTCCTTTCCCGCTTAATAGCAGCTGTCTGTGAAAACAGGTGATTGGGTGCGGTTTGTGCCTGATCCAGCATCTGGAGGGGGGAGCCCTTCAGCTGTGCAGGAATTCTCCTTCAAACATCATTTCCCTTCTTCCTTCACCTGCTGCAATCCGTCACCAACACTGCTCTGCAAAGCCAGTGCTTGGAAAGGAGGCACCAGCGGCACCAGCAGTCCCTGGGAGTGTGTTAGACGTGTGAGTTTGGGATCCACCCTGAAGCCGGCAGCTGGAGGATGGGCACCAGCATTCTGAATTTGAAATAACCTCCAACTGACTCGGGTGTGTACTCAGGTTTGAGAACCACTGGTGTCCAGTGGTCAGATCTAAACACAGACATGAGAAAAAGGTGTGGAGGAATGGTTTTCCTCCTGCAGTACCTTGAGGGTCGCTAAAGAGCGAAAACTCAGCGTCTATTGCACTCCGGGGGAAAGAGGGCAGCCGGAGAAGATCCTCCTGCAGCATGGAGACATGTGACTGCTTGTGCGCTGTGGGGATCTTCTGGGTGAGAGAGATGAGAAACAGCACTCGCCCCACTTCCTCCAGCTTCCTGGTAAACACCTAGGAGGAGCACACAGAGCAGAATTAGGAAGCTGAAAATGCAGAGTGAAGACACTGGAGATCTTCAGTACCAAACCTGACTGATAGAATGAAATAAGCGGGGTGGGGGGAATGGAAAGAGGAAGAACTGTTTATACCAGATAGAAACAATAAGCAATATTTAATGGACTCTTAGTCTCCGAAGCTGACTGAACTTGGGGGGGGGGGGCTGTGGCCTAGAGAAGCACAGATCAGGGACTGTCAAGAGAGTCGAGAACTATACAGCGCCCCATCTGTGTGGGTGTCACAACACGGAAGCCTTTCCCTGACAGGAGCTGGTACTCAGTGACAATCGCCACTGCATCTCCACAGATGCTCAAGACGTTTCCTGGCAGTTCTGGGTTTGTCTTTTTAAAAGAGACAAAAAGGAATCTAGGAACAAGCTATTGATACAAAAGCTGACAGCCCCAGATATCCGCTTGTTCCAGAGTTTGGAAAGCACACCTCTGTGGCACTTGCTCTTGTCTTTCGTTCCTCTTGAAATCACTGACAAAGCACTAGGACAAGGAAACTCCTGAGAAATGAACAGCTGCTGCAGAGACTTCTGACCTAGAACGTAAGCCTCCATGTTGTATCTCCCTGGGGAATTTCGACATCTCAGGGTTTCAGCTTGGAGTAGAGAGAGTGGTGCCCTGAATACAGCAGTCTTTGAAGTGTGAAACAAAAATCACACACGCTCTTGGAGCAGCATTTTTGACCATGCTTTTGATGATCGTGCTGCAAAATAAAATGCTATGGTTATTTCGGGTGCTCTTTGGCACTGTTTGAGCTTTGCCAGCGCCTTATACTTGGCAATAGACTGAGCAGTTAATGGTAGCAATCTTAATCTTAATGGTAGTATCACTTATGTCTTCTAATGATATGCCATCCTCATTTATCTCATGAATGATTGTAGGGATAGCCCAACCCCCTTAGGGGGCATGTTCGCCTCGGGCTAATGTTTACATATAAATCTGGCGACTGTGAGCCTGCTGCCCCTTCTGCTGTCCTGTTCTCTGTGGGAACCTGTGGTCCTGTAAGTCTATTTCCCCATTAAAGCTGTATATATTATTACAGTCTGTCTACATTCATTTACGCCGATACACTTGGTGCCCAACGTAGGTCAATTTTGTTATATGTATATGCATATTTCTTTTTTTTTTTTTTTTTGGTGTTTTGAGACAGGGTTTCTCTGTGGTTTTGGAGCCTGTCCTGGAACTAGCTCTTGTAGACCAGGCTGGTCTCAAACTCACAGAGATCCGCCTGCCTCTGCCTCCAAGTGCTGGGATTAAAGGCGTGTGCCACCACCGCCCAGTGTATGTGCATATTTCTAATCTTGATAAAGGTATTGTGATTATGTAGTTCATTTACAAATGTAATGTATATAGGTTGTTAATGGATAATCATCAATAATAGTCAAGCATGTAGTCATGTTACTTAGATTTTCTAGATATATAGAGATATCAGTTAGGTAGACATTCTTCATGTCTTTCAAAGAATGCAGAATATGGCATTTAATGTTTTAATAACTTAGGGCTTTTCATGGCAATGAGACACGTCTGCTCCTGGCAGCACCAATCTACTTCAAGAGAAAGATGGGCATCGAAGAGGCTCGTTATGGAGTTTGATAGCCATTTGGACAAGAAACTGCTCCTGCCTGGACTGTGCATAAACTGGACACAGAGAACCCACAGAGAGAGGACTGCTAAACTTACCTAAAGGTGAGATGATATTTCAGGGTTCCTGATTTATGAAGGAGTCTGTGAGACATTCTACAGGATACAGAAGAAAGTGACTAAACTGTCTTTAAAATTTCCTGCTTCATGGAAATGTCTCTGGATACCATGGGCCTGTAGGCCAAAGATGGATGCCCCAACAGTACAGAGGAACTTTGGGTGACTGTCCAGGCAGCGAGATGTCTCTGTTATTTCTAGAGCTTTGGACTTCTTGTTTGCTTAGGTAATATTATATCCTTCTAAAGTCTTTGATGGTGTTAAAAAATGGATAGTAATAGTTTTCCTTAGTTATGATAAAAGATAAAGTAGATATAAATATTGTAACTGTAATTCTTACTTGATAACTGTTTTGTTATACGTAATTTTACTATGTTAAAGTTAAAGCCTTTCTTTTTTGTTTAAACAGAAAAAAGGGAAATGATGGAGGAGGGTTATCTTTCTATCTGTTGTTTCATTGGTTAAGTAATAAAGAAACTGCTTGGCCCTGATAGGATAGAAAATTAGGTGGAGAGAGTAAACAGAACAGAATGCTGGGAAAAAGAAGCCAAGTCAGTGAGTCACCATGATTCTCCTGCTCCAGACAGACGCAGGTTAAGATCTTTCCTGGTAAGCCAGCTTGTGGTGTTATAGGGATATTAGAAATGGGTTAGATCAATATGTAAGAGCTAGCCAATAAGAGGCTGGAACTAATGGGCCAGGCAGTGTTTAAAAGAATACCGTTTCCGTGTAATTATTTCAGGTAAAGCTAGCTGGGTGGCGGGAAGCAGCCCCGCCGCTCGTATTACTACAAATGATATTTTAATATAAAAAGTAGTAGCCTCCTTGATGTGTGCAGAAAAAACGATTTGATCAAGTATCTTTGAATTATTGTTTATGTATTTTTCTTAAAAGTAAGTTTGTTAATACACAAGCATTAGAACTACATTGAGAAAATTATCAATTTTGGTGCTGTGTATAAAGTCCTGTTCTGTATGCAGATTGCTGACTTTCTTTAGGATCAAAGTCTGATTTGAGACCAAGCATGTGAATGCTGTTCTGCTCTCCAGTATTAGATTGTTTGGCTGTGTCTGCTCTGTTTTCAGGGTCCTAGTCAGTTGCACAGTAGGGATGGACTCTAGATCTCCGGCTTTTAGTTTGGTGCTATTTTGAGGCACTCACTATATTTTTACCTATTTTTCACCTGACTTAAGTCACTATACTAATAATGGCTGGCTCTGGTGGTGCAGACCGGTAGGATATGCTGAAGGGGCAGAGGCAGGAGGATCTGAGTTCGAGGCCAGCTTGGGATACACATTTAGCTGGGCAGTGGTGGGGCACGCCTTTAATCCCAGCACTCAGGAGGCAGAGGCTGGTAGATCTCTATGAGCTCAAGGTCAGTCTGCTCTACAAGAGCAGTTGCAGGACAGCTAGGACTATTACACAGAGAAACTCTGTCTCGAAAAACAAAACAAAACAAAAATAGTATACAAACTATACCATGTATACTTTGTGTGCACGTGGTACATGAGAGTATGCAGGTGTGCTTGCCAGAGGTCAACTTCACGCGTTGTCATGCTCAGCCTTATTTCTAGAGATGGCAGGTCTCACTGAGCCTAGATCGCACTATTTCAGGTAGGCTGGCTGGTCAGGGAGCCCTGTGGCTCCACCTTCCTTTCCCCAGCACTGCGGGTACAGATACACACCACCACTCTGAACTCTTTATGCGTGTTGGGGTCAGATCCCATGTCCGTATGTTTGCACAGCAAGCTCTTTACCCATGGAGTCATCTTCCCAGCCCCTATTTTTTTTTTTTATTTAAGAAAGGATTTCATGAGAGTTTTGAAACCCTTATGTAGCTGAGGGTGAGCTTGAACACCATATCTGCCTTCTCAGTACCAGGGTTGCGATCATTTACCACTATATGCCACCTATGTATTCCTTCAATACCACTTTATAAAAATGTGAAATGAAAACCCTAGAAACTAGCCTGTTAATAAGTTAGTGTATTTCTATTATATGCTTCATAATATTATCCCATATGAGTTTCTCTGAATAACTTATGCACCAGGATCCAATTTATAAAACTTGCATATTTGAGGGGACAATCTACTGAGCAAAGTTATCTATCATCCATTATCAGAAGACAGGATCATGATGGAGCTGCAGAATCTCAAGGCTGGGAATGTGTGTGCAGCCTCCCCCCCCCCAACAACATGACCCAGAATAAAGAGGTGTGGTTAAGCACCTGTTTCTGAATGAGCTCCTGCCCCCTTTCTGGATGCATATGCACAAGGTTCAGCTGTGGAGATACGGACCTCCGGAAGGGATAAATGTCTCGAACATAGGTCTGCAGTGGGTCACACAGAGAGAAAAACCAGCTCAACACAAATTACGTTTTATTTTCATTTCCTATTTATCCAAAGGCAGGCAGACACAATGTTCACTTATTTTCTAATGGTTTCTGCTTTTGCTACCTTCCACTTCTCATTTCCACAGAACCTTAAAGAAGGCAATATCCCTTTCTCGGGAAACTTTCATTCTGCCCAGTCTGGGTATCTACTCTCAGCACTGGGTGTTTTAGGGTTAAAGTAAGCCTGGGGACCACCTAAAGTATCATTTTGTTTATTAGATAAAGTCACCATCATCGTGTTTAAAGCAAGGGAAAGAAAACCAAAATGGCTAAAATTCCAAAGAGGCACACGGTTGCCATTACTGTATATATGGGCTGGTTAGTCTTCACTGTCAACGTAATGTCATGGGCTGGGGACCTGGACAGAAGAAAAAGGAGGAAGTGATCTGCGCACAGGCACTCCTGCTAGGCTTCCTGACTGAAGATGCTATGGGACTGATTGATGAGCCCCCTCCAGCTCCTGTTACCATGCATTCCTGGCTTTAGTGGATTGACTTTAACCATGAGCTAAAATAACCCTTCCTCACAAGTTCTCTTCTATATTGTATGTGGTCACAGCAATGAAAAGCTGTCAATACAATATAAAAATATGACATGTTCACCCATATCAACCACGATGATTGGCTCAGAGCTCAACCTGGCCTATCTCGTCCAATGATGACAGCCACCCCGGCACACATACTCTAATCAGGTTCCTTTTACAGATGGGGCACTAAGGGACAGAAACAAATCAGTTGGTCCAAAGCCAAGAAACCCAAGTGACCATGCATATAACTGAATGAGTGATGCCTCAGCAGTAATAAGCTGTACTCAGTCAAGGTTTGGGCATGATGACCGCAGACTTACCTTGTTGTAGTGGATGAGGTTCCATCGTTTATCCATGAGGAAGTAATGTGTTGACTGGGATTCTGGGATGTTGAAAAACTCTAGACACTCCTAGAGCAATATCAACAAATTTTATAAATGTTTACCAAGACTGTAATACCTGGTGGGTAGATAATATGCTAGAAAGACACAAGGTAATTCTTAAAGGGACATGAGAACATATAGGGATATGTTTATCTAAAAGTAATATAGTAAAGGCTGGTAAAATAAGTCATCTATTCTTACAGTGTCCAAAGACTTGAGTGACAGACTATGAAGGGTCAGTGGCACCTCCTGGGCATGAGATTAGGGAAGTATACTTAGTAACCACATTAAGAATAATCCTAACTATAATGTATCTAGTGCTTATGTAGGCTGGCTCCAGAGTCTTCCATGTAGATAACATGTATGGTCAAACTAATATGGAAAAGAAACTGACTAGAGAGGTCCTGTGACTTATGTTACACTGGCTGTAGTAAAGCCAGGAAGGGGACACACTGACTGAATCTTGGTATCCACCCTCCAAGGCAAGTATGCAAATGGGTGGTGTCAAAAGCTTGATAGTTTCAAAGAAGTCTGAAAGAAAAGTCATGCCCCCACCTCCACTTTTCTACTTATATTAGGGTCCAGAACTGGGCTCCATTCTTATCCAGTAAGGAAAGATGATTAAGGATGCAGACTCCAGACTCCAGATGAGTGAGGTTACCATCCTAGGATACTCATTACGTTACATTAAAAGCCTTGCAGGTGGGGCTGGAGAGATGGCTCAGAGGTTAAGAGCATTGCCTGTTCTTCCAAAGGTCCTGAGTTCAATTCCCAGCAACCACATGGTGGCTCACAACCATCTGTAATGGGGTCTGGTGCCCTCTTGTGGCCTGCGGGCATACACACAGACAGAATATTGTATACATAATAGTAAATAAATATTTTAAAAAAAAAAGCCTAGCAGGAACAGGTAGCAGCCAACTGCACTCCTTTTGAGGGGGATTCTTATAAACATTAGAAAGCTCTTTCTTTGCCGGCCTGATTTATTCTAAGATATATTTCCTGCGTCATCAGTGATTTCTGTACTATATAGATTGCTCTCGGTATTACATCAGCTGATGGCTAGAATTTACTTCTGTGAGGCCCAGTAAAAAGCTAAAACAGTAACGCCGAATGTTCCTAAACTGGAATCGACAGCTTTCGGGGGAACTGGGAATAACATCCAAAGGCAACGCTGCTGTTTGAGACAGAATCTGCCCAATTTCGCCTGCTTTAATACAGAGCTAAAATGTCAGTTAAAAATGGCAGAAATTATAGAAGTGTACAACAGTAGAGGGGGTTCTGGAGAGAGAAGAATTGGATATGTTAGTTTGAATACAGAAAGTGCCATTTATTATAATTCTACAGCATATTTACTGAGGAGGCTATGGGCATGCATAACAATCAGTCAAAAAGACTTCCGCACCTTCAGCAGGGCTTCAAACTGAGTGTCCTCATGGACGGGCAACTGGGTTGGAATGTCACATTCGTTCTGTCCATGAACCACCAGGGTTTTGGTACCTACCCAAAATAAAAATAACTCTGAACATAGTGCTTCCTGGAAGTTTGCAGTCACAACATGAAACATTAAAACTGAAATAGAACCAATAAGCTTATCAAGTTCTTAATTTAATTTGCTTGCTTTTGAAACAGGTAATACGGTCTTATCCAGCCCAGACTGACTTCAAACTAGGCACATAACCAGTTTTTAAGAATACTAGTGACAATATGACATTTTTTTTTCATTGAAAAATCCCAACTACACAGCATAAAATGTGTAATTACCCATCCTTGTTGGATGAGTATCACAAATCACGTCTTTCAATAAAGTATTTCATAAACAGAAACTAATGTATTCAGCATAACTGTGAGTTAGGAATCACATTTAAATATCACATACATGGAAAGAAGGCATGAGAAATGATTTTATTTTTCCACTGCTAGTTCTACTTATAAGGCTACTAAATGGCGGGGCTGATTTTAACATGGGCTTTTTTTTCTTGCTGTTGGAGCCAGTGTTCTCACCTCTGCATAATTTAGCCTTTCTCTTCATTTCAATGCACATATCCTCGTATATTTTAATACTCTGCGCACAAGGATAAGGCTTTGTTAAAAATCTTCATCCCAAGGACAGACCAGCTGTGCTGAGAGCAGAGGAACTGCAGCAAGAGTTGATAACACCCATTGTGTTCTTTCCTATTTCTCCCTCTTCCTGTTTTTCCCTCTTCCAGCTTTTCATAAAGCCTCCTCTCATTGAGTTTACAAAGGCCGAGGGTCCTTGCTGTAGAAACACTGCCATTCAAATGGCAGTGCCAAAAACTCACTCACAATGGCTTTCAGTTCGACTACTCTCTGCGATAGACTTAAACAAATCTTTAACCTTGGCCACTCTTCAAGGACTGATTTCTTGGCACTCTGTTCAGATATCTGCCTTTTCATCTCACAACTCCTGACTGTTTGAAGGGACTATTATACTCCTTCTGACTATTCTAAACAAAAATTCTTGAGTGCATTCAATACGAGTGGTTGGAATTCTATTTTTCCTGTGAGTGAAAAAGTCCCAATCTTCCAAAGGAGAATATACACATATAATTAGACCTAGGGATTACCTGGCATGGAGGCAGTGACCAGGAGCTTCACCTCACACTGCTCCTTCTTCATCGTCTGCTTGAGATCCTTGAAGAAGAGGCCCTCCACATACCCGACTACCTCCCACAGGAAGGTCAGTGTGGCAGAGATGGCGTCCATCCCCCACTCACACGGAGTCCGCACGAAGTACATGATTAGTCCCACCTGAGTCAAAAGAACAAGCACAGAGCCATGTTCTTCCTACACTCCAGTTTTCCTTTTCTCGAATTTTCTTCTTAAAACTAAATCATCCCTGCATTTATAGTCTTTGCTCAAATGCTTCCTTAACACTTCCAGTGGCGTTAGTCAGGGGACTGCAGAGAGCCCTTGGCTAAGATGGCTTTCATGTGAATCAGATATTTATTTTTTTCCTGGGCAGCCAACGAGTGGACACTGAGAAGGAAGACCAAATTTGTCATAGACACAATAAAGGGATTACAAACATTGCCCACACTTGTAGATTTGTGGTGTGAGCTGTTTATCACGCTGCTACAGATGTGTATTCATGTGGCTGAAACGGTTATAACACAAAGGGAGAAAAGGTCAAAGATAGTTATTTGTCCGTCAGTTTGCCTGGATTGAGAATAGTTAACATGCCTCAGTATCCAAACAGAATGCATAGTCAAATGCATTTTAAGGTTTTAAGGAGAAGAATTTGAAGAAAGAGCAGGGAAGTCTGGGAGGGGCCAAAGAGAAGCTGTTGGATCATGCTAAAGCATAAGAGCTGCTACGGAAACCTACACTTACCATTCTTTCTAGCATGCGTGTGTGAGTGTGTGTGTGTGTGTTGGGATGACTAAAAATGACGTGAACTAACTAATGTAGGCAGGTTGCGTAATGCTGAAAGGAGGACCAAGAAAATAACGTTTATTGAGGGTCCACTGGATGCCAAAGATTGTGCCAGGCAGGGATTTCCACATACTAAAAGTGGAAACTTCTGCCAACCACCCTTCAATTATACAATTATGAGGAATTTATTGGGGAGGGATCTCCACTTTCCTTTCTCCATGTTCCTAATTCCTACCAAAAATCATTTCTAATCTATTAGCTGCTGATACTCACCAAGTAGTTGAATAGGATGTGTGATGTCTGAGCTGGAAAGTCTCCGATATTTAAGAGAAGTTTGCGCAGCATGTACATTAGCTCATCCTAAAAGAAAAGCAGATGCGTCAGCCCCCACGCAGCAGCCCCCACACAGCCATGCTGTCAGAGACTAACTGCTTGAAAAGAGAAGAATTTTCCTAACTTTTGCCCTTCAGTTAATTTCAATTACGTTCACCACTTTAACATGGCAGAGCAGAAACCAATCCATAGATACTGATACTACATGTGATTCTTACTATGCAAATGAGTGGGACTCTTTTCTTTTATGGATAACATATAAATATCGCACCTCAGCAGACCATTTTATTTTAAAATACAACTGTGCATTGTGTCTACAGGTAACTGGTAGATCATGGAAGGGTTGTGCACTTCGCTGGATGATGCATTTGTCATGGCTGCCAGGTGGAAAGGGAATGTGGGGAGGGACCTAATCTGGAAAGTACTGTGAGCACTAGATTAATTGACTTCCCTAATTTGGTTTCCTAGGCTTCAAATCAATGAGATAAAATGAAGCCAAGGAAAGATAAGTTAAAATGCCTGTAAACAACCTCACTTCCCAGAAGCCAAACTCAATCTTCTAGTGAATATAATCACAATAGAAACCATTTTAATCATCAGTTTGTTTTCTTATTGTCCAGAAAATGACCTTTATTTAACACCTTGCAGGTGTTCTGGTAAATTAGCTTTTTGGGTGATGGAGAACATTAACATATTGGAATAACCCCCTTAGCATTCCAGGCTACCAAATGACTAGAATTCTGTATATGTATTCAACCCTAAAAACATCAAGCTTCATTTAATATTTGTATAAAATATTGAGAATTTTGTAAGTTGTGGGGTTACCAAGCAATGTACCATGCACACATGGAAAAAAGCAAGAGAAATCTCAACTGTACTAGCAAAGATGAATATTGCATATGATTACATAAAAGGCACCTATTAGGAGACGTCAGAGTACACTAACGTCACACACCAACACTGTCGAGTCCTTTGCTTGCTTCCAGCAGAACCCATACACACAGCTACAGACAAGGAAGAGCAACTCACTTGTCTATTGCTGATAGTCAATTTTTCCAGGAAATGTCGAAGAACTGTTGATGGATCTTCAATTAAACAGTTCCACAAGACTTGCTGGGCCACAGCACTGACTTCAGAAGAGAAAAGAAAGTGGCCATAAATTCATCAACCAGAAGAAGTTTTCACATGATTTACTAAACTTCAATGAGCCCTTTTTTTCTACTTTGAAAACTTTTCCGGAGTTGATGGTTTTCTATCATGTGAGTCTTAGGGATCTAACTGATGACCATTGGCCAGTAGTAGCATGAGGGTTCTAGGGGAAAGTGACCCCTTTTGATCAGATCTGAGGCTGTTCCACAGAATGGATTTCACGGCTGGTACTGTAATTTGGTCAACAAGCCATGACTAGGATTCTAGGGGGAACCTACTGATGCAATACTAAATGGTCTTGTTGTCAAACTAGCTTCTCAATATTTATGTTTATATCTACAGATATAAACTTATAAAAGGTAAGCTGCTCTTACCCTTGGTCAAAGACACTCTTCTTTTGCAGTGAGAATTGCTTAAGACAGAAACTCATGGTTGGTCCAAGTCTTGAGAATAAGGGGTTGCAAATATTCAGCCACACAATGGATAATCTCTATGACCCTCCTTCCATTCAAGGTTCAAGGAACGTTGAGGAAGAGTGGGTAGAAAGAATGTTAAGAGCTAGTAGATGATAAAACTACTCTAAAATGCTGTCTTCTGGACAGGGTTGGTGCAAAATCCACCCAGCAGGTGGGGTTGCCTGTACAAGACTAAGGCAGTCAAAACTCCAGCATGTGTGGGGGAGGGGCTCCGGAGTCTGAACTTTTTGCTCAGGAGCTAGTGGCATTTGATGGCTGTAGAGGGAGGGAGAGTTACTTTTCTTTGGGCATGTGGCTATTATTAACAAGTTGCCTCTGCCTCTGGATAGGCCCACATCATTTCCACATGGTCAGCAATAACTGGATGCAGGGGCTACTACTATTGGTAACCTGAAAAAAGAAAGCATCCTTGCTAGAGGATTGGCACAGAAGTCAGGAGGGCTGGCTGCTGTTCAAGAGGACCTGAATTCAATTCCCAGCACCTACAGGGTGGCTCACAGCCATCTCTGATTCCAGTTCCAAGAGGTCAGATGCTCTCTTCTGGTCTCCTTAGGCACCAGGTATGAATGTGGTGCACAGATGTATACACAGACAGAAACCTTACACATAAAAAAATAAAGTAAAATAAAAGGAAAGAAAACATCAAACTGAGAAAAAGAAGGGTTTGTGGGAGTGAGTTGGAGAGAGGTAGAGAGATGGATGAATATGATTAAAATTGTACACATGTGTGAAATTTTCAAATAATAACTATTATTCTTTAAAAAGTAAAAAGGAATAAGCTCAAATGGTCATGATATTAAAAAAAAATCGTCCTCCGAACACTTTTTGTATTAAAAGGAAGAAAGCTGCTGGTTTTTGTTTTTATTGAATATTTTCTCAATTAAGGAAAAGAAAACAAGATTGAATCAGCACCATGCACAAACACTGTGTTTGTGAATATATTCGTGAGTATATTCAGTTGTCTTCCCCCTGGAGACCAGCCTAATGTTGGCAATGCAAGTCTTCGTTGAAATAATGTCAAATTTCATTGCATTTTGCATAAATTCAGCTTTAAATTTTAATTTTTAACATGATTTTCAGATTCACTTATTTTATTATATATATGTGAGTGTTTTGCCTACATGTGTGTATGTATACTCCAAGTGTACCTGGTGTATGCAAAGATTAAGTCAGAGGGCACTGAATCCCTTGGAACTAGTCACAGATGGTTGTGATCCACTATATCAGTGCTGGGAACCAAAGCAAATGCTCTTAACTGCTTATGCTTACCCCAGCATAAATTCCTAAATTTATGTTTATAAATTTAGGTTTTAAAATGTGGTTTGGCTTAATATACAAATAAAGTAAGAATGAATTTTTATTATCCAGATACTTTAAACAGTATCTATTTCAGCAAGATAAAGTAGTTGAATTTGCAGTGATTTCATTCATAGGAATAAATACATAATACTATGGGGACAGCGCTACTTCACTGAAACACAGGTCAGGATGAGGTTCCCTGGATAGCCTTGGGGAAGGAAGCCCATGAGTGGAGGTCAACAACACATGATCTTCAGTTTGAGCAGTGGTCCTCAGTTCTGCTGGTTTCTAAGCTACGAGCTTAGAATATAGTATGAATTTATCATCTAGACTATATTTTGATAAATAATACTAATATTTTTTGCTTCAGAAATTAACCATCTAATTAAAATCAAGAGCTATACAAATAAATACTATGAATAAGAAATATATAATTTTAAGCTTTAATTTTCAAGTATCTTTCCTAATAATTAAAATGTATGAGTGACCTCAATGCCCCTCGACCAAAGAATGGATAAGGAAAATTCGGTACATTTACACAATGGAGTACTACACAGCAGAAAAAAATAATGACATGTTGAGATTTGCAGGCAAATAGATGGATCTAAAAACCATCATACTGAATGAGGTAACCCAGACCCAGAAAGACAATTATCATATATACTCACTCATAAGTGGCTTTTTGACATAAAGCAAAGAAAACCAGCCTACAATTTACAACCCCGGAAAACATAGACAACAATGAGGACCCTAAGAGAGATATACATGGATCTAATGTACATGGGAAGCAGAAAAAGACAAGATCTCTGGAGTAAATTGAGAGCATGTGGACCATGGGAGAGCGTAGAGGGGAGAGGAGAGGAAGGGAGGGGAGCAGAGAAAAATGTATAGCTCAATAAAATCAATAAAAAAAGTATGATAATGAGTGTGTGTGTGTGCACGCTTGTGTGTGGCGCTGGAGACTGAGCCAGGAGTTTACAGACAGGTGCATAGATACAAGACAAATGTTCTATCACTGAGCTCGATACACAAACCAGAGATGGGGTTTCTAGGTCAAAACTGCTTACTAAAATATTTTTATAAGACTGAAAAAAGTCTTATTGCTTCAATAAAGCAATATGATATTTAAAATATGAAAATACAGAAAAAATTGGAGAGAAAATAAAAACTGTTAAGTTTAGCATAGAAAGCTACTAACTTTGGGGTCTGCTTTTCACATTCATGAAAATCATACATACACATATTTAAAAGCAGCTTATAAAAAATACTATTCCAAACACTACTTAGCATTGAGCAGAACACTCTTTAAGCTAACTTTTTTGACTAGGATTTCCAAAGTGTTGAGAATGCTATCATACAGAAGCAACACGATCTAATTGATATCCTGTGTTTAGGCATTTATATCATTTTCAAAGATCCATTATCATATATGATATATAATGTACAAGGCCCTTTACAAGTTTTTATACTAAAAAACCAACTTTATGCCAAAGGGTTTTTCTAGCTTTCAGCCTTTTACGCATATTGTGAAACAACATTCCAATGCTTGTCCCAAATTTATGCTTCTTTCTGAGGTGTTATTTTTCTTGATAATTTTCTTGCCTTTTCTCTAACTTTGGATAGTTCAATTTAAAATAAGGTTTGCAGCTTTGTAAACAAAATGTAAGATAGTTTTGTTTTACGTCGTTGTGTCATTCTTTTGTGCAGGATGTACTTTTGTGTGTAACAGGCCCAGAGACTGCTTAGAACTTTTGCTCATTTTAGGGTGGGTATTAAAATTATAATTGAGTTTCAATATTAATAATAAAAATCTTGTGCTCTCTCAAAGTAAAAATATTAAAATTGGAAGAATATTAACCTTAGCTGAGTCTGGTGGCCTAGGCTTGCAATTCCAATGCCTTGGCAGGGGTGGGGGTACTAAGGCAGGAGAAATTCAAATTCAAGGTTAGCCTCAGCTGTAAGTTAGTTTAAAGCAAACCTAGCAACTTAATGAGACTCTATATCAACGTTTTAAAGGAAGACGAGGATTGAGGGAGCATCTCAGTGTTAGAGGTCTTGGTTATTATGTGCAGGATCCTAGGTTCAGTCCTTAGCAAAGGATAAAAAAGAAAAACAAGGCAAAAAGAATATTAACTTTCGTCCATTATAAATATAGCCACTTTATCCCTATTTTATTATTCTGTCTTTCAGACTTCTCTTGACTGGTATATCTGGAAAGACAGTCAAGCAGGAATGAAGGCTTTGATGTGATGGAATTCATAGCTGAGATTTCTGAGGTGGGAAAAAAAATCACTGTTTGACTTCTTGATAGTCAAATATGTTATGTTTTCTGGTAATAAAAATTTTTATGGACCTAGCAACCTATTTTAATGCAATTTCTTGGTAAAGGTACTAAAAGTAGCAAGAGAAGGAGGCAGAGAAACTGATTACATTAGTGTGCTATGTTCAACATCTATAATTATAACATGTACATAGAACAATCTAGCATATGGTAGACAGAACTGCTGTCTCCCATCAGATGGCAGGGTAAGAATGAAATGGCTTGGCCGGCCAGATGATACCTGCCACTCCATCTTCTCGCACCTCTCCATCCTCCATTAAGTGAACGATGGGAAGGACTGCTGCACAGATGCATGCTGGGAATACTGCTTGCGGAGGCTGAGGCACATGGTGGTTTGGTGTGTGTTCAGTGGTGTGTTCCTCATCTGGAGGGAAAGACAAAATCCTAATGCAACAACAATTTGCAGTTCAAATCCTATTTGACAAAACAATCTATAATATTGCTAAAATAAAAAGTGTGGCATCAGGGAGAGTGCCTTCCTCTACGAAACAAAATCAACCCTCTTCCCCAGCACTGTCATTAACCTTGTATTGTAGAGGGAGAGAAGCACAGGCAGAGCGAGAGAGGGAACTGGTTCATAGTATGAAATCAGAGAGAACAAAATTCTAAGTGAGGAGTAAGGCGTTTTTCATAGTGCCATGTGTCACAGGCATGTGTGAGAGACTATAATGCTATAGCATGAACATCGGGTAGCAGAAAGCATGTGCATTTAAGGCAGGAATAGTGAAACCCAGCCATATTAATGTCCTCATCTGATAAATACAATAAATATTAAAATTGATAATTGCTTTGCTTAGAATAAAGGAAAGGGCAATGAAGGTAGTAAAAGTCAAGCAAGGTAGTAAAGTTATTTAACAGCATATTGATATGAAAATAAAGCCACTTATTAATACAAAATAAACATTTTTTATACCATATAAAGAATGTTGGCTCTTTGAGTGTTCTATAAGACAAGACTTCTCTTATGTGTCTATCGAGATTTTAGGGGGCTGTGAGGGGCTGGAAGATAAATGCTTTACTCAGTTGTTTCCAATCCTACCTGTTCATTCAGTGCATATGGAGTGCTAAAGTGACAGATATGGAGTAGATAGAATATAGACATCTGTCACATTATAAACTTTATTCACTTTTTTTTTTTTGAGATAGCATTTCTCCATGTTGCCCTGGCTGTATTGGAACTCACTCTGTAGACCAAGCTGACCTTTAACTCACAGAGATTCCAGAGATCTACCTGCCTCTGACTCTCCAGTGCTGGGATCAAAGGCGTATACTGTCACTGCCCAGCTTTTTTCTTTTCTTTTTTTTTTTTTTTTTGACTTGATTCACTTTCCATAGAAAATGTATGAGGGACTCAGAGAAACAAGAAAACACTGTTTATATCCGGGAACAACTGCGCTCAACAGAACCTGTTCTGGGGATGCTTAGACAGAATTCACAAGGAAATCAAAGAGTTACACAGCACTGCACCCAGGCACATGCAAAGTGTCAACAGAAAACACTGTTGTCCAGCATAGAGCAGGATGTACTCAGAAAGGAAGCCACAATAAATTAAAGGCCTAACTCACAAGAAGTGAATAGTTTCTGTTTGCAAATAACATGACTGTAACTTCAAGATTATATATAATACATAATAATATATAATTTATATATAATCCTAAGGAACATACACAAAATATCACTGAAAATAATAAACCATCTTGCAAGGCAGTGGTGGCACATGCCTTTAATCCCAATACTTTGGAGGCAGAGGGAGGCAAATCTGGGTGAGTTCAAGGCCTACTTGATCTACAGAGGGAGTTCCAGGACAGCCAGGGCTGTTACACAGAGAAAACCTGTCTCAAAAAANAAAAAAAAAAAAAAAAAAAAAAAAAAAAAAAAGAAAAAGAAAGAAAGAAAGGAAGGAAGGAAGGAAGGAAAGAAGGAGGGAGGGAAAAGAAAAAAAACAAAAGAAATAAACAATCTCATCAATCTCAAATTTTCAGGTCATAAAACATATGTGGAAAAATTAACTTTTATTTCCGCACATTAGTAATAAAAATCCTTGTAAGTGAAATTTGAAGAATAAGTTTCTATAAACTGGCAAAAACAACAAATTAAATAGGAATAAATTTGACAAAAGAAGTGTAAGATTTGTAAACCAAAAAAAAATCACACATATTAAAATAGTATGGATGGACAGATAACCCGTGTTCATGGATACAGTGATTCAGATACATACGCCTAATGAATGAACCCATCTTAAAATTCACACAGGAATGCCAAGAGATCAAGAATAGCTGAAACAATCTTAGAGATGAAAAACAAAGTGAGAGGGGCTTTCACTTCCTTTAACTAGAAAGCTATAACCAAGACCGAGACCGAAACAGATCAGTATAAAAGAATCATGAGATACGTCGCTTCGCTCACAGTCTTTTGAAAATAGTGCCAAGAAAAGTTAAGGGAGGGTATACTTAATAATTATTAAACAGGACAACTAGATACATCTCAGCAAAAGAATAAAGCCTGGATGCTAATATCACAGAAACCTTGAACTCAAATTTGCTCACATAACTAAATATAAACTCTAAGTCATAAAGCACTTCTTTATTAGAATATGTTTCAGAACAAAGTAGTCATCAAGAACAGCATGCTGGCCAGAAGACACACCTTCAGCACTGACTGCTGAGCGTACAGACCAGACTGACCCTCTGCGGAAGGAGTAATTCCGGTGGGATGTACTGGAGGTGCAGGATGGACTCACAGACAGCCGTCGGGATGTCAGATTGGCGACTTCTTCTACTGGCAAGCAGAATGGGGCATGTGAATTTGGGTTTTATAATGCAAATTTATCATCACCACAAGTAAAGTTATACTTACATCAAGGACTCCCACTCTCAGACCGGAACGCTAGGTAACTTTACCACATACTTAGAAAACCAAAGAACTTCTACAGAAGCAGAAAATACCTTGTAAAATTCCCCACAAATGCTAAATCAATGAATTTAGAATGGTTCACAGATCATTTTTTGATACCACCAGAAAGCTATTTATACTTGGGGATGTTAAAAAGGGCTAATAGGCAAACTTGTTTTTAGTAAGGAAGACTCAGCAAATTTGCTGTTTGTGCATGGGAGATTCATCTTTCCTGAATGACAACCAGTTCTCAACCTGCTATCAGACTGGTTTGTTCAAGGTTACTACTACTCTCTAGGTATGCAATAATTCTAAACTTCAGAAAATAGCATTTTTTCTCTCTTTGTGAAGGAGAGACAGGGGAGAGCATGTCACGAGGTTTCATCCTTATTTATCTGAAAGCCAGTTCTTTCCCTGTGGCATACCCCCCACCACCATGAAGTCCCAGCTGGGAAGGCACCTTCTTCCTCAGGCTCTGAGTTGGGTGTGCAGGTGGGCTCATAGCAAGCCTCTTGGGTGATGGGGATGGCGGTGATCAGGCTGGCTTCACGACCAAGACGTTTCTTCTCTTCTTCTTGCTGCAAGTTCTTTAAGATGTGCTCTGCCCGCTGATGAGAGCGGGACACAGCCCGGGCAGAGAAGGATTTCTGTGGAGACACAAAAGCAAGTGCATGGCCACATTTCTTACAGGATCATAGGCACCAAGAGTGATCCAACAATCACTCAAAGATGGGAGCTTGCCCTCAGGAAATGTTAGGTCATCCATGACCTTCCTATCCATCCATCTATCTATCTATCTATCTATCTATCTATCTATCTATCTATCTATCTATCTATCTATCATCTATCTATCCATCCATCTACCTACCTATACACACACACACACAACACACATTAAAATTCTGCAGTTGGTGATTTCCCCCCTACTCATCGTTATTCCTCAAGCATGTCTGTGACTGCTGGAAACAACTGTATTTCACATGTTCAGGTGATAGCAATTCACGATTTAAACATGAAGAATAACTTTTATTAAACTGGCTTCAAATGAGAACATTTATCATATAAGGTTAATCAAATAGAACATGCAAAGGAGAAAGAAAGAGTTATGGCTCTCAAATAAACTACTTAGTTATATGATTTACTTCATTTTATCACTCCAGTATTTGCACAATGTAAATAGCATTCCTTAGTAAGTACGGCGGCACACTGGAAATACTCTGTAGGAGACTGCTACTGAATGTGAAGTAGGATGCTGTAAAGTTGAGTGCAAAATAAGAAGTAAACACATTAACACCAATCTACCATCCCACACATGAAAGATAGAGACTAAGAACAGAAGATTCATCCCATGCAGTGGCTCCACCATTTATGTCTTCCTTAGTAATGATGCATTTGCTGAGATAGCCGCTGAGAGCTGTAGGGACAGAGTCAGTGATCAGAGCAAGGCAGTGGCCACTGGAGTTGAAGTACGATGGCAAGTTCACATCTCCCTGCTGCCCTACAGTCACAGATGGTTCTAGAGATATCCAGTTTACCATGATGCATGCCACAAGCAGGTGAATGGTGCAGCACCAGCTCGCATGGTTAGTGTCCAGGGCCAGGTAGCTAAGCTGGTCTGTTATAAGGCAGACTGTAGCAGCTGGAAACAGAGAGCATGAACGCTGGATATAAAATCCGGAAATGGTTCTCATCGTTGTTGGAAAAGAGTTACTGGTATCAAAGGAACCCATCTGGGAGGAGATTCAAAGACACGTGTGTTGGATGCCTGAGTTACTGCACACATGATTGAAGAGACAGGTGTGCTTTCTTTGTCACTGCCGGGCCATCAGGCATGGAGACAATAGCATATGTGAGGGATGTAAGGGCTCAGATGAACTGTTCTACAGAGAACACTGCAAATGCCTAGAAAAATCTATGCATGACCTGCAGAGATGTTCAACTCCACATACTCAACTGTTTTCAAAGATGTGTGAATCAAAATACCAACAATTTATTTTACCATTCAAAGTATCTGATATACAAACTGTGTGAGCTGAAGTCCCCACCCCCATTTACACAATGCAGAAAAAAATCATACTGGTGTTCAAAATTTTGTAGACCTAGACAGAATTTCTTATTTGTGGAAAGTAGGAATGCGCAAACTGAAAGCCAAAATTATTTTAGTTTTTATTTAGTTCCCTTAATAGCCACTAACTACAAACCTCTGCAACTGACCTAAAACCCCTTTTAACAAGTAACCTTTGGGATGTCTTCGATTCATAAACCACAAGGCTTTACCAATGCCAAAGTTAAAGATATTAAAGGTTAGTGTTTGAAGCAGAGAATGCCTCATCTTTCTTCTAGAACTCTCTAATCTTCCCACACGTTTATTTAGTAATCACATTGATTAATGACTTTCTTTTGTTCTGAGACTGAGATGTGCAGGAAACTTCTTGCAAGGTATCATTCAAAATAGTACAATTCTATATTTGTAAGCCATGTCATTAATATTTGGTTCAGAATTAGCTATCTCTTATTTTTGTTAGAGCAAGAGATGAGTTTTGCATTGACAACAGAAAATGTATTTTTGTATAAAGTGCAAGATAATGGTATAATCTTTCTAAAGGCCTTTTGGGAGATCTATGAAATATACTTAACATATACACACCAAATTATGAAAATTCCATGGACATGTGGTGGGTTTTCACTGAGATGTGTTCCCTTTCTATGTTTGCTTCATTTTTGAGTTTCTAAAAGGCACTATTGTTAATAGAGGCATGCTGCTCGATAGATGATAAAGGTGTGCTTTGAAGGCATCTATTCCAAAAGGCACATATTTGCTTTGTTCTTTTTTTCTGTAAATAACCTCAGCTGTATCTGTTACATGTGGCAGTGATATCTACGGGGGCTGTAACACTAACTGGTGGCAATGGTGATGGTGGTGACGGCAATGAAACGAGAAAGAAATTTTTGAGTCCGAAGTTACTGACTTTTTGTTTCTTCTTGCTGGACCCATATCTTCAACCACCAAGCAGCTCACACATTGCAGTTAAATTAATATAATAACAATAGTAGCAAAAATGTTTTGTTTTCCAGTAAATAAATGCCTGCTTCATGCTTTGAAAATAAAACAAAATTTAACTTGACAGAAGCTGGTTTCTACTATTCCTGGTACTGTGGGTCACTGTGGCTTTCTGTGTTACTGCATTCTCATAACAAGAAACCAAGCGGTTTCATGCATCCCATGCAGTGTGGAGATATGGGAAAGAAAGGGCCTGGTACTCACGGACTGGTCTTCATTAATGGGGTCCTGGACACTCCCGCTGCACTGAGGGACCCATGGAGGGTCAAACATTGGGACAGATGGCATTCCAAGTACTGGCGAGGGCAAGGTGAAGTTTATACTGGGAGGCGGGATCTGTTAGTTGACATAGAAGAGTGAGATAAGATGGAGGAGAAGCTGGAAACAGTTGGAGGTAGAGGTCAACACTGTCTGCCTTAGTAGGTGTCAAGGGTCTGAGTGGCCCGTTAGAGGCATAAGAAACACCAGAGAAAAGGGCTGTTTTCTAAGATTTTTCTGTCACGGCACAGCATGATCCTCTTTGGGCTCCAGTTTACTCGTCAGCAAAATGAAGTGTTTTAACAAAATGATCTCAAGTTGTGCTGATCACTCTATGCTGCCCCAAATGTTTGCATGTGTGTGGACAACAGAAAGCCTGGGCAGTTACAGTCTACACTGAGGTACTTACCCCGAGGACGGCACTGAGATATCCAGGCTACTACTGACTTGATTGTCTTGTCGTATGCTCTTCCATATTCCAGTTTGTTTAATCAAATAGCATCTATTTATTTATGAGTTAAGCTTACTGATACATTCAGAGGGAAGAAAAATTCTTTCGCTGTGCACTGTGGGTCTGGGTTTCATGCATTTAGACAAGCCCTAGGTTGGCTGTGCTGATCTAATTTCATGGACATAGCAGCTCTCACCTTAAAAATCTGCTGGGCTCCCTCTTCCATCCTTGGCCAGACCTGATAGCGAAACCTCCAGAGCGTGTGGAACTTGAGGACAGCATTCAGTCTCTGTACAGTTTCTGCATGGTGGAACTCGGACATCAGCATGTCCGACACAGCTTCCGGTACCTTCACCGCACACAGCAGGAACATGGCAGCTGAAGACAGCCAACAATTAATTCATCAGCTGCACATCTGAAGACACTGCGTTGTTTCTAGGGTTTGAGGTGATATGGGAACTGTTCCTATCTCCTCACAACCAGCAGTGGCCAACACTAACAATGTTCTAGCCAATGGAAGCTAAACAACAAACGTTGCTTGACTGGGACATCTAATAATTGGTGGCAAAGCAGGGACAGCATGACCTTTTGGTAGAATACTCATCTAATCAAAGCTTTTGGCTCCTGGTGAAAAAGCAGAGCCAGAGAAAACAATGAAAAAAAGTCCATGATGTAGATTCTACTCTGAACATCTGCCCTTCCCAGAGACCGAGAAGCAAAAAAGTGATTCCATGAATTTAAAGTCTTAAAATCTTAGATTTTGAGAAAAGCTAAACTTTAATAAGAGAAATATGGGTGTGTTGGTTAGTTACAGGGCTTGTGAATAAAGAGAAACACCCCCATAGCACAGAAAGAAGGGCCAGTGGCAGGCACAAAGACATATCTACACGCACACTCTCTCTCTAAAGCCCCAAATCATGCTCAGTTGTGCCAGCCCAGCTGAGGTTGAGTCCTACTCCTGACACCCCTCTGCTGCATGACCTTGGACGAGACTCTTAACCTCATGGCTTCATTTCTTCCCTGGAAAATGGCCAGGAAGAATGATGAGTGCTTGGCACCACCCACTCCAAGTTTACGGAAATGCTATGCCAGAAAGCGTTTCTTGCTTCTGCTGGGCATCTGAGATTTCACGGCTGCCTAAGCCATCTTTCCAGCCTGAAAAGCACTTTGTGAACTGAGAAGTTTGCTGAAGTTCTGAAGTGCATTTTATTTTCTCTAGCGAAGTGACATAAAGCACGACTGTCTGTTGTGTGGATTTTATGGCTCTCAGATTCTGCGAGGGACAAACTTTCCACAGGGTCCTTCACCTCTGACTTGAGTGTGTTCATCTCTAGAATGAACTACTTATGCCAGGGCATAGTGCACACACCCATAGTCCTACAATGAGGCTGGGGTTGGAGGGCAGCCTGGGCTGCACAGTGAGACGCTGTCTCAAAAACAACAGCAATGGCCCAAACCCCAACAAAACAAAACAAATTCAATTTCATTAACAAAAGGAGATATAATTTTATAATAAGTTACTGTGATCATTAACTTTTGATAAGCCATTTTAGCCTGCTAGCTATATAAATTTCCACTCTTCATTTTTAAATGAATTCCAACCTGCCTCAGTTTTTAAGTATCATGTTTATTTTTTACATCATTGAAGAGTTCAACCTTTGTCTTCTTACCACAACAGTCATAAGCTGCCCGCAAACCAAATTTTGTGTGTGTGTGTGTGTGTGTGTGTGTGTGTGTGTGTTAAGAACAATTCTTTCCTCTTAACACCTCCATAAAAATCCCAGAAAAATTAGTCTCCTTTGCTTTCGTGGCTTGGGAAGGTGAAAACTCTTTTCCTCATTACTTTTTGGGGAACCTTTTTTCTACTGAATTTATTTCTCTAGACCTCAGAGGGTAGAGAAGGCTGGTGCTTCAAGGCCATCTCTGTACTCCATCATGGTACAGACCCCTCTCCTGAAGAGATGCCAGGCACCCATTGCTTCAGCTGCCACATGCATGAGGACACCAGTGTCTCACGACTCACTATAAATGTCACCAGTTACTGGTCACTTAAAATCAACCACTACTTTATGTCTTTGTTTTCAGGCTAGAGATGAGCCTGGAGCCTTGTACACACTAAGCAAGTGCTCTGCCAGTGAGCTGCATCTTTAATCCTTGAGGTTTGTTTCTGTCAGGGTCTCACCATCTATCTCAAGCTGGATTGGAACCCAGACTGATCTCAGTCTCAGGATCCTCCTGCTTCTATCTCCTGGGTGATAGAACTGTAGGCATACATCACCACAAAAGTCATGTCTTCAAAAACCAAACTGACACATGTTAAGTTAGACAACAGTTATTATATAACTTGTTGGCTCAGGGCCCACGAGCAATTGTCTCCAGTGATAAAATGGTCTATAGCAACCTGAGTCTTTGTGAAACCACCTGAGTTGTCCAACTCATTTCCTCAAGATTTCTAAACAAACAGAAGGTATTTTTACATCTCTATCAATTTGCCCACACTTTCCTCTGGGTTATCTCTGTGTGTATGTGTGTTTCTCTCTCTCTCTCTCTCTCTCTCTCTCTCTCTCTCTCTCTCTCTCTCTCT